TGGTATAATAAATAAAAATATAAAATATGTTAATGCACTTAATATTTTTCTTGTCAAAACCTATGTATTTTCTTGTCTTTTTACAGATGTTTTTGTTTTGTTTTTTTCTGATAAGGATGCATCGAAACGCTTCAAAATTATTTTGATTTTTATACCTATTAATTTATATTTATACACCCAGAGAAATGATCTCAGAACCTAATAAATATTTCTTTAACTCTAATAAATATTTTTATTTGATTTAAATAAAAAATTTTATTTACGACAAATAAATATAGGTTAGTTGGCTGTGAGACAAATATACGTTTATTTAACTCAAATAAAATTATATTTGCCCAGATAACCAGCGTACTAGTACGATGCAAGTACAGTATAAGTACGGCGTACTAAGCGTACTAGTACTGTACCAGCCATCTACCTCCGTACGGTACCAGGTACTGTACTGGTACGTCGTATTATTACGCTGTACTGGTACAATACTAGTACGATAAAAGTATGGCGTACTGAAAGTCTTTTGTGAATTAGTATAACGTACCGTTATTGTACTGGTACAATACTGGTATGCTGTATAAAGTAAAAATTCTATACCCCCTCCCTCTCTCCTTCTACAATAGTATTTTAATTATTTTAATTTATTATTAAAAAGGAAAATCTTTGGGAGGACTGAAATAATAATAATTCATTTTTATTTATTTTTATTCAATAATTTTTTTTATTTATATGATATATGTCTGTGCATATATTATATAAAATATGTAACTTGTATTTTCACTTATCTTATAATATCTGATGTTTTATATTATTCTAATTAATTAACTTTATTAAGTATTAATTGACTGCTTGCTTGTATTTAAACATTATTTCAAAAGAATTTTAAACTTGATGTTTCAAATTGTTTTGATGTTTGGTGAAACATATTATCACATCCTAACCTATAAATGTGTTATATGCGTATAAGAAAAACTATAGCGAAGTAACACAATTCAATTTAATTATTTATATTAATATCATCAAGATTAAGTTTACGAATTTTTTTCAATATAAATGTATAAAAAAGTTTATAAAAGAAAAGATTTAGAATTTTTTCAATGAAAGAACACCGTGGCACAATGCGTCATGTCAAAGCAAAACAACATAAGTCTTATAAAAATCGATAATTTAATATAAATTTAATCACGGATATTCAAGATAAGTACAGAATCACAAGTTACAAACGTTAAAACTTTTTTGCTGCATCATAAACCACTTTTTTCACCAACATTTATTGCACCGTTTTCAGTGACGCGTTCATATTTGACAATATTTGACAACTGTTAAGAAAGTGGGGTTAGGTTGGCATTACCATCAAAGAGTCGCAGTACGACGTACCAGTATTATACTTGTATCGTACGAGTATGCTGTGCTTCTTATTTCAGAAGTACGACGTACTGGCATTGTACTAGTACTATACTTTTATCGAGTACTCACATTTTATAATTCTAACAGTACGACATACTTTTATTATACTAGTACTGCACTGGTACGTACATACATAATTATTTTGTACTGGTATAAAACTAGTATAATACCAGTACTCCGTACTCGTAAATAACGTTTAGTACGCTTGGCTATCTGGGTGGTTTAAATAAACCATTTCTCTGGGTGTACTAAAATTTATTTATTATTGTTAATTAATTATTACTAGATTATTAGGTTGATAAATTTTCTGTAGTGGGACACTAATTTTTTTATCACGAGATTTTTATGTGATATATAAATAATTTTGTAGTTTTTCCGAATCAGAATATAAATCAAAATTTTAATTTTTTCAAGATGAGTTATTGTTTAAACAGTTTTTAAGGAACAAATTAGAAATCTTGTTTTTTTTACTGTTCAATTTGATGGAATTTACTAAAATTTATTAAGTAATACACAATAATCAATGATTTTGAACTAAAAATATTTGGTTGATGATTTAAAATAGGTTAAAATTCACAGTATTAATTATTCAATTTCTTAAAATATTAATTTTTTCTTTTGATAATAATGTAATCAGATTTATTTTCTTTATTGTATAAATTTATACTGAACTTTAACTTTTAAAGCGCCAACCTAAATTTAGTTAATATGTATTGTTACCTAGTTAACTATTAGAATTTAGGAGTACTTTTTGTATGAAAGGACTTGTCCGGTCTATAAATAAATAAATTAAAACTTAGCTGAAATATAATATGTCGTAGACAATATTTTGACAGAGGTGCGAGTAAAATTCCCAAAATATGAAACGTCTATTATGTGAAACATCTCCTATATGTCACTCCTCTCCTACCAGGGTTGGGAACGTGTAAAACTGTTGATGTTTTTTATAATTTGTGTGAATTTATACACCATATGCCAGGAACTAATAACATTATTATTTTAAATAACTTTATGAAATTTTTAAACCAATATTGTATATTTATTTATATTAAAAAAAATTTTAATAAAAGTTTCTCTCACAATAACTAATATTTTTATTTGTCCTTGGAGAGCTGGCAAACCATTTCAAAAACAATCGTATATACAACATTGCGAGTAACAGCAGTTCACAATTTTGTAGCCAATTTCATATACCGAGATTGACCCGTACTACTGTGTGTGTTTATAAATTATTCAAAAAAAATGATAAAAAATTCTCACAGCGTCAATTCAATTGTGTTTTTTTATTACAATAGTACGTGTTGTGATGTCGTATCACGAAAATTAGAATCCTTGAGCTTTTCTCTTTAAGTTTTTTTTTTTAGTGATTTAATCAATAAGAGAATGTCATCTTTGTCTAGCAAATATAAACTTTTATCGTTACAATGCGATTGTCAGGGTCACAGTTCGATATGTAAGGTCACGTGTCGAATAGAATATTTGAAATATTCTCAAATAAAATTAAAATTAATTTATTAAAATTTAAAAAAATTTCTTACAAAATGCAATGGAAAATAGATAAATTTAACAATATTACTTTCATCTATATATTATTTAAGAAAAATTAATAAATAATTTTGAACATTTTTATTAGAAAAAATAAAACAATAAATATATGAAATTTGAAACATTACTAAAACTGTAAAAAAAAATTTTATGCTATACTAAAAATAATACGATAGGGAAATATTTCAAATATTGATAGGAATTTAAAAAAAATCGAAAAATTCGAAGAATAATTTCAACAAAAAAAAATATGAGGAAATAAAAAATATATAGGTATTTGTTAACAACAGTATCATGCGTGATATCACATTTTAGTGAAGAGAACCTGTTTTAGTCAGACTCGACAGGTTGAAGTAGAACAAGTCAGTTTCAGTGACCGCACAGAAGGCCAGGCCTTATAATTATAGATATTTAACTTTCCGATTTTTGTTTCATTTTTTTTATGAAAAATTGTCACCTGATTGAAAATAGAAAAACAATAATTTAAATTATTTTCTCCTTTTCTTCACAATTCTTTTATTGTTTTATTTGATAAGTTTTTTTCATTCTTGTTTTCTTATTCTACCAGAAAAAATATTTTTTTGAAACAAAAAAAACGTTTTTTTAATCAAAATTATTATTTTTTGTAGCTCTAAGGACTCTGTTACATGGAGCAAATTAGCAGAATAGATTTTAACCAATTAAAATTTAGTCTCCTGCGGCAAGGTAACATTTGCCGTAAGAGACTTCATTTTGATTATAGTTAAAATCTATTCTGCTAATCTAATAATTTGCTCCATGTAACAGAGCCCTATAACCGTTCGGGAATACCGCCAAACTCTTTAGAAAAAAGTATCGAACAAAAAATGTATGGCGCACTTTTTAATTGGTCCAGCGGATGCTGAGCTCCACTAGAAAACAAATTCGGAAAAAATTACAATAAATTAAATTTGCGATATAATCGCGTTCCGGAATATCACTAAAGTCTTAACCCGGGAGTTTCGAACAAAAAATGTATGGCGCACTTTTTGATTGGTCCATCGGATGCTGAGCTACACTCAAAAAATCGTGGGATTAATTTTCGGAAAATAAAATTTGCGAGATAATGACTCGGGTATAATGCCAAAAAATTAAGCAAAAAGTCTCGACGCATACTTCATAATTATCAAAATCCTTTTCAAATTAGGCCTAAAAGCGATAGAATCTCCTTCAAAAATACTTTTTATTTTGTTCCCTTTTTCCTGCCTTTTTGGTTCTTGTCAAAACCAAATATATATCATTTAAAATTTTTTTGTTGCCAGTGTTTGAAAGTAACGCGTTACTTTTAACATTGTTACCATTATCGGTACTTATTCCTTAGTAGTAACGATAGTTGTAACATGTTACTATTTTGAGAAAGTAACGGTGACAAGTTACTTTTTTTGGGTAACTTGTAACGAAAAATCGTTACTTTTCTCGTTACATTAATTTTTATGTAATGCAACTTGTTGAATTTTTCTTTTTTTTGTTTATACACTTTTTATTACTTACAATTAGTAATAATAAATTTGATAAATTAAATAAAATAGAAAACTTTAGGTTCATCTGCAAAAGAAATTATATTATTTTATATTTGGCCAAATTTATCAATTAACACACAATTTAACTACATATCTTTAATTTCAAATTTCCTGAAAAGATTCCATATGTTTACCGCTACTAATTTATAATCAACTGCACTCAAAGAAAAATTTTATTTCTGTTAAAACAATTTTTTGATTATTTTAAACAAAATTTGTTTGATTCAAATTAATAATTACTTGATCTAAATAAACGTTTGGTTTCTTTTAATATATTTTTCGAAAGAAGAAAATTTGACTGAGCCAAATAAATTTTTTGGTTGATTCAACCAAAAGTTTATTTATAGTAATACATTTTATTTGATTGACTATACCAAAATTTGGTTGTTTCGAACAAATTTTTTTCTGAGTGACTGAAAGTTGAATATAATTTTTTTGATTTTCGCATAAACCGAAAAACATTCAAACTTTATAATATCTGCATGAATATAAAACATAGCTATATATATCAAAACTTACTCAGCGTATTGTAAAAATTATTATATTAGTTCTGGGCATAATTATTTCACTATTAAATGTAGAATTAATATCTGTTGAAATCTCCAAATTATTAATATATGGATCGCGCACAAAACTAAAGCACTTAAGAAATAAGACTGAAATTTAATTAACATTACAATATCATTTCAACCTACGTTGAGAACGCTAATGGATCTTATCGCATTCTAATATTTACTGAATCAACAAAAGCGACGAAACTCTGTCAAGAAGCTGGTTTATAAAACGCGCCACTTCTCTCTATATAGCCAACAAAATTATTCTTTACATTAGAGATTGTATATGTGATTTCAAAATAACACCTACTTGACGATAATAAATTAAATGCTACTTCGTTTTTCTATTTTCTTCTAATTAATTCTTTATGAAAAAAACAAGTTTTTACATTTCAAAAAATCTCGCTTTATACGACCTGAGTGTAATATCACAGAATAATTAATAGTTAAAATTTGAATGAATTAAAATTCGGATAATTTGAAATTTAAATCAAAATTAAAATTTAGAGAAATTGAAACTTAATGCCTGCTTGCCCCGTCTTCCCCCAGACAGGCAGTAGAGCTGTGACTGCGTCTTAAAAGTCATTTAAAATTTGGACAAACTGAAATTCTGATAATTTAAAGTTAAATCAATTAAAATTTAGATCGATTTCGATTTTAAGTTTCTATCGATTAAATTTACTTTTGATTAAAACTTTAATTAATAAATTTATTTTGGCCAATTAAAATTAGAATTGATTGACAGTTGGAGCAATTGAAATTGAAATTTAGATCGATAACAATTTTAATCCATGAATTCTTCAGTTAATTTAAATTTAGATTTATTGAAATTTGACCCAAATTTTATTTTTAAATCGAGGAAAAATTTCGATAAATTCAAGCATTCATTCATTTAAGCATTTGTAATATAAAGCTAGATTTTATTAAATTCATAAAATTTTTTTTTAATATCCAAAAATTAAGCTATAAAGAAATATTTTTTTTTTTAAAGTACATACTTATAACATATGGGACATTATTTCTAAACTATGCATACCTCAACTCTGATATAACTTAAAGTTGAACAACTATATAGAGATTAGCCAGAAACTTTGGGAAATTGTTGTCTTAGAAGCCGTGTAGAAAAATTAAAAATTTACATTCTTCATTCGTCGTAGAAAAATTATTATTATTTCGTGAAATTTTTTGAAAATTTTCAATTACAATTTCCTGAAATATTTCAATATTATATGATGCCAGGAGTCAATAATTTTTTTACAAAACAGAATAATATTTTATTTTACATATCACTGTAAAAATAACAGAAAGATGGAATTTAAAAGTTAATTCGAAAAAAATGAAAAATTTACAATTATTTATTTAATAATGCTTCTCTAATATTATTTTATAGAGAATAGTTAGAATAAAAAAATATTGGTATTTACGTAAAGTTTAAATTCCGCGCCATAATTCTCAAAATAATTTTATTGGAGACTAGTTTGAAATTATTAGTTCTGTTTCGCGTCGATAGATGTCGAAAAATTGTTCTCTCGAAGGAGAGATACACCCTCGAGGTATATAAAAAGGCAGCAGTGAGTCACAATCGTCACTCTGGTTTCCCTTCAAAATACGAATAAATCTTTCGCCTTTTACTAAAGATTTCCGTGGAGGGGAACAAATGATGAGTCTAATTGACTAATTTTTTTCGTGCCCGACGAAAGTTGGGCCATAAACTATTTTAAAAAATTAATTCCTCTCTTTTGATAATACATATTTTGTTAGTAAGAAATTTTATCTTCCATTGAGGAGATTTTTCATTGTTTTATTCATTACTTTTCTTATACATAATTCAATTAATAATTTTTCCCTAACATTATGTAATTTAATAATTATATTTGGTATACCTATATTAATTCTTCAAATTAAAAATAACATTTTCTTCTAAATTAATTAAGTTAATTTAAATAAACATTACCTACTTTAATTAAATAAATTAAATTTTAAAAAAATATCAATTAATATAAATAAATTAAATTATTCTAATAATATGCAAAGATGTAAATATATTTGAAATATTTTTTTTTAAATGACTCACATTGATAGAATCAAAGAACATAAAATTATAATTATGAAAATATAGCCGATAAATCCATTCAATATATTACCATTTCACTTTAAATTGGTTCCGTGGTGTAGCGGTTATCACGTCTGCTTTACACGCAGAAGGTCGCCAGTTCGATCCCGGCCGGAACCATTTTTTTAACATTTTTTTTTAAATTATTATTTTCTTATCATTATTAATAATAAAAAAATGTTATACATTATTTAATTTTTTTTAATTTTATTACTAATATAATTAATTTTATACATCCTAGGGAAAAGATATATTTGTCTCAGAGCCAAATAAATATTTTTTTGTTTCAAATAAATTTTATTTGAATTAAATAAAAATTTTATTTGTGCTAAATAAATGTTTTATTTAAAACAAATAAAAAGTTATTAACCTTTTTATTTCATAGTGATCCTAAAAAATATTTTAGGGGAAATAGGGGACAACTATGAGGCCTGTAAGCTTTGAAAAAAAAAATATTTTTTTGCTGTAATAATGTGTAATGATTTTCCAATTTATTTTTCAATAAACAATTTAACAAAAAGCAAATATTAATAATTATTATTTGTCAATAAATATAATAAGGTTCGATAAAAACATAGAAATAAATAACCATCATATAGTTTCATAAAAAACATTTTATATTTTCTAAATTTTTTTTTCAAAAGCGAAGTTTTCTATAAATTTAAAGCGTAAGCTAGTAACACATTTGTATTATTAATAATTTTTTTTTAAATTTTATTTTAAATATATATATAAAGAAACAAAAGTCTATAATTTTCAGTCTACATTTTCTAAAATAAAAATAATCGCTTAAATTTTTTTAACTTCTTCATTTTTTTTCTTTTTAAATAATTAAAAATCTTTAATATTACAAGTCTTTTTTTCAATATTATACAAATATATTTTAATAATATATTGCTAAAATCACCCATTCCCAATAAACAACGCTACCAACATTCTGTCACTATATAAAAATATTAGTATGCTTTAAAAACTGTACAATGAATGTACAAAATATTACATAATTTATAAATATTTTTTTTTAAATTTACAATAATTTAATTGTATTTGACCGTATTATGAAAAGAATATGAAATTATTTCATTTATTTCAGACGTAATGCTTAATGTACGTTTTTTTCTTTTCAATTTAAACATTTTTCAAAAATTGAAATTGAAAACAAATAAAAATGACTTTTTATACTAAAGTTACTAAAATACTAAGGTCATGTTAGTTAAAAAAAAATATTTGTCATTTTTATTTTTAAAACATCATCTTTTTTTGATTTAAAATTTTTCTTATTTTAAAAATTTAATTCATTTTTCAAAACAGAGAAAATAAATGTTTTTTTTTATTTACACAAGTGGATCTTCTGTTTTTTTCGAAAATTATGTTTAAAAATTAATAAATTAAATTTGAATTTTAAATGATCCATCAATTTAATTAATTATATATGAGACATGAATTAATTATTGAAATTTGCATCAAAACAAAATAAATTCACTATTCATTCAAATCAATTGAAATTCAACAACTGAAAAAAGTATATTTCATTAATATTAAAAATCATTTTTCAAACATTTTTTTGTCTAATTATTTTTCAAACATCAACAAAAAAAAATATATATATATATAAACATTTCATTTTCAATTGTTAAATTTCATTTTATTTTTATTTTATTCCAAAAAACATTTTTTTTAATTACCAATAATAATAATTATTATTATTTATTAATGATTATGAATTGTTAATTATTGTTATTAATTATTTTAAACCGCTTAAAATTTCAATTTTTAATAACTTTAACAAAAAAATTCATTGATTCATTAATTTCTTTTTCAAAAATTTGAAGAAATTCGTTATAGAAATTCTGCGATAAAATTGCATTTTGGTTACTTGGAATAAACAGCGAATTATTAATATTTAAATTTCATTTTAAACAAAAGTCATTTTTTCGAATTGCATTTCTTTTTCCATCTCCATCTGCATATAAATAAATAAATAATAAATGATTTTAAGTGAAAACTGTGATATTTATAATTTCCCATTGAGCTATAATAAATAAGGAATTCTTCATAAAAAAAGATAAAATTATATTTTCATACTTATAATTCTAAATGAAAAGAAATTCCTATTTTTATATCTAGATATTTACTATTTCTATAAATAAATAATAATTACTCAATAATGATTTAATGTTTAAAAAAAAAATGAAATTGTAATGAAAATTTTTTTTTATCTCTGTTTATGAAAAAATCCAAATTGTTTAATAATTATGGCTTAATTGTTTGCTCTTAAAGCGAAAATCAGAATTCGAGTTGGTAAAGTCATTTCAATATTAATCTATATTATTATAATATTTCCTAATCATAATCAATCGGGTTCGACCAGAGGATTTTGAGCTCGATTTTCACCTTCCTCCTCGAGGATAAACGACGTTTCCGAGTCACTTTCATCTGAAACACGTGGAACATACCAATTGTCAAATAAAAACAATTTACACACGATAAAAATATAGAGAAGAGGTCAGAAATTTTTTTTTTTTTTAAATTTTCACATGAATAACAACTAAAATTCATTAGTTAAAATTTTCATTTGACAGAATTTTAGAGGAGCATAATTAATCCATAAAAATAATTAGAATTTTCAATTTAAAAAATTTTATTAAATATATATTTATTTTTTAGTCGAATTTTCATTTTTCAAATTATCCTTTAAGGGGACATTCATTAATTACGTAAGGGTCCTTATGGGGTGGGGGGGTTTATAAAATCTCTACATGGTCTTACGTGGGGGGGTGGGGGGTAGAAGCTAATCTTACGTAAGATTTTGCCAAGTATTTTCCATTTGTATTATGATGTAATTAATTTTTTAATTACATTAATATTGTTAAAAACTTACGTAAGAAGGGGAAGGGGGGGGCCGAAAAATCTTATGTATCCTTACATGGGGGTAGGGGGGGTCAAAATTAGCCAAAATCGTCCTTACGTAATTAATGAATGGCCCCTAACAGAATTTCTTTTTAAACGAATTTTTACTTAACAGAATTTTTAGCTACCGAACTTTTATTGGGCAGAATTATTGTTTCACAGAATTTCTTTTTATCGAACTTTTTATTTAAACGAATTCTAATTTAACCGAATTTTTATTTAGCATAATTCTCATTCAACAGAATATTAAACGTTACCAATATTTACAATTCATCGAATTTTCGTTTGTCCGAATTTTTATTAGACCAAAATTGCAAATGGCCAGAATCAAAAATTCGGTTGTGATTGGTCAATTTTTAAAATTCGCGCGCAAATCTTTTTGAAGGTTATGTTTGTCCGTTAAATTGAAATTAAGGTTTATCAGATATTATATTTATTTATTTATTTATTTATTTATTTATTTTATCATTAACGGGAAAATTAATATTAGTGAAAATTTTTATTTTTTTTTTGTTCTAATATCATAAAATTATTTATTACCGTTTTTATGCAAGAGTTGTGAAAATATTCTTCTATATATATTACTTACATCAAATTTTTTATAACTGAAAAGAAAATAATTAAGCAATACAACTTGCCAACAAAATATAAAATATTATGCATCTATCTTTGGTTTATGTAGGTATATATGAGGCATTATTATTTTTTTTTTTTGTCAAACTAAAAATGGGCTCAAATTATGACTCATTCTGCAAATATTGTTCAAGATAAAAAAAATATGGGTCGCATGATTATCTCCCATATTAAATTACATATATATATACTTTCCCTGATGTTCAATTTACCAAATTTTCATTTCAAATAATTAAATAACCTTAACAAATTTTTTTTTTTGTATACAAAATTTAATTTGAAAAAAAATGAAAAATAAATTACAATTCATTAAACAATGCTTCTCGAATATTATTAATAGAGAATAATTACAATAATAAAATAATGGTATTTACGTGAATTTTAAATTTTGCGCCAATTGCAGACGAGTTTGAAATTATTAGTTCTGTTTCGCGTCGATAGATGTCGAAAAATTGTTCTCTCGAAGGAGAGACACACCCTCGAGGTATATAAAAAGGCAGCAGTGAGTCACAATCGTCACTCTGGTTTCCCTTCAAAATACGAATAAATCTTTCGCCTTTTACTAAAGATTTCCGTGGAGGGGAACAAATGATGAGTCTAATTGACTAATTTTTTTCGTGCCCGACGAAAGTTGGGCCATAAACTATTTTAAAAAATTAATTCCTCTCTATTGATAATACATATTTTGTTGGTGAGAAATTTTATCTTCTATTGTGAGAAGATTTTTCATTATTTTACTCATCATTTTTATAGGAGATAATCATGATCCTTAAAATTTTTGTAATTAAATTATTGAAACAATGGGAAAATTAATTTTCCTTATAGCAATAAGTTTTTGAAGCAGATCAAAATTTTTATTGTAAAGTGAATTTTCCTTTTTACCTGGAACTTATTTTATAATTACTTATTACTTAAATAATATTTATTGGAAATAAATTTTTTCAGGGTCGGTTTTAGATAAAACAGTAGCGCCTGTGGCAAATATGCAGTGAATGTTCATCAATAAAAATTATAAATTAATATTATGAAACACAAATTTTTAACAATTTTTTTATAGGTAATTATTTTATATTTTTTCATAAATATTTTTTAATTTTTTAATAATTATTTTATAATTGTTTTTTATAAATTAATTTTACATAATTTTGGCGCCCGAGGCGACTGTCCCATTATCTAGAGCCGGCCATGTATATTCGTGACGTTTATTGAGACGCATGAATAATCTCTAAAATTAATTTGTTAGAATTTCATTATACTGAATTGTCTTTTAGTCGAATTTTTATTTTGTTCGAATTATTTTTTTTTAAACAAAATTTCCATTAAACCCATTTTGAATATAAAACGGAATTTTTATATAACCGAACATTTACTTCGCAGAATTTCTATTTAATCGAATTTTCATTTGACAGAACTTTCGTTATTGTTCATTTATTGGAATTTATACGGTGTCGAAATTAATAAACTCGAATTTCTATGTTACCGAATTTTATAAAGTAGAATTTATATTGAATTCTTAAATATGAAAATGCAATTTAATATCAATGCTTTTTTATAAAATTCTAGTAACATTGAAATTCAAAATTGTTTTTTATTTTTTTCCATCCGGTAATTTGTTTAGAAGTTTTAACCGTTTTTTGGATTTTTTTTGGGGTCATTCCGTAATAATTTTCGTTTTTTTCTAAATTTGTATTTTTCGCTTTTGAAGACTGTCATTCATTGTAATATAATCTATGAAGTGAACTTTCGGTTATTTAAAAATTTCGCAATATAGTAAATCGGTTTAATGAAAATTCTCTCAAAAAATAATTCGAACAAATATAAATTCTGTTCAATAAAATTCTATCAAATTAATTTTAGGCAATAATTAATCCATCTGCATTTATCTACATATTAGAGAAAATAACAAAGACTTAGAAAAATAACAACAAACCAAAATGTAATATTAATATTATTATTAAATACTTGTCCCACACATGTAAATAATTGTAATACATGCAATTTTTTGGTTACTCTATATATACGTGTATTAATTCTTTATAGTAGTAGGCAAATATAAATTCCAATTAGTTAATTACACACAGAAAGTTCCAAACACAGAAACCCTAAGGATACAACATGCAAAGCTGTGCTTATAACTTAGTTGATGCAATTTTACTTTCACTCCAAATACCGTATAATTAAATTACCATTTTACAATAAAAAAAATTAATTATATGGTGATCATGTTTTTTGATAATATAAATGAAAGAACATGAAATGCATTTTTCAAACATCATCAAAAATAAAATAATCATTTTTTTCCGCAACCCAGAAAATAATTGAAAAATTATTGACCACCGAAAAAGAAATAAAACAGAACATATTAAAATAATCGATAGGGGAAAAAAAAGTTTGCTAAAATGGAACGAATTATAATAATTATTAATAAATATATTATAAATGTAATTTATATAAGGATAAATCCAATTATTGAAAACAACTGGAATTAATTTTGGAGAAAGGATATCATGAAAATAAAGTAGGTACCAGATTTTACAGTTGAGTCCAAACTTGATGATCTTACAAACGCGTTGATTCGGCTTTCCCATTATGCTTAGTTTCAAGATATTGGTCTGGAAGAAACACGTTTCTTATTACAACTATTTATTTTTCAAATTTCGGAAAGAAAAAATTCCAAACTCGTTCCACCATCCATATACCTTGAATTTGTTTTTATTTTTTTTTAATTTAGTAAACCACGATCGAAAGCTTGTGAAAAAAAAGAAAATAAAAAGAATAAAAAAAATTTTTTAATAATTTTTCCAAATAAATTGTTAATGAAATGAAAAACTAAAAAATATCTTAATGATACACTATCGGCATTTAATATTTAAAAACATTTATCATCAAATGCTATTAAAAATCAATTTCATAATATTTAAATAACAATTTTGATAAAAATTTTCCCTGACAAATTTTTTTTTTCAAAATTTATTGAAAAAAATAAACAATTTATCAAAGTATTATAAGTCGATTTCATTTCTGACAAAAAAGTATTAGGAATATTTTTATATAATATAAATATAAATAATTATTTATTTGTGAAATTTATGACAATGTGTAAAATATAAATAAATATTAAATGCTGATAGTGTATAATAATTTAACACAAAAAAAAATTTCTGTCGAGTATCAAAAGTAAAATATCGATATCGATGTAGAAATATTTCTATACAAAGCGCAAATATTATTATTTCTACTAATTCGATATACTGATATTTTACAATAGAAAATTATAATATTAAATAATATTTTATTCTCGTCGACATTGTAAAATGAAATATAACTGAAATGACGTGCAAAAAATGAATAATTAATAATATTAGTAAATGGTTTTTAATAAAAAAAAAGAACGCATTTAAAAAAATAAAGTACTTCTGTCATAATTTCCTTTGATTGTAATTACTTTACTATACTTTTAATAATATTAATATTTAATTATTTTTTAATAATGATATTTCATTTATCCGAAATTGAAAACGACTAAACAAATAAATAAAAAAATGTCAATGCTGTTTTTAAAATTCCAATAACGATTTTTTTTTATAATTTCTGATTGGTCAATTTTTGAAAATCGCGTTGAAATCTTTCTGCTGATTATATATTCGGTCATTAGCAATTTCGGACAAATGAAGATTTGTCGTTTTAAGAATTATATTAAATAAGAATTTGTACAAATAAAAATTCGAAAAAATGAAGTTTGAGTAAATAAAAAATTTTGACATTTAAAAATTTGTATCACTTAAATTCTGTAGAATGAGAATTATGCTAAATTAAAATTCTAAATTAGAATTCTATTTAATAAAAAGTTGTGTTAAAAAGAAATTCTGTCAAATAAAAAAGTTCGGAAGCTGGAAATTTTGTTTAGTAAAAATTCGTTTAGAAATAAATTCTGTTTAAGACTAATTCTAAAAATGATAATTCGTCTAAAAAATAATGATATCTAATAAAATTCTTTAAATTGAAAATTCTATCTAATTATTTTTATTGAACAATCATGGGCCTCAGAAAACGGTTTTAACAAAAAAAAATCTTTAAAAAAACATGTTAAATTTTTTTTTGTTATTTTAAAGAAAAAAAATGTTTAAAATACAACATTAGAGGCGCGAATATGTAATTTTACCGAAAATATATATGTAGATTAAATGATAATAAAGTTAAAATATTGATTAGATTATTATTTTCCGCGTCTAATTATTAATTAATGCTCTGTATAGATATCAAACACTTGTTATATACATATGTAGTAAATAACGATCAAGTGAAATTTATGACAAGTACAATTTGGAGGGAAAATACACATGCATCATACTAAAAATTTCCCATCTCGATATATATTATATATTCTCTGACGGTTGATAAACTGACGAGATAATTAGTATTCAGTGCAGGTTGCGTTTGTCATTCACTGACATTCTATTATTGACTACCACTTTAATGCTTAATGAAAATAAATTCGATCTACCCCATAATTAAACTAAATCTAAAACTTAATATTAATCAATCATCATCGGCACATAGAAAAAAAATAAACAAACAATTCCAAAACAAAAAACTAAATCAAAATCAAATAAAAAATTTAATCAAAAAAATACACTAAAAGTTGCTGGTAAAACAAAATTTATTTGTCCAATTTTATACCAAACAATTTTTAGATAATAAAAAAAAATAGACAAAATTATAAATAAAAAAAAATAATAATAATAATTAAAATACAAAAAAAATACAAAAATATTAGAAATAGAAATAAAAATAAAAAATAATATTCTGTTTTTGATCTCACGTTTTTGAAAATTATTTTCGTTTCTTTATTCACACGATACGTTTTTTATTTACTTCAGCTAATTTTTTAGAATACTTCACAGTACTTTCCAACTTTCGTGACTTTAACTGCGAACTTGAAAACATCAATTGAACTGTACAAAAAAAAAGAGTGAAAAAGAAGCAAAAAAAAATTTTAATTAAAAAAAAAGTTTTAATATCTAAAACTTAAAACAAAAAAAATGTTTACTTTTAAATATCTAAAATTTAAAATAAAAACAATACATGTTCAAATTTAATTATCAATTTTGGAGTTAAAATGAAAAAAAGTTATATTAGAGAAAAATTTGTTAACAAGAAGAAAGAAGTATAAATCTAAATCTAAAGTAATTTTTTAGAAAAATTAATTATTAAATTAAAATTAAAAAAAAAATTTTTAACTATTGGTAAGAAGCAAATAACTAAAAAAAATTCTATTTAACACTACAAGAGGCAAGTGAGAAAATTTTAATTGCAAAAGAAATTACTCTTATTGCATTCAATTAAACGATCCAATAATTATTAGAGCTAAGTGTGAAAAAATCTCAAAATATTTGCTAAGAAAAAAGAAATTTTTTTTTGTTACTTACCAGCAACGGTGAGATCAACCAATGCCTTGTCTTTTTGAATGTATAATGCTGTAATAAAAAAGAAGAGACTTCCAATGACTTCGATGAAAACAGTAATGAAGAGAGAATACTGTAGACTTCGGTACTCAATTAAATCGTTGTTATTCACACTTAAGTTGGACACTCCACTTGACACATTTGTCATCATTCTTGATTTGATGCCTTCTGATAACTGTTAATTGAAACAAAAATATATTTACATATTAATTATTTATTTATTAATTTAAAAAATATACGACTGATAAAAAAATGTCCATTTGTAAAAAGCAATTTTTGTTTTTCAAGGAATTTTATACGGCACGTATTTTTTATATGTTTGGAAAAAATTTTAATTTATGAATTTTTATTTAATAAAATTCTTAAAACATCGGGTGTTCAATTAACCGAAATTCCAAATGAAACAACAAATATAACCTATTAAAAGTATACAAAGTATACAAAATGACATTTTTACTTTGAATTGTAATTAAAGATAAAATCGATTCCCTTTTAAAAAGAAATTTATCGATTTTATTTATTTTCACACCAACAGTATTAATCGTGTATTGACAGGAAATTGGGTTATTATTGAATAGAGATGAGTAAACGTAAATTCCGATTTCTCGCACATATTGTGTATTATCATTTGGATTATGGTTACCGATGGGGATAATTTACTAATTAAAACATATTGACAGAAAAGGTCAAATATATCGAAAATCTCAAATTAAATTTTTTTAATAACACGTAAACATTAAAAATGTTTCTCCAATTTCTCTTTACAAATTCTATATTATAGAATTTTTATGTTTTTTCTTTTTATACAAATTTTTCTTTAAAAGAATTTTTATTTTACAGTCATTTTCTTTACATGATTTTCTATTTTAAAGAATTGTAATTTAAGCAAATTTTAATTTAGAAGAATTCTCATTCAAATCGAATTTTATGTGATTCGAATTTTTAAATGACAGAAATTCTAATTCACCGAATTTTTAAGACGCCGAATTTTCATTTGTCCGAAAAAACAATCCACAGAAAAATTTTGGCGCAATTTTTCTGTCCATTGTTTATTTGGACAAATAAATTACAAAGAAAAAGTACTTAAAATTTTTTTCCACATTCAAAAAAAAGAAAATAAATAATATTTTCAAAAACTTACAACTCCAATGATGTAGGGACTTCCTGCATCACCAAGAGCATGTGCTATAAGAATTTGTAGCGCCTCTGCTGATGATCTTCTCGTAGGAATTACGACATACTGGAAAGGTAAATATTTATTTTAATATTTTACAATTTTGCCTAAATAATATGCCTTAATTTTTTTATTATAATAAATTATTTGTTTCATTTAATGTTTTTTCCAAAATTTAATTTTCTTCTAATTTATTTTTAAAATCGCTCTTATTTTAAAAATAAATTTACGATAAATAATTGGCAATTCAATAATTGTAAAACAATGATTGATTTTTAATTATTATATAAGTTAATTTCAATTTTATCTAAAATATAAATAAACATTCGAACTTAATGAGAATTTTGTAATTATTCCACTCAATACTTTTCTCAAGTTTCTCAGTGTTCAAAATGAATAAAGTTATTATTATAAGTTGATTAATTATCGATCTCGGATAATCTATTCATTCATTTATAAAACGTATTCATATTCTTGATGATTTTCGAAAATCTTATAATTGAGAATTAGAAACAAATTTAGAGTTTGACTTTATTCTTATAAATCCAAATATTTATACTTGAATAATTAGAAATAAATTAAATTTTTCCTATCTAATTCTAATTTATTTTCAAATATAATTAAAATTTTTCGTGTCTATTTAAATTTTAACATGGATTTTATGTTAAAAATTAAAAATTTCAACCTGAATAATAGCATTGCTTCTGAAATTGTTAAAATATTAAAAAAAAAAAAAAAAAAAAATATGGTTTAAAGAAAATTGAAAATAAAATCGAATTTTCATTTTAAGAATATAAAGAGGAGAAAGTTCGTTAAAAAATTAAAATTCGTCAAAAAGTGTATTATTTATGCTATTTAAAAAAAAAAAGATTATTACTTACCAGCAGCATATCGGCAACAATGGACCAATTAATATTAATAGCAACTTGTCCGAAAAATATTAAAATATAACAAGCCGTAGAATTAATACCAGCCATAACAATACCAAAAAAGACGAGAGGCGTACTAATAAGAAGTCCAAATGCACAAATCAATGGATCTGTTTGTGTATAATAAACTCGCAATTTTTGCGCTATAATTGAACCTAAGGGTACACCTAATAATCCAGCGACCATTGCTGTTAATCCGAACTTGTATGCCACACTAGGAATTAAAATATTTATACATTTTAATTAATTATTATTATTATCACTAATGAAATTTGAGCCACATGAATACGGGAAATTTTTAGTCAAACGTCTAAATTTTAGATTTTTATCAAATTTTATAAAACATTTTAATACAAAATCTATCAAATAAGTCGTTTTAGTCAATTTACATTTACAAAACTCTGTTGAATGAGAATTATGTTAAATTAAAGTTTTGTTAAATTTGAATTATTTTAAATAAAAAAAGATATATTGGGTAGAACGAAAAAATTCTGTAATATAAAAGAGAAGTATAAAGTAAAGTAAAGTAAAAATTCGTTCTAAATTTTTTAACGTTTTTTATTTTGAATAAATAAATAAATAAAAATTCTATTAAATGCTAATTCAAAGAAATGAAAAATTGACTAGAATTTAATCATTTTTCTATCCCTATATTCAGATTGCTCTTAAAAATTCGAATTTAATTTCAAAAACTTACTCGTCTTGATCGACATTGTCATCATTTAATTCTAATTTTAATCCTAGTTTAAGAAAAGTCGGTCCCCACCATGCCAGGGCACCAGTAACAAATGAAACGCAGGTGAAACCAGCGGTGGATAACATAAAACTGTGACTGTAAAAGGAGAGAAAAAAAAACAAAATAAATATTATATAAATATTTTTTAAGGCAGACGTCCGTTTCAGGAAGCGAAAAATGTAGGCAAATTTTTACTATTTTTTTTTTACTTTGACGCCCTTTGGAAACAATAAATAATAATTTAAAACCAAAACGAAAATTGTTCCTTTTAGTTAAAATATTATATTTTTAAGGTGTAACAAATTTTTTTAATTTAGAATAAAAATAAATGAGAAAAAAGAATTTTTCGCATTCTGAAACTGTAGTTTGCCGTAAGCTTAAAAAATAATTTTTTTTTAATACCTAAATACATTTGAAATTAAAATTATTTTTTTTCTTTTCTTACTTTTTTACAAGAGATCTGATATCATCGGCCCAGGAAGTACTGACAATATTTGTACCGCCCTCTCTTTCGCCTCTGATTGGATCTCGTACCAAAAGTAGAATCAAGATGATGGCTACAATTCCCAAGATGGGAGTTATTCGTAAACCCCATTGCCAGGAACCTGTCGCTTTTGCAGTTTCTCCCCCGATTATGTACCCTAAACCACTGAAGAAAACTTTCTTTACTTAACGACATTTGAATAAACAAAAAAGCCTTGAGGGGTTAAAAGAAAGAGAGAGAGAGAGACGAGGAAAAATCGATTCACTACTTTTTTTTTCTGTGCACGAAAATAAAATTCAACGAATTAATATAAATAAACAAAAAATTTATTCTTTTTCTGTAAGTTTATAGGTACATAAATATTTTTAATTACTTTTTATTTGATAATTTCTTTAATAACTTTATACGATTTTAATTAAAATTATTTCTAATATTATGTAGGTACATTAGAATATTAATTATATAACTAAATTTAATTTCTGCATTTATTAAAAATTTAAGAAATAAGTAAAAAGAAAAGAAGAAAAATGTAAAGAGATCCAAATTACAAATCCAAAATTACAAACTGAAAAGCTTTTTTAAATTTCAGTAATTTTAGCACAAAAAAAGTAAGTTATAAAAAATAGAAAATTTACTGATTGAAATTAATGTTTTTTCATTTGTAATTTTTTTTACATAAATTAGAATTTGAAAGAAAAGTGAACTAAAAATTTGTTTACTCACCTTCCAACTGGAATGGCAAAATAGAAAAGAGCGAGCATTTTTGAGCGAACATCTTTAACGAATAAGTCACTAATTATAGTAGGGGCAATTGTTGAATAACTCGCTTCGCCCACTCCTACCATAGCCCTAAATACGAGAAACCATCCATAAGCCTAAAAAAACAAAACAATCAAGTTTAATTTTAATTAACTCCCTTAAAAATTAATAAGTATGTCTCCATGCAAAAAAAGGAACTTAGTTTAGTTAGTTCATTTTTAAAAATTAAAATTAATTGAATTTTCGAAAATTTACAATTCAGATTTTGAAAATAATTGAACTTCAAGTGATTTTTATTGAAATTTTTGGTGATTTCTGTTGCTAAAAATTTTATTAGAAATAACAGACAAAAAGTGTTTTATTTATTGAAATTGAACTTTAAAAGATTTTAATTGATAAATATTTTCAGATAATTAAATTTTTGAAGAATATTATAAAAATCATTGGAAATCATTGAATTTTAGAAGAGTTATAAAGTTGAAATTTTTGAAAATAATTGAATTTTAAGTGATTTTGAATTAAAATTCTTGGTAATTTTATTTGATGATTTTTTTAGACTTTAAATAATTATTGAATTTCATAAAATTTTTAATTGAAAAATAGATTATGATAATATTGAATTTGTAAAGAATTTCATTAAAAAATTTTATAAAAAATGTACAAAAAAGTCGGAAAAGATTCACCTTATTAAAATAAGTCGAAAAAAGTAAATGATTTTTTTTATTTTCAAAACACTGTTTTTAATATTAGGAAAATTTTTATAACCTCATTACCTTCATATAGGAACCAATAAATGTCGTGAGGCACCAAAGAAATACTCCTAAAGCCATTAGAATTTTTCGATTATAACGATCACCCAAATATCCAAAAATAGGTGCAAAAGCCATATAACTTATTATAAACGCCGTCTGCAAAAGACCTGCTTCTCCATTACTAATATGGAACTCATCTTTTACATCATCCAGGATTCCTAAAATCAAAAATAAAAAAACTTATTATGTAGTGTCGTTATTGAAATAAACCCTATATAGTAAGAAAAAAGGGTTTTGTAAAATAAAAAAAATTGTAAATGGCCGAACAAATATTCAATTTTGTCCATTTGAATTTTAATTGTTTAGTGTCCCAAGAAAATACTGGCGCCTGGTTAAAAAGTATAAAAATTAAATCTTTTGAAAGTGACCTAATTTGATTTTTATTATTTTCTCAAAAATTATTAATTTATTTATATTGAAATTCTAAGGTTACACAATATGTATAAAAATATGATGACGAGAGAGTTTAGATGTTTACCTCTATATCAAAGTTGTTGGTAGTTTGACGTGAATGCAGTTTGGCTCTAAGGTCATTGTAACTAAGTGTCCCAATCAATTTGTATCGATGAGACAAATTGCTTTTCCGATCGTCTATAACCCCTTCATGACAAAGACAATTTTCAAAAAGCAATCACGTTATACCCAAATTTTATTTGCCACTATCTATACATAGTAACCATCGAGAACAAACTTTTACTATTTTTTTTAATTTTTAAAAAGTATGTCGTAGGTCAGTATTCCCTTGAAAAAAACAGTAATGTTCAAAACTAGTTGGAAGTAATTTTACTTGAATAATTGACACGATGGTTTTGAAAAATATAACTTCAGTAATTTATTTCATTAATAATAATTTAATTGTTTGCATTCTAAATAAAATGTTTAATTTTAATTTAATACATACATTGAATTATACAATAATTACCAGTGAAATTTAAATAAATTAAAATTTACCTCTTTTTTAAGTCTGACAATTTTTTTTTAATTTTTCAAAAATTGACTATATAAAAAATTAAAAAAGATAATTTTTTCTAAAACTATATTTTTGGAAAATCATTTTATGTATTTAAAAATTTCCTGTCCATTAGTAAATAATATGTTATAAAAATTAAAATACATATTTTATGAAAAAACAGAGAACTTAATTAGGAATGTGACATTATCGATGACCACAATAAAATTAGACTCTATTTTGACTCTCCTCGAGGAAGAAAGAAAATTCTCCGTCTTTTTTCAGAACAAAAAGTAAAGCCTAAATCTATTAATGTTCGCGTATCAGTATAACCTACTTTACTGTTCTTAGAATGTAACTGCTCCTAAAAAAATTTAGACTTCCGATAAATAATATATTTTGCAAAAACTTTTTTCCCCCCTCAGAATCAATAAAACAAAATTAATTTTGAATTTTCAGAATTCTACAACTAAAAAACTGTTATAAATCATTCAAAAGAAACAATTTATTAAAATTTGCAATTTTTTAAATTATTTTTACCAATATTAAATACAGTATTACTATTACTATTATTATTCAAAAGAATTTTCATTAAAAAAAAATTAGAATTATTTTCTGGTCGAATTTTTATTTATATGAATTTACATTTTACAGAATTCTTAAAACGCCGAATATTTATTTTACTGAATGTTAGAGAAAATATTGTACCGAAAAAAAATTTTTAGGAAAAAATTGTATTTTAATGCAAAGTTTTTTCTTAAATTGTTAAATCAACTTTTTGTCTTATTCTTTAAAACAGTATAATTTTTTACGATTTTTTTATGAAATAAAAATTAAAAAGTTGAAAACAATCTATTTTTATGTCTTTCAAATTAAAACGAAAATTATGAATATTTCATGTTTTTGACTTCAAATATTCATTATTATTAACATTGAAACAAAAGTCTTTAGAAATCGTGTATATTTCAAGAAAATGCAACTAAAAAAATATTATTCTTTATTTAACAAAATATTGCAGACAGATAAGTATAGTTTTTATATACAAATTGATTTACATATTTCATAACATTTATTATTTAACAACGGAAAAATTTTAAATGCGTATTTTAACTGATTTAATAAGACTTCTGTATACAATTAGTTCACAATATATATCTAAAAAAGTGAAAAAGAAAATAAGAACCACATATATATTTTTATAAAAGACATCATCAGGTTTGCAAAAAAGAAGGAATATTCTTTATATGGGTTGAAACGTTTGAGACAGTCAAACAACTGTTACAAGGTTATATGATGCGATTTATTTTTATACTAATATATTTTTATGTCATTGCAAATTTAACATTCATCAAAATATTTTTATTAAAAAAAATTATTTTGCAAATTATTTTTTTAGTTCTTAACCACTGTCTGACGCGACAAATTTTAATTAATCTTTTGATTGCAATAGCAGTCAAAGTAGAAAATATATTTTTCTCTCAAAGTCTGTGTAAATAAAAAAATTAGAAGAGATCAAAAGTCATATCAATATTTATAATAAAGTCTGTCAGTTAAAGAAAATTTGAAATAAAATGAAAAATAAGAATTACATTTAGTATCATAAAAAGATTGATATCAATAAAATGTTGTTCAAATAAAAATTCGAGGATCCAGTAAAAAAAAAATTCAATGGTCGCTGGACTTAAAACTTACAAGTTTCCTTATTATTTGAAATTAAAGGTAAAATTTTAAATAAACATTTCGTTATCACTAACAATGAGTATAAATTACTGTTAGTATTCATTCACCTTTTTTCATAATTCTCCTTATAGATAAGATGCAGTTTGCAATTTTCTGTTTTTTTTTAATTACATAATAAAGTTCCACAATATTTTATATCCAATTTTCGAAGTAAATTTTTTAGAATACATTTTCCAGTTTTGTTGACACTGGTTAATAGTATTTAAAAAAATATTTAAAAATAAAATTAATGAAATAAATAAATAAGAGAGAGAGAGAGGGGGGGGGGTTAAAATTAATGAAAATCGAAATTTTTATTTTTCTGGGCCAACCTAATTAAAATAATATCTAGTCCAATCTAATTTGCAATGAATTTTGTCGGCTAATTATTATTATAGATAATTATTTTTAATATTACAATGTATAACAACACAATGAGACAATGGAATAATTCATTATTAATCGACAGTGACGTTGCGTCTTTTTGTAAGTGACTTTTTTTTGGACCTTCCGTTTGACAGATATTCGTCTAATTTGACTTTTAGAAGAGGTTTAGAATAAGCAATCGCAACTTATTTTTTGCAATTTCATGACACAATATTATAAAAACATGTAAAACTACGTTAACTTTTATTTATTTCCATTTGAAAAATATAGATGTCCTCTTGGAGGAAACAATAAATTTCTCCAATGCAATTGATTGATTTAAAACCTTTCGAGTTGAAAACTGTTTTAAATTTCTTAAATTTTTTGAAAAATTAAGAAAATTTTAATTAATTTTAGGTGTAACATATACTCTATATATGCGAATCGATTCGTTTCAATGCAAGAAATACAATTATTTCATATATAAACTTGAATTTTAATAAACACAATATTTTTTAGCTAAAATGTAAATTTTTGATTTTTTAACTTTAATTAATTCTTTAAATTTCAATAAAATCTATACTTTATTTATATCAATCGATTCGTCTTGATGTAAGGAAGACGATTATATTATATATTACCTTAAATTTTTCTATTTAAAAATTTTTTGGAAAAAAGACGAGGTAGCAAAAATGAAATTAAACACCTAAGTTTAATTAAATAACAAAATTTAATAAATAAACAAAAATAATTCTTTTTATAAAAATTTTAAAAAAACATTAAAAACGAAAGCAAAACTTTATTAATATATAACAAAATTTTAATCTATCGATTATTTATTGTTTAGAATCAAATATAATAAGAATAAAAGTATTAAGAGTATAATAATAATAATAATAATAATAAATTAATTAATTAAATAATAAAAATTATGTAAGAGAAATTCAAAATTTAAGTTTCCTAGAATTTTGAGCTCTATTAAAAAATCAATGTTTTTGTCAAAAACATGAAATTTTCAGAATTTTCTGAAATTTTAATATGTAAGATAAAATTCTTTGCAGTAAAAAAAGTTATTAAACGAAAGCTTATTTTTTATTTTATTTTATTTGCCTAATATACGGGCACTGGAATATTCCAAGTGCTAACATAATGAACTTAAAATTATGTAACAAAAATTAGTTCTAGAAAGTAAAATTAAATAAAAATATTAGGCTACATTTTATTATTATTATTATGTGTTAAATAATTGTTTAGACAAATTATTATTATAATAATTATATTATTATTTAATTATATTTAAAACTATAAAATTTTTAAATTAAAAAAAAATTATATTAATTATTATTAATTTTTTTAATGATCACGTTTAACGTAATAATTCTTCTTAATCCTTCAAAAATGAATTCTTGAGAAACAAAATTTTGGAGGAGTATTTATTAAAATAAAATATAATAAAATTGTTATAAATAATAATTAATATTATAAAATATATATAATAAATAATAAAATATTTATATTGTTAAACCATACGATTAATTTGGTTGATTTGACCGCATATTTTTCTCAACCACAAAATTTTTTTTCGGAATATATATATACATTGGTGGTACTATGGATTCTGAACGTATTTTGACGATCTGAATTCAAATCCGGATCTAATTTTGACCAAGCACGTAACAGTTTCAAGATAAATTAAAAAATCTGTCAAAAGTGGACATTTTTGCTATTATCCAATTTTTATAAAGGGGCCATACCTCCAGGAGGAAGTAAAATGTTCATGAAATAAATACAAAAAATTTATACTTCAACTTGGCAGCGGTTTTTTAATTAGTTTACTCCAACGTTTCGAAATCTAAATAATTTCCTCTTCAGAGAGTCGAAAATTAAATGTTTGTATAAATAAAATGTTAAGCATATGTTGTCAAATAATTAAATCCATATACGTTGAAGAAATATACGACATTCGAATTAAAACAACAAAATAAATAATCAACATTTTTACAAATAAATATTTATTTAATATTATTATTTATTAAGTATATAAATATATAAGCATAACACACAAACAAATCAAATGAATATAATAATGTACTTGATTATGTGCCAAAATAAATAAATAAAAATAAGAATGGTTTAAAAAATAATTAATACACAATTAAAATACATATTAAGTATCAATCAATAGTTTTGCAATTTGCAAAAAATTATTTCTAAAAATCTAAAATGTAAATCTTGAAAAATTTAATTATTTTTATAAATTCTGAATGTTACAAATTTAAATGAATTTTGTCGACAAAAAATTTTTGTTTACATTTTATTCCTTAGATGTGGAATTTTTCTATTTATTTTTTTCATAATCTTTTTTTTCTATTTATGTTTAAATTTTAATTTTAGTTCTAATGTTTCTTATTTAAATTTATTTAATTATTTTTTATGTAGTAATAGTAGTATTTTATTTTTGTATACTATGTACATAGTTTTTACATTTTTAAATCCCTTACATAAATATAAATAATTTTTAATTTAAATTTAATAACAAAAAAACAAAAAGAAAATTTATTCCCGGTTAATTATTTTCTATTTAAACATGAAAAAATGTAATTAAAAAAAAAGTTAAAAAAAAATGTCAACATTACGTGGTATTCCCAAGCGGTCACCCATCCAAGTACTAACCGCGCTCAACGTTGCTTAACTTAAGTGATCGGACGAGAACTTGTTTTTTCAACGTGAAATGAACGTTGACGAATATTTTGGTTTAAAAATCACTTGAGTATTGACAATTGGGGCGTGGTCTAATTTTTGGGTAAACTGAGATTTTTATAATATTTCAAACTTATAAATATTATTTTAGAAAAATTTTAATAATTCAAGGCAATTTCAAAATTTTAAAGGTGAATAATAAACATGAAGCACATGATTATTCCAAAAAATTAATTAAGTACAATTTTCAATTTAAAGAATTAGATAAAATTATTTTTTAGATGAATTTTTATTTTTCGAATTAGCCTTTAATAGAATTTCTTTCTAAGGTATTTCTCTTGCTAATTACAAGTATTCATTAAAAAAAAATTATATTTTCTATTTGAAATTTGAATAAAAAATTGCTATAATCTTCCCTTCTATTATTCGGATGAAGGTTTATTTTTTTTTAATTTAAAAAAAAATGTAAGAAATAATTCTATTCCAGAACATTTTTTTCCAAAAAAAAAATTATTAAATAATAATTGTGTTTGGAGAATATCAATTTATTTTAAGAAAGGCCACAAAAAATGAAACACACCAAAAAAAATACACAAATTATCAATTTATTGTTCTGTTATCAAAAACAAATAGAATTAAAACATAAATTATAATAATTGAGCTTTTTCAAAAGAACAAAGATAACCCTCTGGAAGGTCGATAATGGTCCCTTGCAGGGATAACTACACTCAGAAGGGCCCACAAGGGAGAGACTTAGTACATTTGTACATAAAAGGGACCTTGCCAGAGTGTTATGCACTTTTCGTTATTGTATAAATTCAGCAATATTGTAAGAAAAACTCAGTACTTAAAAAACGTAATTGATTGAGAATACTCTTGTAGGAGTTGCAACTTTTGCGAGGAGTTAACTAGTACTTAGGCAAAAGCGAACTGAGCGGTCGATTTGAGAAAAAGGGCCTTATCCTTTACTCAATGTACAAAATGTGAGAAAAGAGGGGGAAAAGCAAAGTTTTCTGTAATATTTTAGTTTCCGTGTTTTAGGAAGAAACTTGCAAACGTGATGAGATGCGCCCGCCAGGGTCGATTGCAGGCAATATCATAAAAAAAGGGCTGCGCTCGGCCCTGGCCAGCACATGCTAAACCCATGTTTTGCAGTTTTCCATAGACTTTTGTTAGTTAGACTTATGTATAAAAAAAAAGAAAAGAGAAAGTTTCAAACACCGTGAGAAAATCGGTTTTTACTTAAACTTTTGAGTTTTTCAAATTCATAACATTTAGAAAATTCGTAAGAGAATGATTTTTTGGCTTAATCTTTTAAATCTATCTTTAAACAAATTGCGAGAATCTTTTGAACGGCTAAATGAATTTTATTATTTTAGTAAAAATTTTCAAATCACGAACTAGGTAGTTTAAAAAAACTAACTTCTATTAAAAAATAAAAAAAACAAGGTTATTTATTTTTTTTTATATTTAGATTAAATTTTCTCCATTGTGTACTTATTACAAAGTTTTACAATTTTTTCCCCCGAAAACTTAAGAAACTAATAGTGAATATAAATAGTAATATGTTTTTTTATAATATTTATAAAATATAAAAACATAAATTAACATTTTTTTTAATTTTATAGAATTTCGTTTTTAAATACATAAATAAAATCGGTATTAAAATGATGCAATAATATTTCATAAAGAAACAGTTTGTAAACAGCAACTTTATTTTTCATATTTTTTTTCGTCATAAGTGACGTTGAAATTGAATTTTTTTTTTTAAATACAAATTTCTTATCTCTATTATTATTGTTGAAGTACGTCAGTGATTAAAAGAGTACAATTATTTTTAATAACCATACATATATAAATTTTAAAAGATTGAGGTTATGTTAGTTTACTTATGGGAAAAAATGTAAAATATCATTGAAATACAAAAAAGAAAAATTTTAAAACTATATTAAAATAATATAAAAAATATAATTACCAGCAATAGTAAATCTGTCCATGTAATTGATTAAATTGACGTAGCACAAAATAAGAACGGTGATCCATTCTTTTAGAGAAATAGTTCTACTTTCAATAGTATTTGTTGAATTTTTAATTTCCCTCGACGATGAGGAGATTTCCTGTTCGGCGTTAATCATTAGTTGTTGATTGGAAACTGTTGGACGTATTCTAACTTCGTCCATAATATTTTATTTGAAATATACGCGCACTCTAACCTTAAAAAAATATATATACACACGAAATATATTTTTTTTGTATTAAGAACAAAAAAGCCCCCGGTATTTATTTCATCACTTTATCGACGATTCCATAAGTGAAAAATGTTTTCTGTCATTATTTTAAAAGAATAGAAGAAACAATAAACAGAATAATATATTAATCGCATCTGTATGATGCATTGACATGCATCACTGCCGCCGGGGAGCTAATCACACCACTTTATTTCGACGAACCAAATGCAAGTTTCAATCCCCAACACATGCGCAGTTTATATTAGATACATACATATGTATTGTATTGTCCACATGTGTATAAAGAAAGGTATGTATTTATTTTAGATTCCGCTTATAAAGGCGCTTGTATACCTCACCGATCCCGAGTATACTTCCGTCGTGTACCATTGGAGTAAAAGAGACACAATTATCTTTTGTCTCTTTTACTCCAATGCTGCACGACGATAGAATACTCGGGATCGGTGAGGTATACAAGCGCCTTAAGGAAAAGAACCGGCATTTCTCGAAAGTCTGAAACGCCCAAAGTATATAGATACTTGTGCTGTTAACCGTTATAAACGATTATTCACTGAATTATAATAAAACAACTAATTTTTCTGAAAATTAAATTCATTTTTTCATTTGATAAAACTGCAAAAAAATCGATAGTCAGAATTAAGAAACCACTCATTTTTTGATGAATGAAAAACCTCTTGAAACACAAAATTTATAAAAATAAAAATTTTTTTCTATTTATATCGTAGGAAAGAAGTAAATTACTAGTAAGCAATAGCGTGTAATTTTTTGTCTGAAAAAATGCATGCCTTCAAAGTTATACCAAAAAAAAATTCTAAAAATATAATTTTTTTATTAAAAAAATAATTTTTCAAATTTCATTCATTTTAAAACCCCATTTTTCAAATTTTTTTCAGTACAACTTTTGATGGCTTGCATTTTTTCAGAAGAAAAATTGCACAACATAAATAATAATAATGATAATAAAAAATTAAAAATTATTACGAAAAAACACCTTTAAAATAAGTACAAGAACATTAAAGACCTTTTATTATTTTAAGAGTAATTCAAATTTATTACTAAAACATTGAAAAATATTTTTTTTGAGAAGCAATAAAAAACTTGTTTTTCTTTTCCACTTATATTACTGAAAAAACGCTAATCAAATATTATTTTTAATTTAAAACGTTTTTAATTTTTAACGTAATTCAAGAAGTGAAATTACATTTCTGGGCCATATGAAAAATAATTTCAAGCTGGTTCTATAACGACTACAGTGAGTAAAAAAAGGACAACGATACTAAACTTCTCTCTCTCTCTTTCTCTTAAGTTACGTGCAACTTCTCAATCCTGCTCAATATTTCACATTTCAGATTGTATTTCGTAGGGGTAACGTAATTGCGGGTACTAAGTTGATCGTAACTACACAACCGTGGATTCTAATAATATAAACATAACCTAATAGTATTTAATGCATCTGATGTTTATAAATCGACGCTGTTCAAAAAACTAATACTTTAAACTATTTTTGCTTTTGCTGTCTGCAATTACTTTATTAAGTAATTAAAAAAAGCGCTAAAAGGTAAAAATTTATTTCACTATTAGAATTTCTATGTAGTTAATGATAATTCAAATCAAAATATCTTTATTTTCTTTATTCATTTTAATCGTTTTAATCATCTAAAATGTCTAGTATAAAATTTACGGAAATAAAAAATAGAATATTTAAGCTTTCTTTTGACATAAATTTTGTCAAAATCAGAGACAACGTGTATATCAGCCATTTTTAATTTCGGTCAAATGAAAATTCGATAATTTAATAATTCGTACAAATAAAGTTTCGACGAAATAAAAAATGGTGCTAAATAATAATTGGTTTAAATAAAAACGTGTTTATTGAAAATAATAGAACATAGAAATAGAAATTTGAGATTTTAATTATTATTATTATTATTAATTCTAGATGGGGAAAAAGAAAAATATGCAATTGGTTGTTCCAAGTCCTATGAAAATAGAAGTGAAAGATGAAATTGGTAATAACGAATATTTACTGCAATTTAGAAAACAATTTGTTTGATTCTATGTTGTTATTTTATTTTTTATTATTTAGGTGACAATGATGTAAGCGTCGCTAGAGATAGATTGAAAGGTGCTCTTCGGGAAATATTACATCACAGCGATTCTGCTTCCTCTGCTGACTCAAGTGAAGAAACTTCCTCGCAAGATTACAAGCCTAATTATCGAAGAATGTGAGTTAAATTATTTTCAATTTTCGAATTAAAATTTGGCACATTTTGTTTACACGAATGACAATTTTGCTAATTTCAAATTCGCTTAAATTAACATTTTTTAAAAGTTAAAAGTCCTGTAAAGAAAATAAATGTCAAATAAAAATTCGGTTTTATTTTACTCTATTAAAAATCCTTGAACAATAATTTTTTTGAACTAATATTAAAACAGGGATTCTTCGTTTCGTACAAAAATGAGTCTTCATAATCGTAAATTGAAAAGACGTCGTCAAATGCAAATGGATCCTGCATTTCATCACACTTACGTCATGAAACTTTTCGATCGAAGTGTTGATCTCGCTCAATTTCGTGAGGACACACCACTTTATCCAATTTGCCGAGCTTGGATGGCAAATCAGCCACGAAATCCACATTTGGTTCCAAAGTAAGATATTGCATTTCAATTTTGCAAACTCATAATTCGAAGAAATAAAATTCGGCTCAATGAAAAATAAATCTAATGAATTTATTTAATTAATTTTTAGAACTTGTTCGTATGCTTTCCGTTTTCTTAGTCCCAAAATTTTTAAGAAATTAAATTTTTTGTTTTCTTTGCCTAGAGTTCGATCGCCAAGTCCAGAAATAGTAAATGAAATTAATCCCGATGATACCATGTATGATTCAAATGGAGAATTACTGGAAGTTTTCAGTCTACCGGAACCATCAATGAGCGAGGAAGCGTTTCCGAAAAACAGAATTCCTTCTCCTGTTCCATTAGAGAAGGAGGAACTTAATTTGGACTATGTACGAAAACATACTCTTTTTTCAATTTTTATTTACTCTTCTCTTTTTAATCTTTTTCTATTTCTGCTGTCCAAAGTAAAAGCCTTTTTACGCTTTTTCGCATAGGTGAAAATCGTTTGGTCAAATCTATCGACTTTCAAAATTATAAAATAATATAATAAAAATGAAATTTTCGACAATTTTATACAAGTTTTCTTTTTCTTTCGTAGGATGGACAAACACTGAAATCAAAAGAAACTCTCATGAAAGAACATAAAGAACATTGGAGTGCATTGAGAAAAAAATGGCATCAACAAGCACACAAAAATGAACAACGTTTCGACAAAAGTGCCCATATACTTGGTACCATTTTCAAAAAGTATGTATTTATTTTTATTTATCTATTAGGAACAAAATTTTTTTTTTAAACAACAAGTGGAAAAAAGTCCAATCTTTTATTTCCCTAAAAAAACACTATCACTTTAAAAAGTTTAAAATGATTAAATTTATTATTAACGATTTAAGGAATTTAAAGACGAATAAAAATACACATAAGTATATTTTCAATGTAAATGTATTTTTTCTTTATTAAAAGAAATAAATGAAAAATGTTTCCTACTTTTGGAATGAGATTGTAATGAACATTTTTTTTACAATCATCTTACATAAAACATAATCTTTCGAAACATAGGCTGAAAATATATTAATATTGAAGATAATAATAATAATAATAATAATAATAATAAATTGTAACATTTTTTTAATAATTATAATAATAATACTAATAATAATAATTATAATATCGTCATCATCATCTTTAACAATGAAACATAATTGTTTCAGGGCTCAATCGGAGTACGAATAAGGACTCTCGCTGCAGTCAGTTTTATTATTATTTTTTTTGTGTTTATCGAAGAAAGTTTTATACAAATATACCACATCAGTAGGAAATTCACCCTAAGGACGCCCTTCGATGTACCGCCTAATAATAATAGGAACACTAATCGCGTATATAAAGTTTTATAAAATAGGAGACTCATTGGAGAAAAGAGGCGAATAAATATATGACCATTCCTTATTTTAAGGCAAGAGTACAATATGTCTTAGTTATTTTTTTTCTTTTTTATCAAATGTCAAAATTGCTTATTTCTCTTATTATAATTATTAGTTTATAAGTCTTTTTATTTTGTTCCTTATTCGGACGTCCCTGGGTTATTTACACTTTCAGGTTATAAGAATTTTCATTTATTATAATAATAAGTTCAACACTAAAAAGACTTGTTTCTTTCTTTATTTAATAGAAAATTTTCTTTTCCTTTTTATTATTCTTATTATGATTTCTACACTATTGGTAAAAAATTGTGTCATCATTTTTTTGATGAATAAAAAACATTTTAAAACAACATGTAAGGAGACTAAACATTTTTTCTCATTTTTTAAAAAATTATAGAATTATGAGAAGAATAAGAACTGAAATAAGTAATTTTATTTATTTATTTGAAAGTCGGCGAAGTCCACAAAGTTTATGATCAACGATTGAAAATAAAAATATTTTTCATTCGAAAAATAATAATTAATTTTTTAAAAAAAAATGTTATTCTCCTGACATTTTGTGTTTTAAGATATTTTTGATTGATTAAAAATAGATGATCGCAAAATACCGACCGTTAGTGTATTTTATTTTAAATTGCATCACTAGCTTAGAGAACATTTTTGAAACACGATTTATTTTATTAAAATTATTCTTTATTTATTTTATTAATTTATAGGTATATAATTTAATTTGAAAATTCGACTAAAAAATAATTATTTCTAATCAAATACTTTTAAAAAAATCTGAAATTTTCAAAAATTCATACCTCGTGAACGACTTAATAAAGAAATTAGAAAAAAAAATTCTGCAATTTTTTTTGTCAATTACAAAAAGTAAAAAAAAATTAGCCATATGTGCGATTCCAAGTGAGATTTTGACTTTTTCGGAGTAGGTTAACCGATTGCAATGAAACTTTGGAATTTTGTTATATATAGTAAGACTAATCTTTAACGTAAATTTCAGCCTAAAATATTTGTTAGTTTACGAGATTTGCAATAATAACAAAAAATTTAAAACTGCTATATCTTCCGTTCTAATAAACGGATTGAGGTCTACTTTTTTTTAAAATGTCAAGGAAAATGAGAGGAATAAATCTCTTTCAGAACATTTTTTTATAATTTTACAACTAAAAAAATTATTAAATAATAATTGAATAACTTTCGCGCGACTAACTAAAATTCAATCACTTAAACGCTAAAATGATCTTACCTGTGTTTTCTTTAATGTTCCAAAGGATTTTTATTGTAAATGTAAGTTTAACTTAAGAAATTTTATTAATTTATTAGTATAAACAATTGAGATTTCTGCTAGTTGACGTGCAGACGACATTGCGCACGCAGCATTCTCACATAGCCAACTGACGTGATTCGTGGACTAAATTGGCTATGTGAGAATGCTGCGTGCGCAATGTCGTCTGCACGTCAACTAGCAGAAATCTCAATTGTTTATACTAATAAATTAATAAAATTTCTTAAGTTAAACTTACATTTACAATAAAAATCCTTTGGAACATTAAAGAAAACACAGGTAAGATGTTTAGTTTAGTTGTAAAATTATAAAAAAATGTTCTGAAAGAGATTTATTCCTCTCATTTTCCTTGACATTTTAAAAAAAAGTAGACCTCAATCCGTTTATTAGAACGGAAGATATAGCAATTTTTTAATTTTTTGTTATTATTGCAAATCTCGTAAACTAACAAATATTTTAGGCTGAAATTTACGTTAAAGATTAGTCTTACTATATATAACAAAATTCCAAAGTTTCATTGCAATCGGTTAACCTACTCCGAAAAAGTCAAAATCTCACTTGGAATCGCACATATACAAAAATATAAAAGTCGACGATATTTTGAAATGGCCATTTAGAGAATTTTTAATAAACTAAATTGTATTTTAAAAATACTCTACAAAGCGATAGTTGTTTTTTTCTCTTACTAGTGATGGTCTAAAATAGAATTCTCCGATTTTTTATATTTTCATTTCTCCTTTCAATGAAATGAAATTCTTGAAAATTGCAGTCTCGCCTCAATTCTCGTCAATGAGGGACGGGGAAGGTCTGTCTACACCAATTATACACAGAGAGAAAGGATCTCCATTCTGAACACTTTTTTCATTTTCATTGCAGGAAGATTTTAGATTTCGTAATAATTAATAAACGAATTTGTTGATATATCGCGCGTGTGTTTTGTTTCTTTTCTTTTGTGTTTGTTTCACTTGTCAGTGAGCGAAAGTTCTAGAACTTGACGGAAAGTTTCCTCTTCAACAAGTCGCCGTTGTTCCTCTTCAAGTTGTTGTTGTTCAGAGAGCCTAAGGGCAATTTCTAACTGTTCAGCGGCACCTTCAAATGCGGCGGCTTCTCTGGGTTCTTGTTCTGATGGTAAAACTCTCGCTTCATCGTTACCCATGTAGTCTGATGTTTCACGATAAAGTTCTAAACTCGCTTGAATTGCTCTGCATCGAGGAAATAGAGTTTTACATTTTTTCGTTTAATATTCATTTAACGATAGATTTATTTTCAATTTTTCTTTAATATTCTCTTAACGATAGGGAGGAAAGAGGCGCATAAATAGGCACTAAAAAAATTAATTAGGATCCATTATATTTCACCTAAGGTCGTTCTACTTTTAGCAAAATTCTATAATTCGTAAAAATCATTTTTTATAGCTATGGAATATATTTTTAACAATTATTTCAACCGAATTAAAATTTTCATTTCTTTAAAAATTATTAACTTAAAGAATTTCTATTTAAATTTAAACGAATCTTGATATTACAGAACTTTTACTTTTAAGCATTTTAAAATATTCCATCAAAGTGATAAAATTCGTTGAAATAAAAAGTTTGCCTTTAAAAAATGTGATATAGTCGAAATTCTGTTGAATTTGTTTAAATAGAAATTTCTCTCCTGTATGAAAATTTTAACTAATTAATTTTTTAGGGCTTATTCATGAGTTTCTCTTTAAAGACCGAAAAAAATCAGACTTTTCCTTCTTCTTTTTTTTCATTGAAAAGAAAAAGGCTTGGCGAAATTAATTTATTTATCAATTAAAATTTAAATATACTTTAAATTCTGAAATTAATATCAATTTTATTGGAAAAATTATAAATATTCTTAGAAAACCAATAATAGAGAAGAAATGAATAAGATAATTTTTTAGAACCAGAAAAAATCTCGCCCTTTTCTAATCATTTTCATTTTTTCCTTTTTCTACTGGGAAGAAAAGGTTTTTTTGTGTAAAACGCACCTTTCTATGTGTGAGATAATTGACAGCAAAGAAACCATGCAAAACGAATAGAATTAAGAATAATTATGAATTAAGGGAATTAATTTTTAAAAAATAAAGGTAAACAAAAAAAATAAATAAAAAACAAAAGAAGTGTGTGTTTTTGTCAATTAATACTATTAATTAATTTTTTTTTTTTAATGAAAAGGATCAAAATACCTTTGAAGTTGTTTTTCCTCTTCGGCAGAAATGCTTGGAGTTGAAGGTCGCGAAGGTTTTTGAACATTTAGCGCTTCCCAAATATCCACCTTGTGAAAAATGATGAATTGTTTTTTAAAAAACGAAAAATTAATGCGTTATTAAGTGATGCAATTTTAATTTAAAGCGATGTAGTGTGGGACAGAATGATAAAACTTTTAGGGGACAATTAATCCTATGGACTAGACAATTTTTTTTTAATACTTAGAGAAAAATAAAATAAGGACAAAAAAATATCTTCCAAATTTTTTTAAACTTCGTTTTTTCACTTTACCCCACTGTATAATATGGAGACATTTTTTTGAAATCTACAATTTATAAAATAATAATATAGTGGCAGGAAAAAAAATCTAATATTTTAAGATAATTGCTTCAGGACAATCTCTATTAAAAAGTTAATACTGTAAAAATCAGAATTTCTCAAAAGGATCATATAAACTTTTTTTACATTTTTTTACTACATTATTCTTTATTTGTAATTTTATTTTAGTTTTATTTGTTTAGATATTTAATTTTATAAAAGTAAATTTATTTATTTTTGATTCGTAGGATCTTTTATTATTTTTAAAAGAATAGAACTTACTAAAAAAATTGTATTGTACGTAGGAGCATTCAATTTGTGGTATTAACTTTTTTTTTGTTGAAATTGTCATGTCGCTTGATAGAAAGCTTAAGAGAAATACAAAAAACTTACGCGTTAAGAAATAATTAATAAAACAACAAAAATAATATTGATGAGAACTACTTAGCTAAAAATCTACCTTTTTCTTTAAATTCGAATATCCTCCTCCTACCTCGTCTCTTTCACTTCCAGCTTCAATGAGACTTTGCTGAATAGCAAACTGAAGTAAATCGTCTTCTTCCTCGACGCTAAATTGTGTTCGAACTTCTGCACCTGTATCAAAAAATAAAAATTATTTTTTTTAGTCTTAAACACTGCTTAATTCAGGAAGAGTAATAAACATTATTTTTTTATTAATTAATTAATAATTTCACAATACAAATCAATCATTAAAAATAATTAAATTCATTAAAATTTCATTTAAATAAAGTTAATAATGTTTTGTACATTTTTTTTTAAATTAAAATATTTTCATATTCAATTATTTTGTGAATTTAATTACATTGATATAGATATATTTTTCATATAATTATTAAATCTTTTCGGTAATTATTTTATTAGACATGAATTAAAAAATAAAAGTAACATACCTAATTTAACATATCCTGGTGGTGCTTGAAAGCAAATGTCGTCCACAATACAAGTCATTCTATTCATTTCCTGTAGTCGACTAACATTTGAAATCTCTTGATCCATACCAAAAATATTTCCAAATGTTATTCTCGCGTTTAAAATATGGAAGAGCGGAATTTCTGCAAAAAAAATTTACATCCTAAAAACAATTGTAACTATTTTTTTTCAAAAATTATTAATTTAAATATTATTATTATTATTAATTTTTAATTGATTTTGTGTTAAATAAATAAATAAATTAAAGTTTAAAGCTTTAGTTAGAAATTTATTTATTTATTTAAATTGTACACGGGTTTACAAAATTTTACCCTTTATAAAGTAAAAAGAAAAAAAAACATACATATGTATATAATTTTTTAAGAACAATAATAACAAAAGCAATTGGCGTTATATAAAAAAAAGAAAATAATAAGAAAGCGTGATCATTCAAATCATTACAAGCAGAAATATATAAAGTAAATAAAAAACTGAAATAATAAATTTTTATTTTTATATACATACTTTGACTTTTTCTTTTGTGTATATACATACATACATAAAGTAAATAAAAAAATATTTAATATTTAAAATATCTTTTTTTTAATGATTTAAATTATAAAAAAAAAATGTCAACATTACGCGGTATTCCCAAGCGGTCACCCATCCAAGTACTAACCGCGCTCAACGTTGCTTAACTTAAGTGATCGGACGAGAACTTGTTTTTTTTTTTTTTTTGCGTTTGTATCGTTTATTTATTGCCAAAATCAATAATAGTACAAGGTTTCACAATAAACAATGAATTCATTTTACATTATTTTACAGGACTTACTGGCTAATACAATTGCTCTCGAAGTCGCATACAATATTTTATGCCCACGAATGCATATATGAGTTGAATATTTTTCGCTTCTAACACATATTATTTATTTTTAATTCCCGAGAGAATTATACCATTTGAAATATTTTTTCGATCAGAAAGGGCTTAATAAAACTGATCATTCATACATTTTATTTTATTTTAAGAATAATAATAAAAATAAATTAAAAACCTGAATAAACTATATTATTTATAATAATGAATTTTAACAATAACAAGGAAGAAAGGAAAAAAAAAAAAAGTAAATCTAAACTAACTTATAATCTAAGAGTATTTACATGTGTTAATCGATGATTTTCTTTTACAGATAAAGAGTTATAATTTTTAAAGTACAGAATTAATAATTGATGACAATAGTGTAACTAGTATGTTAATTTATTTCCTAATACATTAATTTATGATAAATTTAAATTTATTATGACAAGATTCTTATATTAGTCGTCTAACCAAAAATATTTTTTGATGTTTTGTCTGTGTTTGTCTTTCATTTCTTTATTTGTTGTAAATGTCTTAAATCGCCATTCATCATTTGGTATTTGTGTATCTAAGTGTTTTTCGTAAAGGAAGGATTTTTTCCTAGCATTTCTGTTATAATGGTATATTACTGGAGCACCATGAGTGTCCTGTATATATCCATTCTTGTCTAGGTAGGTAAATGCTTCAGGTGGGACAAAATTAGTTTTTATTACGTTTTCAAAATAGTTATCATTTGGGTAACAGATTGAATGAATGAGGCTGTTGTCAGTTACTTTGCGAGTATTTGCAAAGTAATTTCTTGTTTTTTTAATTATTTGTGTATCAATTTTATTAATGTTGGCTAAATTGTAAATAACTTTACTTGATATGTATTTCTGGAAGTTTGATTCAGGTGATCTATATTTTCCTAGACATACTCTTATACACTTTCTCTCAAATAATCTGATTTTTTCCATAATGGATGCGCTTAAATTGTACCAAATAGGGCATGCATATGTTAATATCGGTCTTATGAATAACATATAACAGTTGATTTTTATTTTATAGTGTAGGTGTTTATTATAAAATAATCTTTTTAATTTGTTAAAAACTATTTTTGCATTTTCTAACTGTGTGTTAATGTGTTTTATAAAATTGAGTTTATGGTCTATATTAAGTCCTAAATATTTTACAATTGTTTTATTTGGTACTGGTTCACCGTCGTCTTTCTTTTCTTTTATTTGGAAATTTTTCCAGTTTTTTCTAACATTGCGGTTTGTTTCTGAAAGGGGAGTTCTAAAGAATATGGTTTCGCATTTGGAGACGTTTACTTTTAGTTTCCACGTGTAAAGATAATATTGAACATTCTCAAAAAGCTCTTGCAGTATTTTTTGTATTTTTGTGACTTTTTTACCTATAACGTAAATTATCATATCATCTGCAAATGCGATTCCTTTTTTATTTTCGTCTATATTTATATCATACATTTTTAGTATTTCATAAATATAGATGTTAAATAATATCGGTGATAGAACTGTTCCTTGTTGGAGGCCGTTTTTTACTAGAAATTCCTTTTTTAATGTTATGTTACCATCCGTTATTATGAAACTTTTGTTTGTTATCATGTTTTTTAACAATTTTATTAGATGTTTAGGAAAGGAATTTTTTAATAGTTTAAATATTAATCCATTAGACCAAACAGTATCAAAAGCTTTTTCAAGATCAATTAAACAAGCTCCTACGTATTTTTTATTGTTAAGGGCTTGGGTGATATCTGATGTCAATTTGTTAATTGCGTGTATTGTGGAATGTTTGTTTCTAAAACCGTATTGCTGTTCTGGTATAATATTTTTTTCCGCACATATTAGTATTAGGGAATCTTTTACTATTTTTTCAAATACTTTACTAATATTAGGAAGAAGAGTTATGGGTCTGAAGTCACTTGGTTCTGTACTATTTTTCCCTTTTTTTGGTATAGGAATAAGTTTTGACTTTTTCCAGTCATTTGGGAAATGACTGTTGTTAAGTAAATTATTAAAGAGAATACAGTAATCCTCTATGATTGTTGGTGTTAGGTGTTTCAATACAATATTTGGGATTTCGTCAATGCCTGCTGATTTTTTATTATTTAAATTTCTAAAAATTTTTAGTAATTTGTATCCTGAGGTAAAGTAATTCGGAAGTATTTCGTTTAACAAATGCGTGTCATTTGCTTTTAAGTTATTATTGAAATTTACTATTGTGTTATTGTTTATTTTATCATTTTCAATTTCTTGTTCTAAAGTGACAATTTTTTTATGAATGATTTTATTTAGTCCGTCCCTCCCGTAATTAGAAAATTTCGTGTGTGTGTTTTTAAAATGTGTACCTATTATTTTAAGTTTATCTTCGTTATTGCTAATTATGTATTTATTATTATTATCAGTTGGTAAGTTTTGAGCAGGTACCTCTGAGTCTTGTAGCAGGGGTGTATTTTGATTGTCAATTTTAAGTTGTGGTATCGAAACTTTTCCTTTTGTTCTAAATAATTTGTTTACTTGAGGAAACATATTTTTTGGATCGTTTGCGGGAATGTTTTTAATTTTTTCTCTCCAATAATCATTTATAGAGTTAATGAATTCTTGTTTTAAAAGAGCTTTTAAAGATATTAATTTATTTTTTAAAAAATTTAATTCTCTGTTATTATGATTTTGAAAGTTTTTATATATATTATTTATTTTCGTTACTATTGTACTTTTTGCTTTTTGAATTCTTTTTATGACAGATGTTTGGTAAATTTCCATGGAGTTTTTACTTTTAATTTTTGGTAGTGAGTTGTTCATTGCACTTGTTATACATTCATTCATATCTTTTAGATATTTGTCTATTTCATCATTTGATAGGTTTCTATTAAAGGGTATGTTAATGTTATAATTTTGGTTTAGTTGATTCGTAAACTTTTCCCAATTGGCTTGTCTGTAATTAAATTTATGATCATGGGTAGCTTTTTCGAGAATAAAATCAGTTTGTGAGTCATAAGAAACATTTAGTCGTATTGCATTGTGGTCACTGTCATATTGTAGAGTTTCAAGTTTGTCCATGTTGTTATATTTTTGTACGTTGAGTCTAGAGTCTAGTATTCCTAAGTCTAGGTATGAGTTTCCTCTAGGGAATGAAGGGAGACTTGGAGTGTATAATTTTAATTTGTAATTTATTTCATTGTCGTCTAACCATTTACGTAAAAATGTTCCCCTAGTGTTAGAATTTTCATTTAACCAACTAGTGTGTTTAGCATTTAAATCACCTGTTATTATAAAAAAATTGTCACAATCGCTCAGATTAAGTATTTGGAATAATTTATCAATTTCTTGATTAAAGCATAATCTATTTCCATATGCAGCGTAGGCTGATATAATGAAAAGCTTTTGATTGTTAGGCAATGGGATTTTTATAATAACTGTTTCTAAATTTTGGAACTGTTCTATCTCGGATATAATTATCTGTTTGAATTTAAGTTCTTTTCTTATGAGAATTGCTACTCCTCCGCCTATTGTTGCATTTGGTCTATCTCTTCTAATTACTGTATAATTTTTAAAATCTATTTTGTGTATTGGATTTAGTCTAGTTTCACTTAGGGTTAATATATCTGGTTTATGTTTTTTTATGAAATTTAATAGGTTATTTCGTCTTTCATTTGATATAATTGAGTTGACGTTTATAGATATTATTTTTAAATTTTTTACGGCAATGGTATTTGTTGTGTTGAAGTTTGTGTTTTTATCCATTATGAACAGAATCAGTTAAAAGTGTATAGAGATTATTAATTCTTTCGCTGTTTTGTTGAACTAATTGTGTGATTTGGAGTATTTGATTGGTTAGTTTGTTTAAACTTTCTTGTAAATTTTGTGTATTATTTAATGTTTGTTGCTTGTTGTTTATTGGTTGTTGTGTGTTTGTATTATTATTTTCTGTGTTTTGCAGTGTACCTTTTTGCAAAATATTTGAGTAACTTGATTCTGATGTTGTGAAATTGTTGTACATTCTTTCTTTTGCAATTCTATTTTTTCTAATCGTCTCTAATTTTTCATGCATTCTACGCTTCAGTTCTATTTGTTTTTTGCATCCCCTAAAAGAAGCTGGATGGCCGTATTCTTTACATGTCACGCAATATACATTCTCTCTTTCGTTAACATTCGTGGGTTCCGGAAGTTTACAATTGCCCGGCGTATGATTTTCGCTACATTTCACGCATCTATAATCTAAATTACAATTCGAAGCTACATGTCCCAATCTTTGACATTTTTTGCATTGTATACTGTCACTTTTTTTTAGTTTTTCCCATCTGATTACTTGGTAATTGACATATTTAATTTTATGTAATAAATTTGTTTGGCTATTTGGAGCCAATTGTACTAGATAAAAAGGTAAGATTTTATTTTCCTTTTGGGATTTAAATGTTGTGAATCTTGAAACTTTTTCAAATTGGATGTTTTCTGTATTATGTGATTTTAGAATTACCAATAATTCCGCGGGATCTATACTGGGGTCTAGACCTTTTAAAAGAAAAGATTTTACTTTTTCTTCTTTCAATGTATAGGTAAAAAATTTAGAACTCGTAGCTTCGAGTTGTGCTTTCGCATTTTTAAAATCTACTACATTTTCTGTATACAAAGAATGTTTATCTTTATTAATTCTTTTTATGTGAAAATGTTCGGTTTTTAAATGTTCTTTTACAAGGCTTACCGTTGTTGTTTGGTCTTGTCCATATATTATTATCGGTGGTGGTTTACCTGCCGTACCCTTGCTGTTGGTCGAGTTGGTTGTTTTATTGGCTGCAATTTGGTGTTGAACGTTGAGCTTTTTATTGCTTCCGGTGACAATAGGATTAGATGAAGTAGATGGGGAATTTGTTTTTCCATTTTCTGCATTTTTTGGGTCTTTATGGTGTTGGGAAAAACCCGTTTTCAATTCATCTGTTGATTTTGTATTCACTGGCTGAATATCTGTTTCCATTTCATTGTCGTCGTTTTTATTGTGCATTTTTTCAAGTTTCTCTATTCTTTCAGATTGTTGCTGTATAGTTTGTAATAGTTCTTCTATCATTTTTTGTTGGGTTAAGTTGTTATTAACAATTTCTTGATATTTTTGTGTTGAGATTTCCATGATGTTAGGCATTTTTCCTTCTGTAATTAATGGTGTCACTTGATTTTTTTCACTGGATGTGAGTGTTGATTTCTTATCTGGACTAATGGTTGGTTTATCATACGGCTTTTGAATTTCCGTTTTCTTTGAATTAATTTTTTGTGCTTTTAATTGCGAAGGTTTCAGGTTTTTGCCCGATGGCGGTGTTTGTGATGGCTTCAGTAATACTTCACTTTTTACCATGTTTGGATTTTGCTGAGGGAGTATTGTTGAATTGGCATTCAATATATAATGGGGGGGTTGGCCCCCTTTTTCACTGTTAATGTTTATTATATCACTATCACTTTTTGAGTTTGAACTGCGCGGGATACCGGCATTTATCGTTCGCGCGGGCGCGAAACTCGGCCTATGGGCCGCGGCCGTGATGGCGGGCTATTTAAACTTTCGTCTTTTATAAATTTTGGTACTTGGGTTCGGAGAGCTCGCTCTACCTGCTCCAAAGAGACAACTTATCCCTTCGATGGTTCGAAAGGTTCTGACGAGAACTTGTTTTTTTCAACGTGAAATGAACGTTGACGAATATTTTAGATTATGATTCACTCTAATGGATTTTCTCTTCAATATTACATTAAAGGGTGTTATAATTAATTACAATTCTTTTTTAAGTTAGTTTTTGAATATAAAATAAATTTTTTTTTAAATTTTCAATATATTTAAAATATAAATATTAATTTTTTTTTTTTACTTTATTTAGTGTAATTTATTTTATTTTTATTAATTTCTAAAATTTTCTAAGAAGAATAAAAGGAAAAATATTTCCTCAATACAAGAGAAATTTTCTACTAACAAATATTATTACTGCAAAGAAATTTACTTTTTGAAATAGTTTATGGCCCAACTTTCGTCAGGCACGAAAAAAATTAGTCAATTAGACTCATCATTTGTTCCCCTCCACGGAAATCTTTAGTAAAAGGCGAAAGATTTATTCGTATTTTGAAGGGAAACCAGAGGTGACGATTGTGACTCACTGCTGCCTTTTTATATACCTCGAGGGTGTGTCTCTCCTTCGAGAGAACAATTTTTCGACATCTGTCGATGCGAAACAGAACTAATAATTTCAAACTCGTCTCCAATTGGCCGTTAAAATTACCCTAAGAATTATGGCGCGAAATCCTTCTAATGAAAATCTAAGGAAAATTCTTCTTTCCTAATCAATCATTCTTTCTGAATTTATTGACTCCTCTGATTTGTGTCAATAATATTTTTTTTAAAGAAAAGTAACAACAAATTAAAAAAAAATTAAAAGATGTTCCTCTTCACAGTAAACAGAAATTAATAAATAAAAATTTCAAGCTAGTATAATAAATTTTATAAATAATATTTACCAATTTTCACGGGGAATCCAGCAGGCAATTGCATTTGGATAAAGTCTTTCAGTTTGGCAAAATGAGAACTAGATATTGCCATAAGATCCACAATTGGCATTATTTGTTCCTGAAGACTAAGTGGATAATCTTCACAAAGCCATAAAGTTGCCTAAAATAAAAACCACATAGGTAAGCATACAAATTTTTAATTTGTACACAACCTGAACTGAATACTTGTTTATTTTTTATTTTTGTTTATTGAAATAAATAAATAATAAATAAATTTCAAATAAATTAAAATAAATAATTGGTCCGAAGACAATCAAAATATTTTTAAAAAATTTATAAAAATTTGAAAATGTATGTATAAAATGTATAAAAGCTCTTAAAGAATAAAAAATTGAGCATTAAACATTAATTAAAAATAAACAATGGAAAATTAATATACGAATTAGAAAAACTATAAATCTTACTTTGAACTTTTGTATCTTTGTGTTAACTTCCTTCGGCCTGCCAATATCTCTGCCATTTAAATTGACATTTGGATCGAAATATTCTTCGGCCGTGATATTGGAGGGATTTCCAACATTAGTAAATTCTTCCTGAAAAGAAAAAAAAATCCACTAATTAATTAATGTTCATTTTGGTCAAATTTATATTCTATACAATTTCTCTTTATTCAACTTTTTATTTTAAAAAAAATTCTAATTTCAACAAATTTTAATTCAGCATAATTCTTATTTAATAGAAATTTCAGTGCTTCGAACTTTTAAATGCTAGAATTTTCAAATCTTAATTTATCCAAATTTTCATTTATCCGAAATTGCAAACTACCAAACAAATAAACAGAAAAATTTCGGCGCTGTTTTTAAAATTAACCGATCACGATTTTCTAATTTCTAATTGGTCAATTTCAAAAATAGTGTCGAAATCTTTTTGTTGATTGTATATTCGGTCATTTGCAATTTCGAACAAATGAAAATTCGTTGTTCTTAAGAATGATATAAAAATAAGAATTTGTGCAAATAAAAATTGGAACAAATTAGAAAAATGTCTCTTACACTAACAGCAGCAGCTCCATAATTTTCTTGTTGCTGTTGCTCGGCAATTCCCAAAAACGATTGAATTGGTGTTCGTGGTGCTCTTGCTCTCGCTTTATCAGCTTCCGTCAAATGTTCCATTCTTGTTTTCGTTATTAATTCTACATTACTAGCACTAAATACTTTACACTCGTGGCCATTTACCGATTCACTTTTATCGGATCGCCAGCCCCAAATTCCCGCCTTATTTCTAAAATTAAAATTTTCATTTCATTATAATATTTATTTTAAATTTATTAATCAAAATTTTAAAAACTTTTCTGCGCCTTAAAGTCGATCCGAGGCCTGAAATTTCTTTGAAAAAAAGAAGAATTACCTTTCAAAACTAATTTTATCCGTGTCAATATAAGTTGTAACAATTGGATTTGTGAGTCTAGCTAAAATTCCCTCCTCAGAAGGTTCCATCAGTTGAATATTTTCATCTCCAATGAGGTTCATGTGTTCCACATAAACTTTTCTTGTTTCGTGATCTACTTCCATCATTGTTGCTCCATCGTCTATATCAAAAAAAGAGAAAGAAAAAAAAACAAGAAAATTAAACTATTCAAAAGCCATAAACTTTTTTTAAAAAATACAATTGTCAATTGTCTAGAAACAAAGGTTACCTAAAATGAACACAGTATATCGGCGATTTCACGTGAAATTTACCTATGACATTTTAAATTTGGTAAATTTTTTTTTCGTTTTTTATAGCGAAAAAAAGGAACACGTATTTTTTTATACGTATAATTTTTAAGTTATGAATTTTTAAAAATCTAAAAGTATTGAATTTAGGAATTATGGCCAAGATACAAAAAAATTTCAGTTTTTCATTAAAAAAAAAACAAAACTTACTACAAAATTTTCTTATTATTTTCATGTTTGTAAAAATAAATAAAAAAGTAAAAAAAATCGTGCCCAAATTACAAAAATATTATTTATTCATAAAAAATCGTTATTTTTTATAAACAAATTTAAAAATTATTTTTTTCTTTAACATTTTTCGAAAGTCGATGAAAAACTGCAATTTTTTTGTATCATGGCCATAATTCCTAAATTCAATACTTCTAGAATAAGATATCATTGAAATTAGATCTATTTTAAAAAAAACTCGCAAAAACCAGATTTTTAAAAATTCATAACTCGAAAATTTGAGAACTTATAAAAAAAAAATAAAAAAATATGTATACCCTTGTTTTCTATAAAGAACAAAAAATATATATATATTTACCGAATTTAAAAGGTCATAGGTAAATTTCAGGTGGAATCGCCCATATATAATAATATATCTACAGTTGCTTCTAAATTCTAAAAAATTTCAAATCTGATTTAAGGAGATTGAAATAAGCATTATTTCTACTATGTATATTATGAAATTAAAGTCAATCGATTACAGAATAAATTGTCAAATTGGATTCTGTGGAGAAAATGGGATTATAAAGAACGTTAGAAGCGATCTACGAATACAATCTTTCACCTGCGTGGTCGCCTTTCATGCTGAAGACATAACTGCGATCGCACCTAATCGTCAGAGGTGGATTTGGTGTAGCTTGTAATATTTTTCGAACAAAAACCGTTAATCATAATAGCAGTAAAAAAAATTAAGATTCACTTTAAAATTATTTTTTCTTTCTATAAAATTAAAAAAAAAAAATGTCGAAAAACAAAGGAGATTTTCATTTTTCTCTCTTTTTAAGAATTTTTACTTTCTATAGTGTTTTCACATAATTATTTGCAACTAATATAAATATTGTTTATATTACAATTTATATTTATTAATTAAAAATTAATAAACAAGAAAATGATGGGAATTTTTTCAGGCAAACAAAAATGAAAAAAAACGACACGCATGATTATGTTCTAAAAATCAATTGTTCGTATTTTCATTTCATAGAATTTCATTTGATATAATTTTCATTGAGCCAAATATTCCAATAATTATTTTGCAGAATTTTCATTAAACCGATTTTCTATATTATAGAATTTTTATATAACCGAATATTAACTTTACAGAATTTTTATCAGAAATTCTATGTCATGAAATGTTACCTAATAAAAATTCATTAAAATGGCTATTATGTTAAATGAAAATTCTATAAAGTAAATTTTACGGTTATATAAAAATTCCGTAATATAGAAAATCGGTTTAATGAAAATTCTGCAAAATAACTCAATGAAAATTATATCTAATAAAATTTTATTGAATGAAAATTCTAACAATTGATTTTTACAATTTCTTCATACATCCAAATTGAAATCATAATTTAAATCATCATTTCAAGACAATTTTAAGGTTTCCAAGGTAAAAAATAAATTCCAAATTTTCAAAGATCGCTGGACACATTGTTTTTTTTTATAATAATTTTCAAATAATTCGAGAACGTCACAAAAAATTTTGAGAGGGAGGTAATTTATTATTATTTATGCAGCTAAAAATTTTTCATTACTAGGAGTAAAAATTCTTAAAAGTAAAATTAGAAATATAAATATATTTACTCACTTTGACCTTTGAAAACGTAACTGCGATTTCCTCGTTGCCAATTCGCGTGATCAAAGCCCAAAAGAGTCGTATCGATTCTCACATTACTTCCTTGCTTATAAACCTTGTAAGTGTCACTTGGACACATTCGAGAGGCAAGAGGTACTGTAAAAATAAAATTTTTACATTAATACACATATTTTTTTCAAAGGATGCGCACATGTAATAACAATAATAATTACATAAAGATCGAATAAATAAAGTGCTATTTAAGCATTCTAATCGCTAACAGAAATTTAAATTCCTTAAGAAATATTAAAATTTTTAAAACGGTAATTCAAAATTATTTACAATTTATTTACAATTAAAAATATTTTACCAGAGCATTTTTTTTTTTTTTTTTTGATCGAAAGATAATTAATGTAAGAAAAAAAGAATTGAAAATTGGTCAAGAATTAAAAAGTGTTTTTTTTTTTGTTTCAATAAAAGACAGACAAACACTTTAATAAATAAATAAATTTTGTTTGACTGACCCCAACTTGTGAATTCCCATTTCATTTCTACGTAAAAGTCTGGAGCCTAAAAAGTCAATAAAATAGGAATTATGTGGAAAAGCGTTTTTTTTTATTATTATTTAATTTATATTAAATGTTCGACTTCTCCAATACCTGTTTAAGTTTATGAAGAAGTTCCGGAATTCCAGCGACACGATTGCAATATCTTTGGTAGTCTCGCCTTGCAAGAACAATTTGGAGCAATTGCGGATTCCCGGTTCCCACAGCTTCCTGTACCACTAAATAGTTTTTTTTTTATTAATCATCTTTTTACAATATTGTTATTCAATCTGAACTTTTAGTAATAAAAAACGAAACAAAGTTTATTTTGCTCCTTTTTATATTTCCATTAGATAGGAAAATAGTGTTTTTAGAAATTATTTTTCAAATATCGAATATTTAGAAACAAAAAATTTATCACCAATTTCAACTGTTGCGAAAAAAAGTCTAAACTCTTATTTAATTATTTATTTCATAAAAGATAGAGATAAAATTGAAAACATTTTTTTTGAATTTGAAATTCATATTATCTTTAAGCAAGTTTTTTTTTATTCGCGATAATAGAAGTTAAATAAAAATTTCATTATAAAGGATGATTTCGATATTTTTTTTTTCGAGAATAAAAGTTTTTTTAAAGAAAAAACTCACCACTCCATCCTTGAGTATTTTCGGTATTTACATTCGCATCGTGTTGCAGTAAAATCATTGTTGAATCCTGATGTCCAAGAGTTACAGCCAACATAAGCGGCGTTCTACCTCTACAATCGTGTTTCTCAATATCGTGCTGTGTACAAAAATTAATTAAAAGTTTTTTAATAAATTTTTAAGATTTACCTTTTTGGTAACAAAAAATGATCTGATTTTTCAGGACGCATAATTATGCCAATTTTAATATCGAAGAATTTCTATTTAACAAAATTCTGATTTTATAGAATTTCTATTTAACTGAACTTTGATAAAGGAAATTTTCTAATATATCAAATTTTCAATTAATACAATTTCCATTTAACAGAATTAATATCTAAAAAAATTTTATTTATCAGAATTGTTCTTTTGTCAAATTTCTATTAATCCAAATATTCACTTAAAAGTATTTTTATTAACTAAATTTTCAATTAACAGAATTTCTATATAACAAAATTATAATTTAACAAAACTTCTATTCAATAAAATTTTTCAATAAAAATTCCTTTCGATCTAATTTTTATTTAATAGAATTGTCACTTAACAAAAATTCTATTTTGCTAAATTTCTAAGTCAGAGTATTTCTATTTAACGAATTTTCTTGATAATTTTTTATTGGTTTTTTTTAAAACTCCCGCTGAAATGTTTCTGCCGAGTGTATGATCTGATATGCGAAAGTTCGATCAAATAGAAATTTGACGTTTTAACAATTCTATCTAATGAAAATTCGGTCAAATGAAGTATCGGTGAAATAGAAATTATCTGACTTAAATATATGGCTAAGTAGAATTTCTGTTAAATCGAAATTAAATCAAATAAACATTTTATTAAATAAGAATTTTGTTAATATAGAAATTCTGTTAATTGGAAATTCAGTTAATAAAAATACTTTTAAGTGAATATTCGGATAAATAGAAATTCGACAAAAGAACAATTCTGATAATTAAAAATTCTTTTTTATGAAATAAAATAAAAATAAAAAAAAGTTTAAATTGAATTGAAAATTGGATGCATTAAAATTTGGATAAATTAAATTTTAAATCAATTAAAATTTAGATAATTTGAAAATTAAGGCAATTAAAATTTGGACAAATTAAAATTCGGATAATTTGAAACTGAAATCAATTAAAATACAGATACTTTGAAACTTAAATCGTTTCATTTTTAAATAGATTGAAATATCGTTAATTTTAAGTTTCGATCGATAAAATTTGCATTTGATTAAAATTTTAATTGATGTTTTGACCAATGAAAATTAGAAATGATTAAAAGTTGAATCACTTGAAATTTAAATTGAATTAAAATTTTAATTTTATAAATAAAATCCAAATTAATGATCGATTCAAAATCGAAAATCTCTTTTTTTTAGGTAGAGTTCTATGATCGGACAATAAACTTGTTTAGTTTTTTGAGCTAGATCAAAAAACGACACAACTTTTTTGGCAAAGAAAACAAAATTAAATTTTTGCAAATATACCGCTAGTTTATTTTAGATAGAAATTGTATTTATAATTTTTATTTTCAACTAATTTGTAGGTAATTTAATACATTAATAAAATAAAAATAATATCGAATCGATATTACATATAAACAGCATAATATCTAGAACGGAAAGAGAATTTCGTTTTTATGGCTTCTTTCTGTTGTGTGAGGCTTCACTAACTTCTTTTTTTCATTTTTCAAACATGAACATAATTTACAAGGACACATTTTCAAAAAATATATATATTATTTCATATATTTTCTAAATGTTAAACAATCAAAATTTACATCAAATTATTCATTGAATATTTATGCAACGTTCATTTCTTATTTAGAATTAGTTCATTTTTTTATTATTGATATTATTTAATTTACATAGAATAAATTATTTATTAAAATTAATAATAATAAATTATAAACTAAATAATTTCAATTATTATAATAGAAAATTATAATTTTATAAAAAATATATTTATTTTAATAATTATATTATTATGTTAATTATAATATTTTTATTTACGATAAAAGTAATTAACTTTAAAAAGAAAATGTAATTTATAAATTTTGTTATTTATAAAAAAAATTAACTGTTTTCTGAGTCATTTAAAAAATATTAAATAATTTTTTTTTCATCACATGAACAATTCTGAGAAATCAATTTTAAAGATAATATAAGAAATAATAATTTCCTTTTTTTCCGCGATCGCTGCATTTCTAGAAATTTTATTTTTACCTTATCATTGTCTTATCAGTATTAAATAAAAAAATTATTGACAGTATAATTTTACTGTTACAAATAATGCAAAGAAATGTAATAAAAAAAAGAACCAAAAAAATGATTCATTAAGAATAATGTAATATTGTTTTTGTTGTGTCAATTGTTTTTTTTAAAACTATATAAATATATTAAATTATTATTGTTTTGTTTTATCATTTAGTTACCAGATTTGTGGACAACTCCTTATCAAGTTGAACATAATCATTATTCCAAACAAGCCAATGGAGTGGATAAGATTTTCGAATTTTTTCTACATTCACCATTGTTAATGGGGGAGTAAATTTTTGACATTAATATTTAAATGATCTAAAAAAAATTTTTTTTAAAAGAACGTCACAATATCCGAAGACGAAAGAAAATTTGACAGATGATTTCAGACGAATTTAGAACGGGATCCATTTGTAAGGGAATAAACTATGTAAATGTAATGATGGTAAACTCGAAGAGATTGATATTGCAGAAGTGGGAAACCAGGGATGAGTAGATAACATAATTCATGTACGTTAAGGTAAAATCATATGAAGGTCGAAGGTGTAATGTAACCAGGGTTGCGTAGTTAAACAAGAATTAACATTTAAATATTTAAAAATTAATGCATTTTCAAATAAGTAAATCAAATATGTATTTAAACTATTTGATAACCTTTTAGAAGTATAATAATTAAATGTACTTTCTTTCCCTTAACGTAACTTAACGTTATTCATATGTGTAACATTTCGGATGTTCCACTTTAGATTGTTTTCTAAGGCTTGAGGGGGGGAAGTAAATTGACCTAGAGTAAGCCAACCCTGAAATGTTATGCATATTTATCAAAACGATCAAAACAATCAAAATAACAAAAATATTCATATTAGATGTAAATTGTTATTGTTAATTGAATACAATTAATTTATATCTTCTTTTACTACGAATATTGAATTTAAAAGAAGGTACGTTACAAATAATACTTTAATCTTCTGTATTTAATACAGTCTGTAATTATTTGACACTTTTTCTTATTTTTATTTACTTTCGGGGAAGTTTTCAGTTTTATAATATATAAAATCAAAAGATCATAATTTTAATGCCATCAGTTTTTTTTGGAAAAATATATTTTTTTAAACTAATTCAACAAATTTATTTTTTTTTTAATGTGGTAAAAAATATTTTCCTGATTTATATTTAAAAATGTAAATAAATTTTTTTTCTTTTAGGTTATGTTTATATATGTTAAATACAATTAGCAATTTATAATTTTTTTTATATCATTTTAAAAATTACTTATATCAAAATAAGAATTCGTGCATAGAAAAATTTTTAAAAAATGAAGATTCGATGAATTAGAAATTTTGACATTCAAAAATTCGTATCACTTAAAATTCTCTTGAATGAGAAGTATAAATAAAAATTCGGTTTAATTAATTTAATTCTTAATTAATTCGGTTTAATTAATTTAATTCTTAATTAATTTGGTTTAATTCCTTCAAATAAAAAGTTGGCTAAAAAGAAATTCTGTCAAATTAAAGTTCAGTGTCTAAAAATTTTATGAAGTAAAAATTTGTTTAAAAAATAATTGTATCTGATAAAATTCTTTATCTTGAAAATTGTAACTATTTTATATAGAATAATCATGCGCCGTAAAATTTCAAAATTTTTTTTACCTAAAATTGAAGAAAAAAATCTACTGTGATTTTTGGTATTGTTATTAAAAACTAAATGTGTTTGGAACAGGATTATTAAGAATTATTAAGGGAAAACATGGACCGAAGAGAGAAACTCGAAAGAGTAATATTGCAGGCTGATGTTTATATGGCATGTATACAACATGCTTTATCTACTGAAAATTTGGAAGTAATGGGAATGTTACTTGGCGTAGTAAGTGAAAAAAAATAATATAAGACATCGAATCAAATAACTGCTGAAAAAATTATAAATAAGTAAAAGACTTAACATAAAAATAAACATATTTAATTTTAAATTTCAAACGAAATAAGAAAATACGTATTTTTTATATTTTTATTTGATAATGATTATGGAAGTTATGATTTTTTTTTTAAATTTAACACATTTTGTTTAATTTTCATTTTCCTTTTTTCTTTTTTTTGAAAACTTTGAAAAACTTGTATATTGTGTTCAGACTCAAGGCAGTATTGCAAAAATAATGTCATTGGTGATAATGCTACGATCGGATAAAAAAAAAGATAGAGTTGAAATTTCATCGTTACAACAATGTTTAGCGGCAACGGAGGCAGAGAAATTAGCCGAGAAACATGGTTTACCAGTTAGGGTTTTAGGATGGTATCATTCTCATCCTCACATCACTGTCTGTCCATCTCACGTGGGTAAGCTTTCGTAATAATAATAATTGCCATAATTATTTGCTTTTTGTTTGCATAAAAACCGAAAGTTAGACCCTTGTTTAATGTTTTTTATCAAAGAAAAATGAAATTAATTAAAAATTCAAGCATACAAAAAAATTAGAACCTCATTAAAATAACATTTTACTATAAAACAATTTAAAATTATTTTTTATAGATGTGGGAACACAGGCACTGCACCAAAAAATGGATTCTAAATTTTTTGGACTCATATTTTCAGTTTTTTCGGAAGAAAAGGACACTAAGGTTCATTTTTCTTTACTTTGAATAAAAATCGAAGGATTGATGACTGAAAAGTTTTATGTTCCCTCATGAGAGTAATTTTTTTCTTTAAATATTTTTATTTATTTTTTTTACGCTTTTTTAAATATTCTAACGAAATTTCGAAAAAAAATACTTTGAAATATTTGTATATAACTTTTTTTTGTGCATTTATCTTACAATTAAGTATAAAGAGTTGTCAATCCGTTAACTAAAAATTAAAAACCCGAAAAATTATATTGAATAAATAATAAATTGAATTAAATTAAAATTAATTATTTACCGTGTATGACAAGTGTACACATTAAATTTCAATTTTCAGATGCAGGAAGTTCAATTAACATGCTTTCAATCCTATAATCAGGAAGCAATTGAAATTCCATTGGAAATTGCTTACACACCGAATATTTCAATTGACTGTCTTCAAGTACGTTTTCACTTTATCGAAAAAAAAAATAAAAAAAACGATTTTTAATAAAATTAAAAAAAAAATTAACTCTTTCTAGGCAATGGCTTCGTTACCAAAAATTTTGGTCCAAGAGGAAGAAGAATTGGCGAAAGCGTACAAAGATCATCACGATGCACTCGCTTCAATTTATAACAACGCTGGTGAGAATGTTTTGTTTTTTTTTCAAAAATTTCTATTCTATCAAGTTGGCTACTTCTTCTCTTCATTTCAAATTTAATTCAATAACTATTTTTGACCAAGAAATAATACTGGAAACAGTGTTTTTGGTCATTTATTCCTCTACATGTTTTTTTTAAATTTAATATTAGAGCCCCATGATAATGAAAAGTTGACATTTTTACCTTTAATTTGAGCTATTATAAAATGTTGCTGTATTAAATTTGAAATGGAGAGAAGGAGTGTCCCACTTGAGAAAGAATGCCTTTTATATAATTTATATTTTTAAAAAATTGAAAATGTTTTATTTCCAGTACTAACACGATCATTGGCACACATAACTGATATTGTAACAAGGCCACTGATGCAAAATCTTGCCGATAGAATAATGTTGAATAAATTGCGCAGTCAGCAATTAAAAAGAAATTTACGCGAACTCGAAGAACAACTTTCATCAAAATTTTAATATTTCTTCAACATTAGTTGTCTCTTTTTGATTATTAAAACAAAAATTCAATTTTTTGAATCTACAAATATTTAACACAATTTTTAAATTTCTCTAATTTTAAGTATAAAACTGTTGATATACTATAAGAATAATGTTTAATTAATAGTATTTAAATTTACATTATAAATGTTACTTATCGAAATGTAAAAAAATTAAAGTATTTCGTTTCTTCTAAAATTCATTTATTTATTTGTATGTAAAAGTTTACTTTTTAAATAATTTTTAAAAGGTATGGTTGAGGAAAAAAAAACTACAAAGAGATAAATTTTATGTATTTTTTTTATTTATGAATAAAGATCGTGGCATCGATTTGAGACTGCTACATATATACACTACGAAAACGACGTCGTATTTTTAAATAAGAGACTTAGCTGCATAAAACTTGATTCTCTTTAAGTTTTCTTTTTCAGATCGCTTTTCTTTTTTTTCTCTTTTTTTTTTTTGTTTTTCTGTTTTTGCTTAAAACTGTGATTTGAAATTTTTTTTTGAAAAATTAGAACACAGATTCAGCGGAACGAGAGAGATGAATTGGATGTGAAGGACTTCGAGCAAGTCTTTTTCGCGGAAGTTTTTCCAATGTTGTCAATAATTTTGCAAAGTCCGGTCGATTTTCAGTGTGAAAAGACCAACAAAGCATCAAGATATCCTAAATAAGAGAAAAATACGTCAAAAATTTTTTTATTCCTTTGAATGAAAATTGGCAAATATTCCCCTTTTTGAGTTGCATTAAATAAATAATAAACATAAAGAATGAATGAATGAAATACCTTAACATCGCGCGAAGCTTGTAAATTGGCAAGAGTCTGTTTCATTCCTTTGCCCACTTGCCAAATGATAGCTTCAGGTGGTTGACCTTTGAATGGCCATTCGCCGCAAAGAAGTTCATACCAAACGGTTCTAAAATTATTATTATTATTATTTTAAATTAAATTTTTAAACAGTGGCAAAAAATGACAAAATTATAAAAAAAAAGAAAAAAATATATTTTAAAGTTAATGTAATACCCGAAAGCGTAAACATCGGACGCTTCAGTAAATGGTAATTCCTCTTGATCTCGATTTTGTTGAGGTTTCAAGCGCCTAACAATTTCAGGAGCTAAATAACACAGCCATCCAGGTGGAATGCTTAAACCGTTGCCAGTTCTGTAAGCAACAATTTTCTCAAAAAAGAACAAAAATATCGCGATACAATTTTATTTTTTTAAATAAATTAACAAACAAAAAAATTGATTTCTCTATATAAATAATAGAAAATAAAAAAATTACTATAATACAGTTAATTTATTTTCAAGAATTAATCGAATATAAAAGAATAAGAATAAAAGAAAACTAAATAAAATAAAATAAAAAAATAAATGAAATATATATTTTAAACACCTGTTGCCGTAGCACAGTTTCGTGACGCTAAAAAGTCCAAAGTCAGCAATGACGACTTTGCCATTTTCAAGAAAGATATTTTTGCTTTTGAGATCTTTGTGAACAATTCCTCGTGCATGAAGATATCCAATGCCTTGGGATATTTGTTGTGCAATTATTGTTGTCTTATTCATATTGAATTTGTCCTTACGTAAATGAATGTGTGTGTAAAGAGTCATGCCCTTACTCATACTTGTGACTATCGCCAGTCGAGGTGGCTTCATACAAGCTCCCATAAATAATACTAGATTCTCGTGTCTTGTTTTACGAAAAGTCGCCACCTTTAACAGACAATTTTTCCCCTCCAATTTAATCCACCAAAATCATTAAACAAAAATGCAAAATACACTTTTCTTGCAATGTTTACAGCTCCCAATTCTACTATGTAGTTTAAAATTCAAAATAATTGTTAAAATAATATTACATTTTGAAATTTTTAAAAAATTCTCTTTCAATAAAACAAATAATCAGTTTATTACTTTAAATCATCATTATCATAAATATAATTATATTTTGTTAATTCAGGGTGTCCACAATATTTTTGTTTCATAATTGAAATTACTTGATTTTCATAGACTAAAGATTGTATATTAATATTATATTTATAACAAACCTCCAATTTAAAAGCCTCAAGAGTCTTGTCATCATCGAGGTAATAATCCATATTGAGCACTTTGATTGCCACATCCCCGTGCCAATTTCCTCTATAAACGGTACCGAATCTTCCTGTTCCAATAGGTTCCCCAATTTTTAATTCGTCATAAGGTATATCCCATTCCCGCATCGACAACTGAGAAATAAATCCACACACAAAACAATTTTATCAGATACAATTATTTTTTATACAAATTCATTTCGACTTAAAATTCAAATTTTTTTATTTTTAATTCATTATTAGTTGTCAAAATTAAATTTTCTTTTTTACTTAAGTACTCAATTAATTTAAATCAAAAAAATTATTAGCTGTTACTTTGCAGTATTTTTTTTTATGAGAAAAGTAAAAATTCGCCTATTACTTTTTATTTAATGATAATAAGTGAATTATTATCAATTAATTTAATTTAATTAAACTTTAATTTCGATATTTGTTTTTCTAAAAGAATAAAAATAGAAAAAAAATTGTTTTAAATATATGAATATATACTCACGCTATTTTGTCGGGGCCATCGTCCATCGCCAGGTTCTCCATCTGAAACTTGAGAATCCTGAGAATCGACTCTGACTGGCGTTCGATCAGAATCCGTACTAACACTTCCGGAACCGGAAACGCTTATAGTTCGTTCACTGTCACTTGAAACGGTCGTTCCCTCAAGTCTATGTGTTTCCAGAGTTAAACTTTTTTCATAAGGCGTTACATCTGGTCAAGAAAAAAACAAATTCAATTTTTTACACTTTTTCTTTATCGTCAACTACATTTGAAAGTAAGAAATTTTTTTTTTTCAATTATCAAATATTTTTAATCTACAATTGTAAATTGTACGTACATTAAATGTTTTAAATAAATATTAGGAGTGATAATTGAAAATTTTTTTATTATATTATAAAAGAAAGGAAAAACAATTTTTCAAACCTGGAAAATGAAATTGTTGCTTGACAGGTGCCTGAGGAGTTTGGTTAACATTTACAGGTAACAAAGCTGGACTAGAAGGTGTTGAGCTATTGCAGCTCGAGGTATTTGAACTAGAATCTGCACCCTGTTAAAAATATAATAAATAAATACCCAAAGTAAAATCCAAAATAAAAAATAAATATAATAAGTGTTATACAAACAAGAAAATAATAAAATAGTAAAGATTCTTTTGCGATTTCGTTTCTATTTGTAAATATTAAATGATGATAAGGAATTAATTAAATGTGCTTGTTAAAATACCTGAAAGGGCGTATTCAAAGAAGAATGCGGATGAGGGCGTTTATGGTTCTGATTAGAATTGTGATGATTCGGCGATGTGATTCCCGACTTGTTTAAAACAGGAGACACATTTACCATACCTAGAATAAAATATTCCAATTGTTATCGAACTTTCAACTTTGTGATAGTTTTTGTAATTTTTTCATCATATTTTTAATTTTATCAAAAAACAAAACACGCTATCTTCTTCCTTATAAAAAGTAACGAAGAAAATGACTTATAATAAAGTTATTTTGTGTTAAATATGAATATTCTAGCAACAAAACTATTTTTGGGGTATTTTTCTACCCCAGTTGTACTTGTACGTATGTGCCAGCTATTTCGTAATGTCTAGGGTTAAATAGGACTTTAAAAGGACGAAAAAGTTAAAGAATATAATAATTTGATTACTTACTATCGGCTTGAAGAGTTTTTTTGAACTCGTCAATTAATTCCTGAGGTAGACCACAAGACGGCGGAACTTTTGATGCGCAATCCTTATGACATTTGTATTTGCATTCTTTACATTTGAGTCCCATGAACATTTGCTTATCGCAATAATCACAGGTTGTCATCAATTGCAAAGTTTTTGTGAAACGATGCGTTATCATGTGACCCATCCCACGACTAACAGTCGGTGTTCGTGGTGACTTTGGCACTTGAAGACTTGTCCCTTTAGGAAAAAATAATTTAAACATTTTTCCCTGTTTAATAAACGTTAAAACTAAGAATTAACAACTTAAACTTAGTATTTTTATTTCATAGAAATTTTCAAATTAAATTTATTCTAATTTCAATCTGTTTAAATTTTAATTCATCCAAATTTCAATTTAATTAAATTTTATTCGATTTAAATATTAATCGATCCTAATTTTAAATTAAATTTCAAATGAATTAAATATTAATACGAGCAAAAATAGGACAAACTTTTATTTCATTCTTGCTCCTGGCGCATATTTTTATTCATTTTTCCAAATGAAAACAATTTTTACTTTCTTTTGCTCCCGAGATTTTTTACTATCAGTCTTTCATTGAAAAAAGAAAACATAAATATGATCATTAATTTACCTGTTCCCTTAAAACTGTTATCATCGCTGTCAGCGCTTGAATACGGTGGTGATTTAATTGGACTGCTTGTGTTGGGCACGAAACTCTCGTTCATGATGTCCGTCCCACTACAAGAACCCGGTTCCGTTGGTAGACGCGTTCTTTTGCCAGCAAAATTACTTTGTTCATTTGGACACCTTCAAAGTAAATTCTCACATTGAAAATTCACAAAATCGAAAAGGAGAAAGAACGAAAAAATTAAAGTAATAATTTATAAATTACCCAGAAGACGCATCGCCATTTTCCATACGATTCGTCAATTGTGATTCGTGTGATTTTGACTTTGTCAATGGAAATACTTCCGGCTGAGAAGAACTTTGAAGTCCCGTTTGATGCTTTTTCGATGGTGGAGGTGTTGTTGGAAATTTCCCTCCAGCTACAAGTGAACAGTACATATTATAAAGAAAATAAAATAATAAATTTTGTTTACAAATAAAGTAATGAAATTGAGACAAACCTTGTTTGACGAGAGGAGGTGTTGAAGGAGGACTAGCATTTGACGATAGAGAATTAATGGACGATGCCGGAATCAAGACATCACTGTTAAGATTATTGTTATTATTATTATTATTATTAATATTATACGGAATGCTATCTTCGGAAGGTGCAAAAATTCGAGGATCACGTGGTCGCAAAGAACGAGGTGAGGGTCCACTTCTCAAATGATGCCTGTCCCAAGAATCCCAGTACAAATTCATTTCACTATTTTCCATGTCGCCTTTCAAGAGAACATCTTAAAAAAAAAAAAAAATTTTCAACTTCAAAATTCAACTTATTTCTATTTTAAATTTATTTATTTATTTACAGGACTGCCAATTTTTTTACAAGCTTCTTTAATGATTCTTTAGAAATTTGATAATAAATTAAAAATAAGTATAATAAATAAATTTAATAATTTTTTTTCTTACCCATGTAACGACGCAAATTATGAAGAGCCCGACAAAGTCTGCGAAGCTCTTCCTCTTGTCTCACATTTATTTCTCCCAACATGCTGCCTAATTCGTGCTCCGATTTTTCTTTCAGTGCTTCTAAAGAATTTGTTTTTGAGCAAACCATCTATTAAATAAGAAATACAATATTAATTTAATTTTTTATATAGTTTTTTATTATTTGAAAATAATTTTAAAAAATATTGTTAGAATAGAATAAATTAATTTTAACTTTAAATAAAAAATTATTTTTAAACATAAAGAATTTAAAATTTTTGCATTTTACAAATTGGCAAAATAAGAAATTACAATACAATAAATATAAATTTTTATCTTTACCTGTATAGATTCTGGTCTGAGACCCACAACTCGTAACCACTGCGACAAAGATGGATATTGTCGCATTTCAGCTGGTAAAGATTCTTCAGTCAATTTTGCCTTTGTGACAAGTTGCTTTGAATATAATTTTATCAGCTTACCCTGTTAATAAAATGCAATATTTTTTTTTAATTTATAAAAGAAACCTAAAGATATAAACATTGAAAACATTTTTAAAATTTTCCATTTTTTACCATAACTGTTGGATTTATTTCAATAAAATTAAATAAAGTCAAAAATTTAAATTTTTTATCAATTTTTCTTTGTTGAAAGTATTGTATCTTAAAAAAGAAATTCATTGATGTATAAACAGTTCATATTTTGATACAAAATTTGTACAAATAATCGCGATTTTTCGTTTTTAAAAAAAAATTGAAATTTTTGATTTTTTTTTATAAATTTGCAAAATTTACGAAAAAATATAATAAATTTAGAAACAAATCTAATAATAAGATAGAAAATATATATTTCACAAGAAATTTTTAAAATTAATAGCTATTTCTTTTCTTTAAGAAATTCAAATGTTAATTTTTTTTTTCGATTTAATTTCTCAAATTAAATAAGCAAAAATGTTTTATTAACAAATTATTAAATTCATTAAAGATTATTGTTTTTACCGTAAACAAAGGATATTTAAATTTTAAATAAATAAAAAATCAAATCGATTTAAAATTGAATCAAATTAAATTCAAATAATTTGAAACTTAAGTCAATTAAAATTCGGAAAATTTGAAACTTAAATCAATTAATATTTAGATAAATTAAAATTACGTTAATTTTAAATTTCGATTGATTGAATTTGCGTTTGTTTAAAATTTTATTTAATAAATTTGTTTTCTCCTAATTAAAATTAGAATCGATTAAAATTTGATTAAATTTAAATTTGGATGAATTAAATTTTGTAATTAAAAGTTAAAACAAAAAAAAATTTAGGTTCAAATCCAAAAAAATCGGATTTTTTTTTAATGATTTTTTTATGTTCTGTAAAATGGATTTTTGCTCCATAAGTTAATAACCAAAGAATTTAATAATAATTAAAAACAAATAAAAAGATGAATGTTCAAAAGAAAAAAAAACAAATTATTTTTGTAAACAGAGAGTATAAAATTTATAAATATTAATTTGCAGAGTATTAAATATAAAAAAAATGACATTGCATTACATTGTTTTGATTTTAAAGTCCTGATTCGCGCATAATATTAAATAAAATCATTATTAACAATTATATTGACATCTCGAAGAAAAAAGAACGAAACCTTGGAACATTCATTTTCTCCTTCTTCAAATTAGAAAATTCACTTTCTACAATTTTTACGAGAAAATCAATGAAGCTAATTAATAAAATAGATGAAAAAAGTTGAAAAAAGTAATATTATTTTCAGTAAAAGTAATGTGCATGTAATATAGCAAGGTCAAGGTTATAATATTTTTCTCGTGGGGATATATTATAAAGGCGTAGTGAAAGGAAATTTAAAAAAAATTATATTTCTTCTCCAACCTCAAGAGTACGAATTTCTTGTTGTGTTAATTCGGCGCTTGTTGAACATTGTGTTCTAAGTCCCTCGAGTCGTTCAGCCGAGATGTCAATCATGGATTGAACGACGTCTAATGCACGTCGAATCTCCTGCTCGGCATCCTCGTCTGCCATTCCGTGACTCGCTGACGAACCCGTAACTGAATTGTTACTTTCCTTATTTCGCGAACATTATTTACACCCAAGAAGAGGCATTTGTTTCTTGTGCTTTTTAATCACTTTGTCAAGAGAGACAAGTCTCTTTTCTTATTTTCTTTTTGTACACACTTATATCAACATTTGACAACCATCTTAACCATCTTAAACTGTATATGACAGATATGGACTGTACGCGAAAATACCCGATTAAATGATCCGACGGTACACGATGAAACCAGGGTTGGGAATATTGTGAACTTATATTGACGAGAAGGGATCTCACGGTGAAGCCCACCGAGAGGTGGCTGTGTGTCGAAAAGTCTTTGGTCACAACATAAAGGCACTTTGCAATTTCAATAAGTAATAATTGTAATATGTATTCGTTTATTTTTACGGAGCCTCGAGTTTTGTGCGCTTTTGATTTTCATAAACTCCCGCCTTTTATGGGCTACATCAGCGCCTTCTGTCGTCCATGGTTCGTAGTTCTAGAAATGGCATCTCTGTTGGTCAGTGATACAGTAAGTGTGTGTCATACAGTGCATGTCCATTCATGTGTTTCAAATATTATTATTTTGTTTAGTGTCAAATTGTGATATTTATTTTACATTATTATTATTTTTTTAAAATGAATGTATCATTCATAATATTTTTCCTGTGCCTTAGTGTCTATTCAGGTAAACTATATTAATGAAATTATTATTAGTTAAAAAGAAAAGAAACTCTGATCTAAATAATTGAAAATCTTTATTATTTTTTAGGCAACGCCCTAGAATGTTATGTGTGTCAAAATCAAGAGGGAAACATTGAAAAATGTTTAAATACAATTAAAACATGTGAACCCGATGAGGATGTTTGTCTGTCAGAAATAAGCTGGGGAAGTATGTAATTTTTTTTATTTCATTAAAAATTTTTATAATTAATTTTTATTGCGTGACAGTTGAAGACTCAAATTAGGCAATTATTTTAAAATAAATAATTATTTATATATTAATTAATTATTAATTATTTAAAAATAATAATAATATAAATTTTATTTATTAAAGTGTCGGAATTTCTCAAACGGATCACCTAAAATTAAAAAGTTTATTTTTCAATAAAATTTCAATTAACAATACAATTTTTAGCAGTGTCAATCAAAATTTTTGTTTTTCATGTTTTATATTATTAATATTTTTTTACATAAAATAAAAATAAATTTAATAATAATTAGTTTAGTTTATTTACACTTGTTTTAAGCCATTTAAGACCGATACAAGAGGAGAATCGTTATTACAAAAAACAATAGGTGAGCGACTCCACGTCAAGTGATCGCACCGATTTAGGCAATTTTGATAAATTTTTATAATATTGATAATTTGGGTTCCTTTAAGGGTCAAAAAAAGAAATCCTAAGTATTTTTAAAAAATTCAAAATATTTTTCAAAATATTGCACATTTAAATTTTTTGTAATTTTTTTTTTGATTTATTATAACTTCCGTAATTTTTAACCAATCGAAATAAATTTTTTTTAAATACTCGTATTTAGATGCTCTTTCATAAAAAAAATTTTGAAAAAAAAATTCAAAATTTTTTATTTTTATTAAAAAAACAATTTTAATTGTTTAAATAATTCGAAAAGTATATCTTCAATTTTTTTCAAAAAATTCATGAACATTCTCTATAATGTCCTGAAAAATTTAAGACCTTGAAAAAGATGGTATGTCATACAGTTTCCGAGAAAATATTATTTAGTTTCTGTAGCGCATGAAGTCATTGTAAACTATATGAGGCATTTCAAATGAGAATACGGGGTCATGTCTCGGATTTTTCTCAAAATTTGGTAAATTGTAGTGATAGTGGTGCTAAATAAGTGTACAAATTAGGGCAATATTTTTTTGCTTTACTTATAACTTTTTCCCTACTAAATATAGAGAGAAATGTTGATAATGTTTTTTAAGCAAAAGACCTTAAACATTTAAAAAAAATTATTTTTTAAAAAAAATATTAATTTTTAAACAATTTGTTTAAAAAATAAAATTTGTTTATAACTTTTAAACATGTTCTCCCTCATTTTGAAGCGCGATAAAAATCATGAATATTGTTTTTTAAGTCATAATAAACCGATTGTTAAATTTTTGAGATGGCATTATTTTTTGTTTTCGAGATATTAATTAATTAACTAACAAAAGTTTTAAAAAAATGAAATATTTTACGAACTATGTAATAAAATTAGAATAATTTTAAAAATACCATTCCAATGCTTATCAAAATCCGCATTCAACGAGCCCTATATAAACTATTTTGGATAAACGGGTGTTAAATTAATAATTAATAATAAAAATTATTTAAATAATTAATAACATTTGAAGAAGTGAAGATAAATCGTCAATTCTTTTTTTATTTGGAAGATCATCTAATTCTGTGTCAAAAAAAGAATATTAAGTATTACCAAGAATCAAAAATTAATTATAAAATGTTATTTAGAAAAAGACTGAAAAATAACTTGTGTCGTGGGGTGCTGAAACATCGATATTCATTAATCATCTGTTAATAATTTAAATTTGTTAAAAATATTATTTACACTGGTTTTATTTAACACAGAATTAGATGATCTTCCAAATAAAAAAAGAATTGACGATTTATCTTCATTTCCTTAAATGTTATTAATTATTTAAATAATTTTTATTATTAATTATTTATTTAACACCCGTTTATCCAAAATATTTCATATAGGGCTCGTTGGATGCGGTTTTCGATAAGCATTGGAATGGTATTTTTAAAATTATTCTAATTTTATTAGTTCGTAAAATATTTCATTTTTTATTAACTTTTGTTAGTTAATTAATATCTCGAAAACAAAAAATAATGCCATCTCAAAAATTTAACCATTGATTTATTATGACTTAAACAATATTCATGATTTTTATCGCGCTTCAAAATGAGGGAGAACATCTTTAAAAGTTATAAACATTCTTTTGCGTAAAAAACATTCTCAACATTTCTCTATATTTTTAGTAGGGAAAAAGTTATAAGTAAAGCAAAAAAATATTGCCCTAATTTGTTATCGTAAATATCTCGAAAAATATTAAAAATTTCAGATTCAAAATTTGTACACTTATTTAGCACCACTATCACTACAATTTACCAAATTTTGAGAAAAATCCGAGACATGACCCCGTATTCTCATTTGAAATGCCTCATATAGTTTACAATGACTTCATGCGCTACAGAAACTAAATAATTTTTTTCTCGGAAACTGTAAGACATACCATCTTTTTCAAGGTCTTAAATTTTTCAGGACATTGTAGAGAATGTTCATGAATTTTTTTCAAAAAAATCAAAGATATACTTTCCGAATTATTTAAACAATTAAAATTGTTTTTTTAATAAAAATAAAAATTTTTCAATTTTTTTTCAAAATTTTTTTTATGAAAGAGCATCTACATACGAGTACTTAAAAAAAATTTATTTCGATTGGTTAAAAATTACGGAAGTTATAATAAATCAAAAAAAAAAAATTACAAAAAATTTAAATGTGCAATATTTTGAAAAATATTTTGAATTTTTTAAAAATACTTAAGATTTCTTTTTTTGACCCTTAAAGGAACCCAAATTATTAATATTATAAAAATTTATCAAAATAGCCTAAATCGGTGAGATCACTTGACGTGGAGTCGCTCCTGCATAAAAAATAAAATGAATTAAAAACATTACACAGAAGACAATTTAAAACTATTTCTCTTCCGAAGAACCAACTGCAGAAGCTTAATAAATCTTTTAATTACAAAATTGTCATCGGAAGAAATTTAATAATAATTATTTACTTACATATATAATAATTTAATAATTGATAATAATTAATTATTATTTATTGAAAACAAAACTTCAGTCTCCTTACGTTTTTATTTGTAATAAATAAATTTAATTAATTAATTATCAATCAGAAATTTTTAGTTGATTTGAAAAGATTATTTTTATTTATTGATTAATTTCAAATTTTTATCAGTTCAAATGAAAAATCATTAAATTTTTTAAGAATCTGCAGTTAATATAATGTTGGTTCTTTTTATTCCTACCTATTTGTTTCTAATAAATTAAATAAAAGTGGAATTTAAGAAAAAAATTCAGTTTTACACGAATATATTTAACGTGATTGGATATGATTTTGAAACCTACAAAATTTGTTAAAGGTCCACCCTATTGGTCGCAAGGTGCCACTAAACAATTTTACGTCTCCAAAAGATGTGCAAGCAAACGAAAATGTGAAGGAAGGAGACAGAATTACATGTCTACATGTACCCATATATGGTATTTAGACTGGAAATGTTCCGAGTGTTGTCAAGGAGATAGGTGTAATTACTATATCATAGTAAGTTTCTTTTATTTTATTATTACATTTATTTATTTCAACACTAACACCCGCGATTCAATTGAACTTATATGGGAGATTTTAGAAATTAATTATTTTCTCTGAAATTAGAAAATAATTTCTAATAACTGTTTTTGTTGTGCAGTTGCTTTCGGCAAAGGTTGTTGTCATCTTTTCCTTCTCCACAATTATTTCATACCTAAATTATATATAGTTTACATTAATTTTTTTTTATACATTTAATTAAGATATTAAATCTAATTTTATATTTCAGTCTGGAACAAGCAAACCAGGACAAACATTTGCTATCATATTTTCAGTAGTTTTCACAATATTTACTATTGTAACCAGAATGTAGTGCAACAAAAAAAAAAACAAAATTTAATATTATTAAGTTAATAAGATCTCTAGAATTTGTCACTTAGACAATAACAGAATTATTGAAGAACAAAGAAAAATAACTTTCTTCCGTCCATATGTAAATAAGTATTTTTTTTGCTTATAATTTTTGTATATAATTTTTAAAAAAATGACACAATTTACTTTTTTATCGTCTTTGTATTACATATTAATTTTAGTCAGTTTTCTAAAGAAATAGAATAAATAATATTCATATAGAAACTAAAATTATGAGTGCCTTAGTCATTCTCAGTGGGATAGACTAATTTAAAATTTCGTATTGCCTATCTCGATGCTTACTCACTTAAGATTTAATAAATTATCTATTTCAAGTAATAAATATAATTTTTTTTGCTTATTTTTTATTATGAAAATTTTTAGTTAAACTTACAATTACTTTATAATTCATTTACTGATTATTATTTTGATTTTAGATTTAAAAATTTGAAATATATCTAAAAAGTCTTGAAAGAGGAACATAATTATTTTGTTTTTAAATTAGTATTATCCCATCGTGATTGAGTGCATTGGAGATTAAAATATTCGATGTTACATATGTTCTTAAAAAGAATAGTGTTTACGAATGTTAATGCTCTTTAGAACAAATATTTTGCAGTAAATGTAAAAAAATACTGAATTCCGTCCTTATCTATCTATATATATATTTAGTAAGATTTGTTTGTACGAGAGCAAAATTTGCTTGTCCTTACAAGTTACAAAAAAATTTTCATTTAATGAAATTAAATAAAAAAATTTTTACCAAATAAATATACTAATTTGATTTGCTTTTCCTTCTTATGTTAATCTCACAAAAATGTTGATCATGCAACAAATGCAAAGTACAGCACAAGAATTCATCGATAAAAAAAAATTTAGGAGAATTCTTCAAGAATTCTTACCAATGACGCTCCGCGACAAAAGTAAAATATTATATAAACTGAATAATTTTAATTCTTTTAAAAGTAAAAATAAAAATTTCCCTTCTAGGGAATCAATCAATTACATGAGATGCAATACGATTGTTAGAAATAATGGAAAGCTATATACTCTTTTTTTTCTGTGCATGACATTTTGAATATTTAATGATATCAAATTATATATTGCACTGAATTTCTCCTTACTTAACTTTTTTTAAGATATAAATAGAAAATAAAAATTGATATCGTATGGTTTACTTCTATACTTCATCATTACGAAAAAAAAGAGTTAAATTATTGTTTTGTTACATTTTATGAGACTGATATATTTTATTATGCAAATTGGAAAACGAATAAAAGAAGAAAATTTTCTTTAGGAAAATCAATTCGAAATAATATAGTATAGGATTCATATGCAAAAAAAAAAATACTTTTATGAAAGATCTTTTACATTTTTAATAAGTGAATCAATTAATTTAAGTATATAAGCTGTATTATTTATATTGACTACGATAAATGGTTATAGAATTATTTATTATCATCTTTGTAAGATGGGAGGTTACAGAAAATAATTTTAAAAAGTTCCCAGCAGTTGTAGAAAAAGATTCATTCAAACAACATAGTCCGAATTTAGAAAGTATTTGTAAAATCATTTACTAGGATTATAAGAATGTTTAAATCAAAAAAACACAATATTTACACAGGACAAATTTCATTGAAATTGTTTCAAATATGTGGTTTATGGAAACCACTTAATTGTAATTCGCAATGGAAATTGAATATTTATTATTTATATTCAATTTTTACAATAACTTTATATATTTCATTAACATTCTTACTTTTTGTATACATGTTTCAAATTCATGAAGATGTGAAAGATTTTACACAAAGTGTATTTTACTTTTCCACTTATTTTAATGTTTTGATTAAATTGTCAATGGTTGTTATTAGACGAGATATATTTATCAAATCAAATAAAATGCTTTTGTCTGATATGTGTCAATCCCGCGATAATCATGAGGTTGAAATTATTAAAAAATGCTCCGACATTGGCAGGTACTATGTTCTATGCAAATCTAAAAACAGGTTTGTTAAAATTTCGGGTAAATTTCGAATTTAGCCGAACTAATTGACCTGTTTTTAAGATTTGCCCATAAATCATGCAACATAATGAATATTGTTTCGAAAAATATAAATAATTTTTTAGAGCGAATACTATACGGTTCTTAATTTTTGTGCATATTACTCCAATAACAATGTTATTGGTACCATTATTGTCAAATAAAAGAAGAGCACTTCCGCATGAGCTTTGGTTACCTTTTTCTGTTGAAGCTGAATCTGTATATATTTTAACATATTTATATCAAACAATTTGTCTTATAATGATATTGTACATATCAGTTGGAATGGAAGGTTTAGCATTGACAGTAATGCTACATATTTGTGGTCAACTTGAAATAATAAAATATCGATTAAGTTTGCTTCCTGAATTGGTAAAAAATAATAAATTTAATCCAATTAAATTCAGTTACGAAGAAGAAATTATCAAATGTTGCATTAAGAGTCATCTTTATATTTATTCGTAAGTCTTAACAATAAATTTAAGGATGTTGTTAACTAATTTAAGGAAAAGAATATTGCAAAAAGTTATTGATTTAATAAAAACTCCGAGTTTCAAGTTTTTATTAATTTTATCAAATTTTTAAACTATAGGTACCGATTAAATATAGTTCTAATATTTTTCAAATATTTATTTAATTATTTCAGAATAGGAGAAAATGTGAACAAACAATTTGGACTTATAATATTTACGCAATTTTTTGCATCTATCGTTAATATGTGTGCCATTATTTATAATATGGCAAGTGTAAGTCCGACTAATCGTATGTTTTGGATAATGATGGCCTCTATTGGCAGTTATGTCTTACAAATTTTTATCTACTGTTATTATGGGGATAAAATGACAGAAAAGGTAATTAAAATATACAAGGATAGAAAAAAGCTATTCTTTTAAATTCGATGTAATTAATTTAAATTTCATTTTGCATCACATTGAAAAAGAATTTCTAATTTACAAATGACACCGAAGATATTTTGTTGTTAATATTCTAATTTTACAAAGACATTAAATTATTTCAAAATTAATTGTATAAGCTAAAACATATATCAAAGTTAATAATAAATAACTGAATTAATCAATTAATATAATAAAAATAATAAAAACTCCTATATATTTAAAACAACTTTGGTTTTGTCCGCAACAGAGCTCAGAAATTAGTTCTGCTATTTATTCCTTAAACTGGGATGCATTATCAGTTAATACTCAGAAAAGTTTAATTACTATTATGATACGAAGTACAAGACCTATTAAATTGACTGCTTCATCAATCATCATCATGTCAATTGAAACGTTTATGAAAGTCAGTATAATTTTTCTTTTTTATTTATTATTGGATATCTGGATAGCACAAAAGCTTGAGACAAGCTTGGAATCCAGTCATGGTAATCTTGTCGCAAGCTTTTTTACTACCTGGATAGTTAGCATATCCCAGTAAGAAGCGAGAAATATTTTTATATTTTCATTTTCCCAAAAACCTGTTTTACCATCAGTTGATAAGGTAGATTTCTACGTCGGTAATTTTTATATCAACATTTTCTTAAAAAATATTTGCCATCAGTCGGTAAGGTAGATTCCTATGTCGGTAATGTTTATATTTTCACTGTTCAAAATTTTTTCAACAATCTATATTCAATTTTAAAGATACTTAAAATGAGTTTTCATTTTGGAATTCTAAAAAATTGAACAGTTTGTTAAGTATTAATAATTTTTAAAAAATTCAATTTTTTGCTTTTTACTGGTATTATACATTACTTGAAAGTTATATTTCTCCAAAACCAATATTATATATATATTTCAGATTATGAGATCAGCTTACACTGCTTATAACGTTCTAAAATAAATATATAAACCCAATGTAGTAAATAAAATTGACTTATTAGAAAAATATCTAATTATGACATATTTGTAATTCCAATTACCCAAATAACAATTTAAAAAGAGTAAGCTTTATAAGAATTACAATTTAATTTTTTCAAAGACACCTCATCCGTTATTCTAAGTATGTTTGAGTTTTCACCAATTTTGATTGACTTTATTATGGAAAATTTCCAAGAGAGCCAATCAAAATTGGTAAAAACTCTGACATATACTCGCAGAAAAGGAGAAGGTATTTATAATTAATTACCAATTTTTGGTTTTCAGCGAAATCTTTGAAAATTGTGTTTGGATTGGGTAATTAAATTACCCCTTTAAAATCGTCTTGAGAAAATTAGTACTAAATATTTTTTATTAGTAGGTTTTTTTTTTAATATCTATACTTTTTATGCTTATAGTTAATATATAGAATATTGTAAAAGCTTTAATTTCCCTCTTTGATGAAAAAATACAATGATAGGTTTTTCTATTTATAAGAAAAAATTATTACAATTTTATTCTTTTTACTAAACAATTCTGCCGTCCTGATTTAAAAAGACACTATCTACATTTGTCGCTTAGGTCGTAATTCAGTAGTAGCTAAGTATCAACACACAAAAGTGAGTCGAAGCGATAAATGTAGATAGTGTCTTTTTAAATCAGGACAGCAGAATTATTAAGTACTATAATGAAAACTAATTACTGCAAAACTTAAAACACATAATTTATCAGATTAATAACAGTTTTTAAAATTTCCATGCCATTCACATTTCAGTGGTCTAGGTAAATACGTGTCATGCATGTGGTTATAAGTATGTGCATTGAAATTAGGACCACCCTGATTAACTGGATTAAATGGAAAATTACTTCCATGATACCAAAATGGTGGCAATGGATTTGCAATGTAATTCCCTTCGTTAAAACTTTGTGGATATTGATTTCCTTGATTCAAAATTGGTGAATATTGATTTCCTTGGTTAAATGCTGGTGAATATTGACTTCCTTGGTTTATGAAAGATGGAAATTGACTGCCTTGGTTTAAATATGGTCGATAATAATTTGATGTTAATGCTAATTGACTTCCTTGGTTTACACCTGGTGAATATGGATTTCCTTGATTCAAAACTGGTGGATACTCATTTCGTGGGTAAAATTCTGGTCGAAATTGACTTCCTTGGTTCAAAGCTTGTAAATTTTGTCTTCCATAGGATGATGGTATTTGATTTCCTTGGTTTAAAACTTGTGATTGTTGACTTTCCTGATAAACTGGTGAATTTTGATTTCTTTGGTTCAAGACAGGTGAAAATTGACTAGGGCGATATTGATTAGGTGATGATACTAAATGACTTCCTTGATTTTCACCTTGTAAATATTGATTTCCTTGATTTAAAGCTTGTGAATAATAATATTCTTGATTCAAAACTGGTGGAAATTGACTGCCTTGGTTTAAAGCTGGTTGATGCTTCTTCAAAGTTTGTTGATTTTGACTTTCTCGATACCAAACTGGTGAATATTGATTTCCTCGGTTGAAAGCTGATGAATATTGATTTTCTCGATTTAAAGTTGGAGGAAATTGATTTGCTTGATTTACAGCTGGCGAAAATTGACTTCCTTGGTATAAAACTGGTGATTGTTGAGTTCCTTCGTACGAAGGTAATGGATTTTGGTTTTCTAAGTTCATGGCTGGTAGTAATTGATTGCCTCCATTTGAAGCTGGTTGATCTTGTCTTCCGTTGTACAAAGTTTGTTGTCTTTGACTTCCTTGGTTTGAGGCTGGTGGACTTAGACTTTCTAGATTCAATGTTGGTGGATTTTTATTTCCTTGGTTTAAGACCGGTGGTAATTGACTGCCTTCGTTTAATGCTTGTCTTTCCTCATTTAAAGCTAGTGGATTCTGATTTCCTAGGTTTGGGGATAGTGGTAATTGACTACCTTGATCAAATGCTAGTGAATATTTATTTTCTTGATTTAAAGCTGAAGGAAATTGATTTGCTTGTTGCAAGGATGGCGAAAATTGAATGCTTTGAATCCAAGGTAGTTGAAATTTAGTTCCTTGATTCGAAGCAGGGAGAAATTCAGTTCCTTGGTATGAAACTGGTGGTTGTTGAGTTTCCTGATACAAAGCGGGTGCATTTTGATTTCCTTGATTCGAAGCTGGTTGTAATTGACTGCCTTGGTTTAAGACTGGTTGCTCTTGTATATCGTTGTGCAAAGTTTGATGATTATGACTTCCATGATTTGAGGCTAGTGGACTTAGATTTTCTTGATTCAAAATTGTTGGATTTTGATTTCCTAGGTTCGCTGCTGATGGTAATTGACTGCCTTTGTTTAAAGGAGGTAGATGTCTTTCTTCGCTCAAAGCTGGTGGATTTTGATTTCCTTGGTTGGAGGCTGGCAGAAATTGACTGCTTTGGTTCAAAGCTTGTGGATTCTGATTTTCTTGATTCGAAGCTGGTAGTAGACTGCTATTATTTAAAACTGGTTGAACAGGTCTATCGTTGATTAAAGTTTGTTGAATTTGATTTTCTTGGTTTGAGGCTGGTGGACTTACACTTTCTAGATTAAATGTTGTTAAATTTTGATTTCCTTGGTTCGATGCGGCTTGTAATTGTCGGATTCGGTTTAAAACTGGTTCATCTTGTCTATCGTCGTTCAATTTTTGTTGATTCTTACTATCTTGATTTGTGGTTGGTTGAATACGTGTTTCTATATTCAATGTTGTTAAATTTTGATTTACTTGGTTCGCTGCTGATGATAATTGACTGCCTTGGTTTAAAGGTGGTAGATGACTCTCTTCGCTCAAAGCTGGTGGATTTTCATTTTCTTGGTTCGTGGCTGGCAGTAATTGACTGCTTTGATTTAAAACCTGTGGATTCTGACTTTCTTGATTCGAAGCTGGTAGTAACTGACTGCCATGGTTTAAAACTGGTTGAACAGATCTATCGTTGTTTAAAGTTTGTTGAATTTGACTTTCTTGGTTTGAGACTGGTGGACTTAGACTTCCTAGATTCAAAATCGTTAGGTTTTGAGTTCCTAAGTTTGAGGCTGGTTGTAATTGACCGGCTTGGTTAAAAACAGGTTGAACGTGTCTATCGTTGTTAAAATTTCGTTGATTTTGACTTTCTGGAGTTGTGGTTGGTAGATTAAGACTTTCTATATTCAATGTTGCTAAATTTTGATTTCCTTGGTTCGCTGCTGGTGGTAATTGACTGCCTTTGTTTAAAGGAGGTAGATGTCTTTCTTCGCTCAAAGCTGGTGGATTTTGATTTCCTTGGTTTGAGGCTGGCAGTAATTGACTGCTTTGGTTTAAAGCTGGTGGATTCTGATTTTCTTGATTCGAAGCTTGTAGTAACTGACTGCCATGGTTTAAAACTGGTTGAACTGGTCTATTGTTGTCCAAAGTTGGTTGATTTTGACTTTCTGGAGTTGTGGTTGGTAGATTAAGATTTTCTATATTCAATGTTGCTAAATTTTGATTTCCGTGGTTCGATGCTGGTTGTAATTGACTGCCTTGCTTTAAAGTTAATTGATCATGATTTTCTGTATGAAGTACTGTTGGATTATGATGAAATTTGTTAAAAGAAGGTCGACTAGCCTGGTTGCCAGGTTGTGGAAATGGATTATCTGGTAAATAATTATTTTCTCGATTTAAAGCTGAAGGCAAGTGAATGCTTTGAATCCAAACTGGTTGAAATTGAGTTGCTTGGATCCAAGCTGGAAGAAATTGACTTCCTTGGTATGAAACTGGTGGTAATTGAGTGCCTTTGTTCAAAACTAGTTGATCTTGTCTTTCATTGTTCAAAGTTTGTTGACTTTGACTTTCTTGGTTTGAGGCTGGTGGACTTGGACTGTCTTGATTTAAAGTTGGTGGATTTTGATTTCCTGGGTTCGAGGCTGGTTGTAATTGACTGTCTTGGCTTTGATGAGATATAGTAGTTTCATTTTCATTTTGGTTTGAATTTATTTCAGTTTTATTTTGATTTTCTGTACGTTCATCAATAGATTGGGTTAGAACTTCCGTACCTAAGGTCGTTAAGATGATAAATCCTATCAAACCAATAAATAAATGAAATAGTTTCATTTTTTCAGATACTTTCCTTGTAAAACTCTTTTGAAAGGTTTTAATAATTTGCGAAAAAAATTATGTGGATTTTATTTATATAGATGTGGTGACTGAATAATTTTATTAACACATATGTTTATGGCATACACGTGGATTAGATTAACTACTCATTATACCATTTTATCGACTTTTCTATGATTGAAAATAAATAATATGTATATTAATTTTATTGATATAATAATAATAAAAATAATGGTACACATAGACTGTTTTATTTTACAATTTTATTACTTTGTTCCATTTTGTTTAAAAATAATTTTTAAATTAATATTTAATATAATATATCATTATAATTATTTAAACTTGGTTATTTATATAAAACTTTTTTTACAAAAATTAATTTATTATATTTATAAAATTTATTTACATAATTTTTGAATGGAATTAATTATTATTCAAGTATTGTGACACTTAAAGTAATGTTTTTTAAATTAAAATATATATAAAATATAAAATGACAATTTATTCAAATAGTTGTTTGTCTATGTTATTTGTTAAAAAAAATTGTTATCAATTAAAGATGAAGAAAAAAATATATTCTAAAAATTTACATTACGAAACTTATTCTAAATGTGTTATAAAATGGAAATTTTTTTATATCTTTATTTACTTTTGTAATATATTCCATATTGTATATGGGCAAATCCACAGAACCGGCCGATTTCATGTTACTCACATATTTTTCTATTTTAGAAGTATTATATTAATTATTTTCATACTTCAACCATTTTGTAATATCTCTGAGAACCTATTGAAATAAGAAAATTGAATAAATGTGAACCTTCTAGTCTTTTATAAAAAATAAAATCGAATTAAGTAACTTAAAAAATGAAATTTACGGTGTTACTCCAGGTATAAATTTTAATTCTTATAGGTATAACTTGTTCGGCATAGATCCGAACAATTCCAAACTGTGGTGAATTATAGTTTACTTATTGAAGAATGTTTTGAAAGTAATAAAAAATATGTGCTCTTAAATAAAAAGAAATGATAGTCGTTGAAAGTAGCGTTACTCATTATTTTATAATAATGAAATGTCTATACATTTTTGTAAATATCTTTTGCGGCGATTATTCGATTTGAATTTTTCAAATTGGAGCTTATTGCTTGTGAACAGACGAACAAATGTATGTATCATAGAATAGAGTGCAATCAGAATTAAAGAAAATATTCCAATAATTATCACTCTATGTTTAAGCGTGAACCATTTTCAACATAGCCTTTTTTCAGTAGCACAACTACAGGATAAAATATGATGAGTTGAAAACATGTGTGATTATATAAAGACATTATTATAATTCTTGTATGCAAACGCCAAATTATATTTTTAATTTATAACGTCTAAAAATTAAAAATAAAAAAAATTTATCGAAATTTAACTAGTTAATCGTGAAAAATGAATTATCCTTTCATTTGTTTTATTTTCAAAGTTATATCAAAATCGATGTCAATAATGTCAGTTTGTTGGTTAAAATAGTTAATATCAAAATTAGTAAGTAAACAATTTAATTTACAGAAATAAAAAATTAAATGCTAATAAATAAAATATATAATAAAATATGATAAAATATAAATAATTTATTTTTGATAATTAAAAAATTAATTATTTGTATTTTATCATATTTTATTATTCAAAATGTTTTGCACATATTTCAAATAATATATAAAAAAAACAAAGAAATGCCATTTTTAATTATAATTTCCAAAAGAAAAATAATATTTTCGTTTTTGGCTTTTAACTCAAACGGCATTAAAATAAAATGAATCACGCAAGAAGATAATTGTTCTTGAATATATTTTAAAGAAAGTAAACCATAAATAAAAGGTGTGCTTGCTATTTGGAAAATTTTCATCTTGATAAGTAAAAATCGGCCGGTTCTGTGGATTTGCCCATATACATCAAGAAACCTTAATTATATAAAAAAAGTACAACTAGCGCACTTCAAACTAAAGCTTAAAAACTGAACGAAATTTTATTTTAATAATAATATAAATAAATCTATGATCCAACTTTTGGCCAGCGTAACGTTTATGAGCATTAAATTCGATAATATGGTAAAAAATTAGCACTAAATGAGCTCTAATTAATGGCATATTAAAAATTCATTTTTATGTAAGGTAACAAAAAAATTAGTAGAGAATCGTAATAAATTGTTGAAACAAATAAAAAATGCAATATAACATTAGTAAAATATATTATTTGACAATATAAAACATTTGCATTGAGACATTATAAATTTTTTCGATAGATATTATAATATTAAAATGGCCTGATCCACATACTCTATGTTAGGTGGGAGGTCACCTCTTTGGCTAAAAGTAGGTTGAAATTCTCCTCTTTGGATATTTTCAAATTCATTTTTTTAAAGACAAATATAATTCATTTCCATGGTACGAAAATGGTAGCAATTTACTTGCTTTATTAAAAATTTTGTTAAATTCTTCAGGTCGCCTTGAAGTAAGTAAATTATCTCTTTCGTCAATAATTTGTGATTCAATTTCTTCTAACAAATTAGATGACGGTGACTGATATAATTTGTTAAAAAATGGTGAATACTGATTTCCTTGGTTCGAAGCAGGTGAATATTGATTTTCTTGTAATGCTTGTAATAATGATAAAAATAATAATGATAAACAATAATTTTCGTCAACCAATTGGCGTGAAAATGCACTGAATAGATCTAATGCAGTTACTTGTTTTCTTTCCATGTTCGAAGTTTGTCGATTTCCACTTTCTTGGTTTGAGGCTGGTGGATAAAGGTTTCCTAGATTCTTAAGATTTATATTTCGTGTGTTCAATATTGACAAATATTGTTTAAGTTGGTTTAAAATTGCTTGTTGATTTTTATTCAAATCTGGTGAATTATACTTTCCTTGATTGAAAGCTAGTTCATGATTTTCCTTGTTCGAAACTAGTTGATATTGTCTGTCGTTGTTCAAAGTTTGTTGGTTTAAATCAATTTCTTGTTTTGAGTTTTGTAGATGGTTGTTCTGATTGAAATGGTTCGAGGCTGGTGGTAATTGACTGTCTTGGCTTTGATGAGATATAGTTTCGTTTTCATTTTGGTTGTTCTGATTTGAATAAATTTCAGTTTTATTTCTCTCGATTGTTTTATTTTGATTTTCTGTACGTTCATCAATTGGTTGGGTTAAAACTTCCGTATCTAAGGTTGTTAAGATGATAAATCCTATTAGGCCAAAAATTAAATGAAATAGTTTCATTTTTCTTTAGACACGTTTTTCATAAAACTCTTTTGAAAAGTGTTAATAAACTGCTTAAAAATGCCTGTGTATTTTATTTATATAGATGGTGACTGATTAATTTTTATTAACACATTTTTATATGTTAAAAAATTACGCAGTTAACTGTAATGAATAAACATTAATAATACCTATATTGCCTATGAATATTCTTAAAAAATTTTTTTTTTTGACATACACGTGGAATAAATTCACTGATCATTATCATTTTATTGATTTTATTAATCAAAATCAATATCATCATTTTAATTTATAATCATTATAATTTCTGCTAGTCGTGCTCTAGAGCACGATTAAATTATCTATTTAAAAAAAGAAAAAACATTCTCAGGGAGACATATAGATAAAATATAAAATTATAATTTATTCAAAAAGTTGTTTGTTAGAATGTTATTTGTAGAAAACTTTTTTATCGTTTGAAGAAGAAGAAGAAGAAGAAGAAGAAGAAATAATATATTGTATGAATATTTGTTTTTATTTTATTATCCTTTATTATATATTAAAGATGTAAGCAACCAAACGACGTGAAAATTTATCTTTTCTTTAAAAATTTTAATTTAATCGCAGTTAAAACCTTTTTTATTTTTTGTGAAATAAAAATGTGAAAAATTTAATGCAAATGAAATGAAAATAAATTAACCACAATAATTACATTATAATTTTAAGAGAAATCAGACTTCAAAGAAAGAAACAATAAAATTTCCTTATTTTTTTCGTTTTCTTAAGTCAATTTGAAAATTATTATTATTAAACAAATAATGTAATTAATTCATTACTAAATAGGTAGTAATTGTTATTAATACATAGGCATTAATTTTCCAAAAATCAGAGGGTTCAAATTTATTTACAACTTTTCAAAAAATAACTAGAGAGTTTATTTTTAAACACAATACTGTAATAATAATAATAATAATAATAATAATATTAATTTTAAATTAAATTTATATAAAAATACATTCAAATTAAAAAAATCAATGACATGCAAATAATTAATTTATTTTAATAACTGTTGAAAAATATTTCTTTCTTGTAAGTTAGTTAAAGGTTTAATATGTGCTTCCACTTTTCTTCTTATCTGAAAAGAAATAAGGGTTTTAAATTATATTATTAAATTAAAAAAAAAATAATAATTTAAAAGAATATACCTTTTACAATACAGACTTCTGCTCTGAGTCCTATTTGCTGCAAATATTGCAACCATAACTTCTGCTTACAACTGAGGGAATCTCCAGGTCCCTTAACTTCTACAATTTTGCACTGCAATGAAAAATTCGCAAAATATATTTTTTTATTTTATTTTTATGTATACTGATAAACAAAATTTTTAATTTAATTAATTAATTTTTTTCAAATACCTCATTAGACAATGGATTCCACACGAACAAATCTGGGAATCCTGATCTCCAAAGAAGAAAATTACCCGCCAATCTTTCGCAAATTCCAGCAACTCCTGTTGTTCCAAGACTTAACGCAATTTCCTGATGAATAATTAATAATTCACTTATTTCCATACCAAAAGTTATAAAGTTTATAAAAAGTCAATAAAGTTAAAAAAAATAAGAAATTTTTTTTGAAAGAAAATTGAAAATCGAATAAATATATATATATTTTATTTTCGATTTTACATAAAATTGCATTAAAAAAAAGAAGAATGATAGAAATAACAAACCTTAACATGTTGCTCAGTTTCAAAAAGATTGTTTGAAATCATAGTTTTAAAATTTTGATATTTAATATATTCATCGCTGAATAATTCACCAAATGTTTCATTATCAAGCCCTCGAATAAATCGAATTTTACTTTCGATTTCTTCTTTTCTGTTGTCAAAAAATTTCGAAGTAAATAAATCCAATGGCGTTTCTTGATAGGAGCAAACAAAAGCACCAGGCACTGAAATTGTATACAATTCATTCCAAAATAAAATTGTAAACAAACTTAAAGGTAAAGAACCTTCACAATGAAATCCACGTGGATATCCATTTTCATAATAATGCCTTAGAGCTATATTTTCAACTTTTGTGAATCCTTTATCTTCTCCTATTTCCACTTTCCAAGTACTTTTTGAGCCTGTCGCATTTCTAGATATTGAAAGTTTAATAATATTCAAATAATTGGTTTTAATTGAAAAAAATTTCTACATTACGTCCTTGGCTAAGATTTCGTTCTGATTTCAGACCGAACATTCTAGTCCGGATTAATGCGGAAATTATACGTAAACAATCCGAAAATAATATGTACCATTTCTAACGCTTGCCGAGTACAATGCCATTGACTAGTTGTCAACCATTTTCCTTTAACTGAATTTTAATTTCTCAAAATCCTTAATATTTCAAAAAATAATAATTTTATAATTATTTTGATTTTACCATTAATTTTTACTTTAATAAATAATGAAATTATGATACCTATTAGTTCGGAAGCAATCCGAAATTTTAACCAGAGACACGTAATTAAATATTTAATATAAATAATTACCCCTGGACCATGTGAGCTTCAATTTCATTAACAACGTCAAATTCACCTGGCAGTCTTTGTTCAACTGAATCCAAAATATTTCTAATTAAATCCTTCGAATCTTTTGTGATTCCATTTTTTCTTCTTGATAATTTTTTTGCCCTTTCAAGTAATTCCTTTATATCGACTTCTGTTAAATTCTCCAAAGAAAGTGCATGTAAAGTTAATGTGGCACATGTTTGCAAATCTTTTCTATGATGCATTTCAATTAATGTAAGTTCCTTGTACCAACGTCCAAGATAAGATTTTCCAAATTTATTTTGATCTATTAATGCCTTTAAATATTTTACTGCTATTTCTATTGTCTCTGGAGTTTTCTTGAATGCGTCAATACTCTTTGATAAAACTTTTATCCAAATACTAAATGAAGAGAATTTTTGTATATGGGATGGAAGAGAACTGTCAATTTGAAAATAAATTAAAGAATTTAAGATTGCAAATAAAATATATTAGCTAAGCAATGTAAAAGAACAAAATTTTTTTACCTCTTCTCTTCTTCTTCCTCAATATGAGGAAATAAACGATTATAAGCCGTGTGTCCAATTTCCCTAACTAATTCCCATTCTTTATTTTCCGTGGATTCTATTAATCCTTTTAATGCATTTCGTGCATCAACATACCTGTTGATAAGTATGTTAGTATTTTAGTCTGTTAGTATTTTTAAAATTTTTAATAATGATAATTAAAATTATACAAGCCTTAGAAGTTGATTTCGATTTTTAAAAATAGGAAAACGTTCCTTCGGCGTTGTTGGAAACATAATTTCACCGTTTTTAATCCTCGTCAGCAAAAAAAATAAATCTGAAACACTTTCAGCTGGATCTTGGCATGGATATAGAAGAACTAATATTCTGTCAAAAATACTAATTGCCTCATTTGATAGTTTGATGCATGATCCAATGGCTTGATTTATTAAGGATCTTAACATTAAACTTGGACATTTTGCCCCAACGAACCATGATTTTCGTTTATTTTTTAAAAGAAGCAATTTTTCCATCATAATTGTTTTCGATCCACGATGTTCTACTTTTAATTTTAAACATAGTGCTCGAATTTCATCAACTTTTAGCATTTTTAAAAGATTTTCAACGTCTTCATCGTCAGTTTCTAAAAAAAAATATTTTTCATTCAAAAAAAATTGCATTAGGCTGTATAAAAATTTGCTATGTCAAATTTTAATCCTATATAGAATAGGTACATTTTTTTTTATTTTTACTAAAATATACTCTATTAATATTTAAGAAAGTTATGACACAAATTAGTTCTTATCAAAATTTTTTAATATTAATGAACTTCAGGAATCATCAATGATTATTTGGTTTATTTCATAACAAAAGTTATGTTTTCTAGTTTTCTTACGCAATAATTCCCCAATAATATATTTGTTAAACGCAAAAGAACGAATCTAATCTAATCAAATTACAATTCTTTATTTTTTTAATATTTATAGAATATTAAATGAATAATAATTTCTTTTTATTAAAAATATTAAATGTTGTATAATTAAGAATAGATAATTAATAGATAATAGATAATAAATCTGACCTTGAGATTCATAAAATATTTCCTTTCTTTTAGTTTTTACAAACCAAGGCTTAGAAATCGTAAATATCAGTATGTCAAAAATCAATCAATAATTTAAAATTACTATTATTTACTAGGTAGATTCAAATTGTTTGTTACTCTTAAACATTTTTTGTATCTACTTTTTCAATTAGTTTTCACCTTGAACTTTGCCGACAACATAAATTTTTGAAAAATTTGCAACTAGTACGTGAACTACGAACAAACTCGGTACTTGAAATCCTCATATTGTTGACATAGACTTATTGCTACATCATTTATAGCAAAAAGTTGTTTTAAATTTTAATTTTCAAAAAGCAGTGGTTTATTCATTACTTTATCCCATTCCTCAGAAATCCAAATTCCCTTCTTAGAAAAGCTTACTGAGATTTCTAAAACGCCAAGTTTCAAAAAAAAATTTAATTTGAAACGTTTCCTAGCCAGTGGAACAATTTGATCATTACTAAATTTTCAACTAATTTGAAAATGTTAATAAAATTGATCATCAGTGTAGGATTAATAATCCTCAACATTTTCGAAATTGGAGAAGGAAATACAAAATGGATCGACGGTTTCGTCAAAACGGTTAAAACAGATCGGCACATTAACCAGGTAATATTTTTAATTGATGATAAAATAATCACATCTGATCCACGATTTAACGAACTAATTATGAAATTATCCGCCAACATTCCAGTTCGAGGAATCGTTTTACAAAAATCTGTTAATAAAAAACTGTCAAAATTTGATTTTATCATTTACAATCCTAGAATATCGCTATTCATTATCATTAATCCTGAAATTAATTCCCAATTTGATTTTCTAAATCAACTCTCAGAAGCAAAACGTCGACCAAAATGTTTGGTACTACTTCACGAGGAACTGCCAAATTACAGACAGATTTTCAAAATCCTCTGGATTCAACAGTTCCTGGACGTTACTGTTGTCACCATAGATTCAAAAAATCAAAAAGAAACGGTTATTCATTACAATCCATTCTCTCGGATAATATCCAAAAAATCCGCAACTCCTAAAACTATTTGGTTTCCCGACAAAATTCAAAATCTACACGGTTACCCACTGGTTGCAAGTTTGATACCATTTTCTCCGGATGTGTTTGAACGGCAAAATCCGTCTGGAAATGTCACTTATTATGGATTAGGTATCAATACACTGAAAACTTTAGGAGAAATAATGAATTTCTCACTTGTGAAATCATCGCAATCAAATTGGGGGAATTTGACTTGTTCGATAAATGGAAGTTCAGGAGTTCATCTGTCCATCTTAAAGAACGAAATCCAGATAATAGGAGCCCAATCGATACTCGGATTGTGCGAAGGAAAGAGTAGTGAGTTTATTAAAGGTTTCAGGAAAATGCAATATGGCATGATTGTGCCTATTGTCAAAGAAGATGATGGATCTGTAGAAATCTTCTGGTATGCCGAAAAAGCATTAACAGTAATAATTTTGCCTCTTCTCATTTGGATTGTTTCAAGAATCTTTGACTTTCAACCGGGAAAATGGAAAATCGAATATCTCTTTCGAGTAATCTTTGGAATCACAGTTCCAGAAGAGCCAATTAGAACAGCAGAAAGACTAATCTTTGCAGGATTTTTAATCACTTGCTTCACATTCTCATCGGAAATTGTTTCAATGACAACGGACGTTCAATTGAAAATGAAATCATCAACTAAATATGATAATTTAGAAGAGGTTTTATACTCAGACTTAAAAATTATGACTCGTTCCGTCTACCGTTTTTTGCACAAGGATATTGATGATGTAGTTTTACAAAAAATTCTGCAAAAATCAACTGGCAATTTATTTACAGATGAGGAATGCGTGAAACAATTATTGAAATATAAAAATATCGCATGTATCGTGGATATTGCAAAAGTGGAACCATTAGTACGTAACGAACGAGATAAATGCGGAAGACGAGTTACTAAATATATCCTAAATGAATTTCTAGCGAGTCCAGGAGCCAGATTGCTGGGAGCAGGTACTCCTTACGCGAAACGTATTGATCAAATAATTCAGAGATTAATTGATTCAGGAATAACGAAAATATGGATGGAACCTTATACATTGTGCAAATACCCTTGTGCTCAAACTGATAAATCTTGATCTTGCATTCCTGATGTACCAAAGTCTAATGTAATCATGTATCAAATGATGTTTCCTCTTATATTCGGATTCATCTGCTCTGTTTTTACTTTTACTTTCGAGTTAATCATCCATAGGGTCATGTTCAAAAATTGAAGTAAAAGCACAAATTCAAGCGAAAATGAATTATGAACTTGAAAAAATTTAGTTTCATTTGAATTTTTAAGGGGAGGGACCGCTGAAATTTCAACCTTTCGAAATTAAGGCTGTTTAAGGTTGTCAATTTTTTTTCTGTTAATATTAAGTATTTAAAACTGTAATAAATTATGGGAAATTGAAAAAAAATTAATTCACTAATAATAATTTTTCAAATAAAACTCGAAATCTTCAAAAACTAAAAATTTAAATTTCTGTAGCAATTTTTTTTTTCATTGCTAATTTTTTTTATATACTTTTTTCATAATTCTGAACAATTAATCGCATGGGTTTTGAAAAAATTCAATTTTTTCAAAAAATAAAATTTCTGAAAAATAAAAAAATTGTAAAATTGTTAAAAGTTAATTTCTTTAATTTTTCACAGTGAAATATGATTTCTGGTTCTAAAAAAATTTGTTTAAAAAATTAAACTAATTATTCCTTAAAAATTCAACTTCTTCTAAAATTTTTATTATTTTTTATCGGTAATTTTTTTGTAGGCTTTTTTCATGATTCTGAACAATCAATCGTATGGATTTTAAAAATTTTTAATATTAAAAAAAATAAAATTTCTAAAATGGTAAAAAAAAATTTTGTTTTAATTTTGATAATTCACAAATTTTAGATCCAAAATAATGCCATAAAAAAAATTGATACCGCTTAACAACATTAATGTCGATGAGTTAAAATTTCACCGGTCCCTCCCCTTATAGTCCACACGCCTTGTATAAAATGCGTGACAACTAATTCGCGAGTTGAAAATATAAATCATTTAGTAAATATGATTTATAATAAAACTATGACATTTTCACCACTTTCACCCACTGGATTTAGTTGTCATAAATCTTCGAAATTGCAAAAAACCAATTTTTTGAGGCTTTTTGAGGATTGTTGCTCCCAGTGAATTTTTATAGAAAAAAGCTTTAAATAAAAGTTGTAGAGCTTGGAAAGACCGATAAAATAACTGGTCGAACGATATTTTTCAGTCATTTGTTTACGAGTTAGCGAATTAAAATGATTTAAAAAATCGATTTTTTAATGTTTAATAATTAATAAATTTTTTTTTATTTCCGATGTCAGATTCCGGGACCCTTTAAAAATTCGTTTTAAGGTGTCATTTTACTCTTAAGGACCTATATTACCGATAAGAATTTTTAATTAGAAATTACTACTTTAGAAAATTAAAAAATTAGGAAAATCGGTAGAGAATCATTTTCTAGTTTAAATAATAAATTAAAAACTTACTTGAATCACAAAATCCTTTATCCACCAATTCATTCATATAAGGATTGAGATCTTTGTCAATTTCCAAATATTGAATACTATTGATTCGATACCATGTTCTTTTTCTCTTGAGCAATCGAGCTAATAACATTTGCGCTTTCGCCGACATACTCAAACATGCAAATACAAGATCAATTTCTTTTTCGTCAAAATATCCACAATTTATTACATTTGAAAAAACATCAGTGAGAATCGAAAAAAGATGATTGGCGTGTGTTTCTTTAGGGAATATTACATCTTTCAATTCAAATGCATCAACAATATCAGTTTTCAAAGAATTATATTGAACATTATAATTCTTAGAAGTGTAAATCGCTTCCAAGTCAAAATTATTTGGTCCAATTGCTCCCTGTTTGAGCATATTTAAATTCTCAATTGTATTGCGCGTTACTTCTGAAATTTCTGTATCACAAAAAAGTTTTCGTGGACTTAATTTACCATTATTTTTAAAATTAGACATTGAACGAGGAGATTTTTTTGGTGTAAATGAACCTAGTCCAAGATTTTCAACACTTTCCGAATGTGTCAAGGAATTTGATTTTTGTGGTGAATTTTCATTATGTTGTGATAATTTTCTTGGTGATGGATAAATTTTCACCAATTTTGTTGGTGAATCAACTTTTTGCATTTTTCGTGCATTTTCTTCTGATAATGGAGTTTTACGTTTTAATTCTGGAGTTGGAAGCATTTTTTTTGGTGTTTTCATTGATTTATTCGAAGACTTGGCATTTTTTTGTTTTGTAACAGTTTTTTTAGACTGAAAAAAATAGAGATACATTTTATAAAGTGAAAAATAATTTTAATGTGTATTTTGTAATATATACTTACATAAATTATATACAAAAAATAGATAAAACGAATTTTACAAAATATTAATTGAACATAAATTGTTTTTAATAATTCAACTTCAGAAAAATTTAATAAAAATTATTTCAGTTTTGAAAGTTACATAATATTTAATTTTTTTTTACAAATAATTAAATTTCAAGAGATTTAAAATTAAAATTTTTTAAAAATTGAATATTTAAAATTAAAATTTTTTTAAAATTGAATATTTAAAATTTTGTTAGTAATTAAATTTTAGAAAAACTTGGTTAAAATTACATTTAAAAAAATTAACTAGGGAAAAATTTTAATTGATGAATACTGTTTTAAAAGAATTTCAGGCAATAATTTAATTTTTAATTAAAAAATGTCTTAAATAATTGAATTTTCGAACAACTTCATTAAAATTATTGAAAATAATCAATTTCCCAGACATATTAGGATTCAGGAGTAAATTTTACATAAGAAATGACATTAAAATATCGCAGGTCAGAATTTTTTTTTATTTATGTAAACTACTGTTGTTTTTTAAAAGTAAGGGAAAAAATTCATACGTACTTTTGCCTTCGAATCACCACTATTACTTCCTTTTACTGTTGGGAAAAAGAAGTCTATTTTTGATTGCTGTAACATTATAAATAGAGAACACAATTCAACATTAAACTAATCACTGGAAAAATAAATAAACACGCAAAAAATTAACAATTATGCCGGTTAAGTTTACATGACAACCATAACATCATTTAACAACCGTTGAATATATATTAAATTAGAATAGATAGAACATACTAAAACGTACAAAATTAAGGGAGCGTTCATATGAACCAGGGTTGAGAATGACGTATCATTTCTGGTTTCTAACGTAATTACGTATAAAATACTAGAAAAATTCAAAATTTGTGTGACGTCGTGACAATTTGAATTAAGTTTATCCCTAGGAATGTCACACTTCGGAGGTTCTGGTTTTCTACGTTTAAATGAAACGACTTACCCATCACTTGTCAGCATGCAATTGTTTTGTTTAGAGGAATATGCATATTTTTCAATAAAAACAATTATTGTTTATTAATTATGGTAAATTTTTATGAAAATAGAATTTAATTTATTTTGTGAGTATGAGTAAATAAGTTAGAAATGTTTCAAAGAAATTTCCGAAAAGTTTCTGTACAAGGAAGAAACTTTTTTGATTTTTTCCAGTCGAACAAAAAGGTTTGTTTATTTATTTATATATACAAATTATGTTTTAGTATTAAATTATTAATAATTATTAAAATCCTTCTTATTTGTGCTTTAAAAAAAGGCTGCGTCTAGTAGTCCGTCTAGACGGATGAATTTAAATTGTCCGTCTAGTGCCAGTATTTACTGGCACAGTAGACGGATGAAATATTTTTTGTTAAAACTGTCCGTCTACCCGTATATATTTATATAAATATACATACATATAAACATTCAGCGCGAAATTCAAACTCTTTAAAGTTTAAATCGAAATTTTTTTTCAAATGATAAGTATTACATACCATTAAATTTTGAAGTTATAAAGATGAAAAGTCATTTTTCTTAATTGACGTACTGATCAATTTTTTCAAAAAAACTACTTCCTTTTATGAAAATTTTAAGCCTAGTCTGATCGTGGGCAAACAATTTTTACAATATTTTCGTAATTTTTCAAAATTTTTTGAATATTTTAAAAATATTTTTGGTTTTTATACTACGTACTTTTATGTATTTTGATGCGCTGATTACTAAAATCTTAGTGACAATACCCGAAAATTTGATTTTTATGGTGAAAACCATAAAAAATGTCCTAAAGTTTATGGTTTTTTCCTTTATTGGGTAAAATATACAAAAAATTTAAAAAAATTCATAAGATATAAAAAAAGTATTTTAATAAGATCTATACCTTTTGTCGGGTAAGGATACTACTAAGATTTTCGTAATCAGCGAATCAAAATACCTAGTCTTAGTCCACGATCAGACTAGGCTTAAAATTTTCGTAAAAGGAAGTAATTTTTTTGAAAATTTTTGAAAAAAATCTATCACTACGTCAATTAAGAAAAATGACTTTTTATCTTTATAACTTCAAAATTTAATAGTAATATTATTTGAAAAAAATTTCCATTTTTTTTAAAGTACGTTTAAAAACATACATTTTGAAAAAAAACTTTTAAAATTGATGCATTTTTAAAGAAGTTATGAGCATTCAAAAATTAAAAGTCATGAAAATTCTGCAATTTTGAAAATTTCATAACTCAAAAATGGCTAGCTAAAAAAGATTTTTAAAAATATAAAAGAAAAATTTTAAAAGCTTCTATAGATTTTGAATTACAAAATAAGAAAAAAATTTGGTTTTTTGTTTTAAGTCAAAAACTGAAAAAGATTTTCTACCGGCCTTACACTTCTGCATAAAAAAGGGTTTTTGTAGATCGACTGTCTTTGCCGCAATTTTAATTGTTTTACCTTATGAAAATAAATTTTTTAATGTATTAAAATTAAATTTTAATATGTACTTAAAAATAATATATAATTGATTTTTTAATTCTGTTCTTGAAAAAAAATCTTAAAAATGGGTCTGATTTTCGGTCTTTACAGTGGTCTAACCCCTTAATATTTTAATTAGTAAAATATTCAATTTAATGTATATAGTTTTGATTTTTTATAATAAAATTACCTTTAACGGTTAGCAGTAACTGTTTCTTATGAATATTTCTTTTTTTATTTTGAATCCAATTGGATGAGTTTTTTAAAGGCGCGTGGCAGGACCTTGTTAGTTGGATCGTGACTTATTATTAATAATTATTTTCTTAAGAGTAGACGGACAAATTTTAATCCATTTATTTCATCCGGATACTGTCTGATACTTTTAACAGTAATGCCAGTATAATAGACGGACAAAAATATTTATCCGTCTAGACGGACGACTAGCAGTAATTTCGTATCCGTCTAGACGGACGACTAGCCACTTCGTTAAAAAAATAGACATTGTAATAATTTGGATCAGTTTCTTATAAACAAAATCATTGCAAAATTTTTTTAGTGTTTTCAAGTAAACTTTAAAGGATAACATTTTTTAAAAAAATCGTATCCAGTTTTAGATAGTTCTAAGTTTTTCAAAAAAAAAATTAAAAATATACCGCTTTTTTTGAAAATTAAACACATTTTTTTTTTAGAAAAGATTCTTTTTTTTCTCTTAAAATGAAACTTAAAATTTATACATACTTTTAATGAACAATTAAACAAAATTCCGATTTTTTATTTTGGAGATATGAATTAATTTATTAAATTATATTAATAAAAAATGAAATATATATTCTATAGTGGACCATATGTTAATTTCAATAATCGTATAGAAGATAAATTTTTTTTAAAAGGTAATTTAATTACCTTCATAATTGTACCTTATTTATTATATTTGGTTAATTTGTGTAATAATATACAATGACTTTTAGTCTCAAAAATTGGAACAACATAAAGAAAAAAATAATTCATTTGGCAAATATGACATCGTTCAGCCATGGACGGTTTCTGAAAGAAAAACAGTGCCAGCATACATATCAAAACCATCTTATGGTCAATCTTCAGTTCCTCGCGAATCACCGAAATTTGAAGAAATTAAAGATAACAATCAAATAGAATCCATGAGACACAGTTGCCTTTTAGCGAAACGCATTCTAAATCAAATACCCGCACTTATTAAGGTAAAATTCTACACCTTATACGATTGAAAAAGATTTAAAATTTTTATTTTTAAAATCATTTTATTTTCGATGAATTTTTTTAAATTTTGAAAAAATTATGTTTCTGAAAATTTTTAATTACAATTTTTTTGCAAATCTTGAAAAGGCCTTTAATTTTTGGGACAAATGAATAAGCTGTTAAAATAATTTTTTAGAATTTTTATTTTACAAAATTTCACTTTCATAATTCTATAAAATGTAAATTCTGTAAAAAATTCAAAACAAATTAATTTTAGAGCTTATTCATGAGTCCCGAATTTTTTTTCAAAATTTTCTTAAAACCCTATTAAAATATGATGTATTCCACGCCAAAGTGTAAGTCCATCTGCAATTGCATCTCCGATTTTTTTGAGATTTTTTTCGTTTATTGGGTAAAATATGCAAAATTAAAAAAAAACTTTCAAACAAAAGTTATAGATCTTATTAAAATACATTTTTTTTATCTTATGCATTTTTTTTAATTTTGCATATTTTACCCAATAAACGAAAAAAACCATAAATTTTGGGACTTTTTTATGATTTTCACCATAAAAATCAAATTTTTGGGTATTGTCACTATGATTTTCGTAATCAACGCATCAAAATACATAATAGTACGTAGTATAAAAAAACCCAAAAATATTTTTAAAAAATTCAAAAATTTTTGAAAAATTCCGAAAATATTGTAAAAATCGTTTGCCTATTATCGGGTTAGGCTTAAAAGTTTCGTAAAAAGAAGCAGTTTTTTTGAAAAAATTTTCAAAAAAATCGATCAGTACGTCAAATGGGAAAAATGATTTTTTATCATTAAAACTCAAAAATTTGATAGTAATATTGTTTTTAAAAAAATATCGATTTTTTTGAAAAGTACGTTTAAAAACACACATTTTGAAAAAAAAGACTTTTAAAATTGATGCATTTTTAAGGAAGTTATGAGCATTTAAAAATTAAAAGTCATGAAAATTCTCCAATTTTCAAAATTTCATAACTCGAAAACGGTTTTCTAAAAAAATTTGAAAAAATTGATGGAAGCTAGTGTCAATTAGTACTAAAAGAAAAAAATCACAAATGAATCGGAGATGCAATTGCAGATGGACTTACACTTTGGCGTGGAATACATCATATATATTGTATTAATTTTCATTTAAAGCCTGGCGTTACGACAGATTCAATTGATGAAAAAGTTCACGAATTAATAATTTACAATACTGCCTATCCGAGTCCATTAAATTATCGTGGTTATCCAAAATCAATTTGCACTAGTATTAATAATGTTGCTTGCCATGGAATTCCAGACAATCGACCACTTCAAAACGGAGATATACTCAATGTTGACATAACTGTGAGTGAATTACATACAAACTCAAAAATAAGTTATTTGGGGCCATTCATTAATTACGTAAGGACGATTTTGGCTAATTTTGACCCCCCTACCCCCATGTAAGGATACATAAGATTTTTCGGACCCCCCTCCCCCTTCTTACGTAAGTTTTTAACAATATTAATGTAATTAAAAAATTAATTACATCAATACAAATGGAAAATACTTGGCAAAATCTTACGTAAGATTAGCTTCTACCCCCCACCCCCCACGTAAGACCATGTAGAGATTTTATAAACCCCCCCCCCCGCCCTAAGGACCCTTACATAATTAATGAATGGCCCCTTTTATAATTATCTTGGATAAATACACCAATTATTGAGAATTAATAGAATTTCATTAGATAGAATTTTCTTTTAGTCGATTTTATATTTGTTCGAATTATTTTATTTTTGACAAAATTTCCATTAAACTAATTTTGAATTGCATAAAATTTTAATTAAATTGGATGAATTAAAATTTAAACATTAGGTATTTTTAAATGGTTATCATGGAGACTGTTCGACAATGTTTCAAGTTGGATCGGTAGATAAAGAAGGAAAACGATTAATTTCCGCGACGGAAATTTGCCTAATGGAAGCGATAAAAATTTGCAAACCTAATGAAAATTTTAATAGCATTGGTAGGTAACTAATTTACTATTTTAAGCTAACTTTTGAACGGATGAAAAAATTATATTAAAAATTATTTTAAATTTACTATTAGGAAGTATTATTCAAGAAACTGCCGAAAAACTGGGTTTTGGAATAATTCCATCTTTTGCTGGCCACGGCATTGGAACTTATTTCCATGGCCCTCCTGATATTTTCCACTGCAGTGAGTGTTAATTTAATATCAGTAAATTAACTACTTATTCTTATTAAAAATAAATATATATTTTCTTAAGTAAACGAAGTAAAGGGAAAAATGCAACCGGGCATGACATTTACCATTGAGCCTGTTTTGACTCAAGGAGGGCCGGAAATCGAAATTTTAGAAGATGGATGGACCGCAATAACCACAGACAATGCAAGAACTGCTCAATGTGAACACACAATTTTAATAACAGAAACAGGCTGTGATATTCTTACTCTGTAGAAAATTTCATTGTTATTATAAAAACTTTCAAACAGAAAGAGTTAGCAAACACAAATAAATAAAAATGAAGTGGGATTTTGAAAACAAAGAATAGAATTTTTTTTGTACCGTCCATAAATTAAGTCACACTATTTTTGATTATTTTAGACCCCCCCTCCCACATATTTTGCATACATTATCGCCATTTTTTCTGCTGGTTATCACAAATTGCTTGACCCCCCCCTTCCCCCTTAAGGTGTGACGTAATTTATGGACGATCCCTAAAATCACTCTTTGACAGAAGTGGGATCTGCTTATTTTCAAGGTCAAATTTGATATAAAAAAAACTACAATTAAGACAATTACTTAAGCTAACCCAGTCAGTGGCGTTTGTAACTTTTTTATAGTCAGTACCCTGAGGGTTAATATTAAGTAAAAGATGAATATAAACCATAAAATTTTAAACAATCATTTAGTAAGAACTTTCTTTATTAATTTTCACTTATAAAAAAAAGGAGCATAAAATTAATTTTGAGAAAAATATTTATATAACAGCGGCTTCCCAATTGCTATCAAGAGACAATGGCCCTCTAATTTCAATTCCTTTTTCCTTGGTAATAATGCCCAAATGATACTGGAAATAAATTTTTTTCAGTATTATTTTATTATTTATTTGTTTTTAGAGGGGAAAAAAATGAACTTACCTTTGGAAAAGATCTAGCATCTCTGTAAAATAGAATTTGCATCGCTTTATTGATAAGTTGAATGGCTTCTTCTTCGCTCATTTCATTGTTCTTTTCGTAAGCGGCACGAAGCATTGGAGTCGCTAAATATGAACCATATCCAGTGGCAATTACTGGATCAGAAAATGCCATTCCCAAATGATCGACTGTTCCTAAAAATCTGTAAGCGAAAGAATAAATAATAAAATTCATTTACGTATTAACGGGCAGTTCATAATGAAATAAAATAATTAGTACAAAATGTTACAACTCTTTCAAAACTTGATAAATTTAAAATATACATACGGTTTGCCATCGTCGAATCCACCAATGAGAAAATTATTCCAAAGAGGATCGAATTTTGATCTTCTATTATACATGACACGTGTTAACCAACAGTGTAATGATTTTGGTTTCAATGTGAAACCATCATCGATGCAGTGCTCTTCAAGTCTAAAATTTTTAAAATAAGTCTTACATATTCATTTTTCAAAAATGTTTAATATACATTTATTTATATATTAATAATAATAATAATTAAAAATAATTTTAACTCTCTGGGTACATACATTTTTTGTTCAACGATATTTTTAAGATATTGAAAATCTGCATAATCGCCACCAGCACCAAGGATAATATTATCATTGACTTTCATAACTCGCTCTAATGATCTGTATCTAGCAAGAGAACCATAGGAACCCAAAACATCGGCTGCAATTGCAATGCCATCTTTGAAACAAATTCCAACTACAGATGATCCTGTCGTCACGGGAGTACTATAAAATTGCAAATAAAAAGCAACATTAAAAATTATATCTAATCCTTTTTTTTTGATAATGTGCGTGATTATCTCATAAAATTAATTAGTGAGAATTTTTATTTTATAGAATTTTATTAGATATAATTATTTTTTAGACGAATTTTCATTTTTTCAAACTAGTAAACAGTATTTCTTATTTAGCGTATTACACTTTTCAAGTAGTAAAAAACGGTTTCAAAAAAAAAAACAAAATTTTCTCACTTATTACTTTATTTAAAGGAACGCAATTTTTTTTTCATAATATTAGAGACCATTAAAGCTTTAAGGAAAAAATAAACAAAATCTTTTTTATTGGGTCGATTTGGTTACCAAAATTTTATTTTACAAAAAGAATATTTAAAAAAACAGAATTTTTTCTAGCCGAAATTTCCTTCTTTTTTCTGAATTTGAGGGAATTCTTAATACGCCGAATTTTTTTTTTTTAAAGAACTTTCATTTCTCCGAATAAATATCTCACAGAAAAAATTGGGTTCAAGTTTTTAAATTCACCAATCACAATTTATCAAGAAAATTATGATTGGTTAATTTAAAAATTTGAACCCATTTTTTTCACATATTTATTCGGAGAAATGAAAGTTCAGTAAAATAAAAATTCGATGTTTTAAGAATTCTCGAAAATAAAAATTCAGCGAGAAAAAAAATTTTTTTTCGCATTCTTTCCATAAAATAAAAATTCTTTTGAATGACTACTCTGTTTAATAAAAATTCGAGAAATAATAATTTTGATAAATTCTAATTTGATGAAATAAAAATTCTGTAAAATGAAAATTCGTTCAGGTAAAAATTCGGTTAAATGGAATATTTGTAAAATAATAATAATTCAAAGAAATAAAAATTCGGCTAATAGTAAATTCTAACAAATTAATTTAAGAGTTTATTTGTCACAAAATTTTTATCAATTTTTGAAGCACTAAAATTTTAAAATTTAGCAAAATTGAATCATAAATCAAACAAAATTTGCATAAATTGAAATTCGGATAATTTAAAACTTGAATCGATTGATTTTTAGATAAATTGAAATTTTGTTAATTTTAAGTTTCCATCGATTAAAATTTAATTAATAAATTTGTTTTCGCCAATAAAAATTAGAATTGTTTAAAAGTTGTATCACTTTTAAAAATATTTTTTAATTTTAGTGCAAAAATTTTTGAATTTTTTTTTTTTTAATAACATAATATTATTATTTTAGAAAATTTTTGTATATTAATGTAACTAAAAATACGTAAACGTATATACATACATTAAAAAAACTAAATTTTAATTTGAACGAAAAATAAATGCAATTCTTCAGATAATGAAAAAAATATATAATTATAACAAATAAATTATTAATGAAGAATAATGTGATTGAAAACAGTTTTTAAATATAGCAAAAAGTAATAACGTGATGACAGGCATGGTTTGTAAAATGAATAAAGAATATTTTTCAATTGTCATAAATAAATACTTACTGTAATCTTTGGAATCCATCGCCTCTAGAAGTTGTGCTGATTGATGGAAAATTGTAATAACCACCTGGTGACGGTCCATTTTGCCAAAATGCAGGAGGATTATACCAGTCAGCTTTACTCAGTGACGCCATGTTTGTGATTTTTAAATGTCATCATTCGTCAGCACGAGGCAGGTAAAGTCGATGAGATCAGAGTTGAGTCGTTTTACATTACAAAGTTCTGGAATAGTCGAATCTCCGAAATGCAACACATTTAACCTGCTGCTGAGCTGTGATCGTAGCCTAACTTTACTGCAATCACCTTCCCAACCGTGAATATTTTATTTTTATTAAGTTGGCTACAATGCATTGTCACATTCTAAACATAACCTATAAACTAAACATTTTCTTAACCTATAATTGAAACTCGTTTTAAAAATGTTTACATTTTATAAATGTTGCAAGTAAAAAAAACTGGTTAGTTTCTTACTTTCCTCTAACAAAAAGACAAAAAGACAAAAAGACAAAAAAAAAAAAAATGTTTTCTCTACGATTTGCGCGGATTCCCACTGGTTTTCGAACATGTTTAAAAATTCAAAAACACAGTAGTAGTGCGGTGCAAGTTTCTCAGAATTCAGAAAACAATTTAATAAACAATGTATCCGAAGAAGTGGAATATCCAGAAATTCTTGATCTCTCATTTCCTGCTCAACAACTAAGGAAATTTGATGAAATGCGTCAATTTATTCAAAGACAAAAAACAATTGAGGAAAAATTAATTGCACTCAATATGCCAAGATATTATGGTTTTTATGCTATGCAAATGTTAGAACACGAAATTCATTATAATACATTGGATCAAACACAATTTTTAACGAGGACTCATATTATGCCCACAAATGAATTGCCTTCGTTTTATAATGATTTAATAAGTTCCGAGAAATTGGATGAAATTGTTGCCAATGTTCGAAGTCAAATTGAAGATGTTTTAGTACTTGAATATTCCAAAAGAAAGTAAGTTCTATAGTAATTACTTTTTTTTCATTTCTTCATTTTCAAAAAGAAAAAGAAAAAATATGTATGTGGCTTATTCTCTAGAAAAGGACAAATGACTCGTTCACGATATTTTTTTCTAAAAAACAAATAAATGGAATTAATTAAAATTATGCCGGCCATATGATAGTATTGGGACGCATGAACAAGTACTATAAATTTAATTTTTTTAAATTATGATCAAGTAGAATTTTATTCCGTAAAATATTATTTTTGCAGAAAAAAAAAAATTGTACAGAATTTTAATTAAATTCTTCAACAAATTCAATTATCTTCAATTATTTTTCAATTATAAATTTTATGAAATTCAACAATATTGTTTACAATTTAAAAAAAAAATCAGCAAATAAAATTACCAAAAATTTCAATTTAAAACCTTTTAAAATTTTCCATCTAAAACTTTGTGAAATTTAATAATTTCAATTATAACTCTTTCGAAATTCAATTATTTTTAATAATTTTTATAATATTCTTCAAAAATTCAAATATTTGAAAACATTTTTCAATTAAAAAATTTGAAAGTTCAATTTTTGTCTAATTTTTAATAAATTCTTCAACAACAGAATTAATCAACAAATTTTAATTAAAAATCACATGAATTCAATTATTTTCAAAACTTTCAATTTCAAAAATCTTTGAAAATTTAATTATTTCCAAAAATGTTAACTGTAACTCCATTCTTCAAATATTAAATTATTTGAAAGCATTTTTGAATTAAAAACTTTTGAAATTCAATTTTTGTTTGTAATATTTCTAATAAATTCTTCATCACCAAATATTTTAATTAAAAATAACTTGAAGTTGAATTAATTTCAAAAATTTGAATAGTAAATCTTTGAAAATTCAATTACTTTTAAAAAATGTTTTCTAAAATTATTTGATAAATTATTTTCAATTCTGTAAAATTTAATTATTTCTAAAAAATTTCAACTATAACTCTTCCAAAGTTCAATTATTTTTAATAATTTAAATATTTCTTTAAAAATTCAATTATTTATTTATTTATTTATTTACGGGACTTCAAAAAGTAAAGTGCCCTTTAAATACAAATTGTATAATACATATGTATAGAAATTATTTAAAAAAGTTTCAAATAAAAACTCTAGAATTGAATTGTCAGAATTTTTTTTTAGAAATTTATCTTAATAAAAATTTTTAAAATTTACTGAAAAATTCGAAATCAATTTTCTTGATAATATTTTTATAGAATTATTCTTATTATGGAATTATTAAAATGATTTTAATGTCTAATAATATTAGTTGTTTAAAGTAAAATACTTATTAACTAATTAAATGTAATTAAAATAAAAAAATCGACTTTTTCGAACAGATTTCTCTCAAATTAATATTATATTTTCCTCTTATATTTGGTATTGAAAGTAAAATTCTTCATTTAAGAGGATAGAAAAGGAATAAACAAAAATATAGACGTGTCCTACTTTCTTTTCATCTTTTGGATTAAAAAAATATTTAAATGGATAAAATTTCAATCCTTGTACTTGTTAAAATTCGTAAAAAAATCGATAAGATCTGATTTAGATTTTCAAATAAATATTGTTAAAATTTTTCTTTTAGCATAAAAAAAGAATTGTCGGCAGATGTATTATCAGATCCAGAGAAACTTCAAAATTTCCAAACAAAAGCAATTATTCGTCAAATAAATAGAATTTTTCTCTTAGAATTATCATCGAAATATCCACATTTATTAGATACAGAAATTGACTATGATCCACGAATTGAAGCTTATTGGGTTGTTGGTGGAATGGAACCGCCAAAATCAGTAAAATGTTCAAGACAAAATAGTATTTGGCAAAAGGAATATGCCAATGATCCAATTGATCGTCGTTTTCAATATATCGGAGAGCCATGTCTTCAATTGCGACATGCTCTTCCATTACAAGAAATAATTCCTTATCAAGAGGCAGAAAATCAAGAATACAATGTTCCTGAATTTAGATATGATCCATTTACCGTTGGTTATTATAGAGATTTAAAACGCGCGACCAGTATTCCTGGCTTTTGGCCCGGCGATAAAAGAGAATTTGGACTTTTGTCCTATCATCATTGTGGTTACATGGCAAAGAGGCCACGAGAATATGACGACGAAGAAGACGCACTTAAAATACAAGCAATTAGAGCATCTTTTGCATGGCTTAACGCACAAGCCGCTTATCAAGGTAGATATTTAAAAAAAAATTAATTTTTATGTAATAAAATATTTCTAAAAAATAGTTATTAAAAAGTTTTTCAAATAATTGTTAAATTTTATTTTTAGGCTTCTCAACCTATAACGATATAACTTATCCATTGGTAACGCAAAATATCATCTTAAACGGACAATGGTGGTACTTTAGCGCCTATCAACTCAACACAATGTTATTATGCAATCATCACATAAATGATAATCCAAAGAGAAATTTCTACTGGACCACAGGTCCAATGCAATTGTTTGAAAAAATTGAAGACAATAAAGTACATGGCCTAAACGATGAGGTATTAAAGAATTTAATTAAATTTTATGTAAATAAGCCACAACCACGTGAAGAGAATTTAAAACCATATCTCGGTGAAGATGAAAAAGTAGTGGCTGATATTGTGGATGACGAAAGGAGAAAATGGCTCGAGCAAAAGTTTAAGCACCTCATGTCCAATAGAAAATACTACAAGTAAGAATTTTTAAAAAATCTGTTTAAATATTGTGAAATCTATTTTTTTCATTTTTTTTTCTTAATTTCTAAAATCAACATATCTATTTAAACTGTAATTTTATTTTAGGAACACACCGGAAATTTATAATTGGCAACAAATCTTTATTAGAAAGCATAAGAAAAGACCAATGGAAAAAAAATTGGAGCTTTGGCAAAAAGGTGAAAACTTTATGTCACGTAGATTGGATGATCATAGACCTAGATATATTCCAAAGTGTTTAAGAGCTTTTCCAAAAAGCAAAGCTAAATTTGCAAATCAGTTTTATCCAAAGTAAAACTTTTCTGTTACTTAATAAAGTGAATTTCAATATTCAAATAATATTGTGTAAATAAAAGTTAATTAGATTTTTTTGCAAGAATTTATTTAATAAATGAATTATATCTATAAATGTGTGTAAATTATTTATAAGAAAATCTCTTGGGACAATAAATTAAAGAGAAGACTAAATTTTAACAGATAATATTGTCAAAATATAATAGAAATTTATGAATGTGATTAATTTTCTTACGTACTTATATCTTCCTTTTTCTTATTTAATATATTTATTTATTTTATTTCTTGAAATATTTGTCACATTTATAAACCAATTTAGATAAATTTTTCCAATAATTATTTGGTTTTATTATTTGGTTTTTTATTATAAATTTTTAAAATTTCTTCTACCTGTTTGAACAATTGATTGTTTATCGTTTCGAAGAATCTGATATTAAAAGAAAATAATAATATTATTATTATTTTAAATAGATTACGTTTTGCTTTTGATATCATTCTTGGAAAATTAATAGTATTGGTAGAAATCGTTAGATAGCCCCTGACAATCAGTTCCAATTTTTAGAGACTTAATTTTGGAGAGAGAAAATCCTCACTGCTTACTGTTGGAAAAGAAATTTAAACATTTAAATAAAAACTTTTATTTTTAAACATTCAATCATATATATAAATTTTACAATATATGCATATTTTAGAATCACAAACAATGGATTTATTTTTAATCAATTTACATTAGATGTATGTAATTGAACGTTATATTAATTAAATTGCAATTTAAAATTAATTAACTTATCAGTGGCTGATAAATTATAACTTGAAAAAATATTAAAATATCAATAACATATAAAAATAAAATAATTAAAAGTAAATCAATGTACAATTAATGAGTAACGAGTTTCTCAGTAATTGTATAACATCAAAATATATAAATATCATAAAAATAAAATTATTAAAATTAAATCAATGTACAATTAAATAAGTTATCAGTTTCTGATAAATTATAACATAAATATAAAAATGAAATTATTAGAATTAAATCGATGTACAATTAAATAGGTTATCAAATTCTGATAAATTATAACAACAAAAGTATTAAAATATTAGTATCATAAAAAAAGTAATTAAAATTAAAGTAATATGTACAATTCAATAAAAATTATCAGTATCTGATAAATTATATAACACAAAGAAAATACTGAAATATCAAAATAGTTTTTTGTTTTGTAACATTAGAGAGGTTCTTTTTTCCTAAATTAGTATCACTAGCCGAACATAAATAGGCCCGTAACATATTTCTTGAGATAATAGAATCTTCCTTTTTAACATCAGTTCTGTAATAGGATAAAGAGTTTAGAATATATCAATTTTTTTTTAAATCTTCAAAAGATGAGGAATCTAAACATTAGTGGAAATAAATCGAAAGGATGCACCCACTCGAAAAAGTGATATAAAAAAATTTTTTGTGAAAAAAATGTACTTTTCAGAAATTTTGATCCATTTTACATAGAAAAAAGTGTAATTGAATGGTCCTTAGATACACTGATGATACTTTTATACATACCCAAAAGACATATTAAACATCTTACTGCAGTTATTCTATTAGTGATATCAGGAGGAATAATTTTATCTAAATTCACAGAATCTGTTTCTTCAGAAGACAAAAGGTTAACAATTTCTGCAAATATCTCTTCTTCACTTTTTCTGACAAGTATTGGCCTATAAAAATTATACAGTTTAAAAATAATAATTCGAAAATTAAAATCACATTTTTCTTTGAAATTAGATAGAAGAATTGGTAAAAATCGCGAAGTTTGTTTTGAGTGGCCCGATTGAGAAATTTTTATTCTATGTTTTAATTATAATGCAAATTAGGCAGTAGATTTCAAAGTATGTAGTAAAAAATTACCTTGAACGTTGTATAACTGGCTCAAAAGTAGACTCTAAAGCAGGCTCTGAAATAGGTTCAAAAGTATCATATCCCATTGTCTGATCATCAATTGAAATACTGGGTACTTGAACCACACAATCTGTGGTTCTTCTTCTTCTCGAATCCTGTGCATGAGATACTCTGGCAACAGTAACATCTATATCAGGAATTTGTTCTTCCAAAGGAGCCTCGCTAACTCGTCTATTATCATTTTCAATTTCAAAGTCAATAGTTTCATTAACTCTTGGCTCTTCTTCTTGTTCCTCTTCTTGTTCAACATTTGAAGTTCTTGGTTGCAATGTATAAAAACTATTACAAAATATGTCATCAAATAATTCCAAAAGATTATCATTTTCAATTTCACGGCTTGGCGTTTTTAATAAATCCTTCGAAGATAGCTGTGCTAATTGCATTGATTCAATGTTCAGTTTCTGAAAATTTAAACAAAATAACAGATCCATTTTTCCTTTCATTACTATATAAATTAAAACAATATCGAATTATTATTTGATATAATTCTTAAAACGCCGAATTTTCATTTATCCGAAACTGCAAATGGCAGTTATAAAAACTCACCCTTTCGCAAAAATTATAATTCCTTTGATAAATCAAATGCTCAGGAAGACAAATCTTTTTGTTTAATTTAATTTTAGTTAATTTCACATTAGGTCTAGAATTTGGAATTTCTTCATCAGTACTTGTACTTATTTGTGGCATTATTTCTAGTTCTGGATTTTCCACGATATCAGTTCTCGGAATATTTCTATCAATTTGCTCTTCATGTTCTCTTTCATTTATAATTTCAGCCTAAAAATATAATTATAATTATGTTTTTCTTTCTTATAATTTGATTACTTTTGTAACATTATTATTCAGGTACCTATGCACTCAAAGGGCACAGCCCGTTTACAATTTCTAAATAAATAAAATTCACATATTTAATGTTCACTATTATTTTTTTATAGCCGTTTTCCCTGTTCTTGAGGTGATTCAAAAATCATGAATAATTCAATAATATATTTTTTCTCTTCAAAAACAATAATAAATTTGTTAAAAAAAATATTAACATTTTGTAGACTATTAGCAGTAGAGACATCCAAAGTCCGAGTAATTTTAAATAATTAAAAAAAAATTAATAATTATTCATAATAAATAATTACCGGAGGTATCGTTTCATTTATCTCCATTTCCCTAGAATTTTCATCTAGTCTTCGAACTCCTTCCACTTCATTCTCATCTAAAAACTAAAATTGATACATTTAAATAAACTATAGAAAATTTCACATATATCAGATAAAAAATTAAAAATTTAATATAAATATGATTAAATTGCTTTAAGATAAATCTTATACCTGCTGTATTGGTTCATTTCTATCTAGTTCCATGTTACTGTCTCCAACCTGTTCTGCTTCTCTTCCTGCTTCAATATCGTCTAGAAACTAAAATTACACATTATTCGCGATAAATCTTTATAATTACACTCTATTCACTTACTTTATGTTCTTCCATTATCTTCCCATTATATTTAAAAAAAAAAAAAAATTATGAATAAAAAAACGTTACCATTGATGAAATTTTCCTTCTTTTACTAGGAGTATCATCACCACGAACAAAGGAATGTGGTCGCTTTGAAGGAGTTTCTGGCATTATGTCAGAAGCTGAAACTTTAAAAAAATTGAATAACATTATTTAAAAATAGAAAAATTGTCTTTAAGGGGTAACATTTTACCCCTTAAAATGTCTTTCTCAAAAGAAATAAGAGCAATTTATTCACTCGATTTTACCTTAAATATAATAATATTAATAATCAGTAGCTTTAACTATTTTGTAAAAAAAAATCAGTGACAAATGAAGGCATTACGTCGTTTTATGTAAGATAATATACCATTCTCAAGTTCTGGATGTTCAAACTCAAGCTCAAACTCATGCATCATTCTTTCAAAATCTAGTTTTCCAAATGAAGGTGACGAAGAAATCCTTGGTATGTGAATCTCTTTATCTTGCTATGAAATCAAAGTATATAAGAGTAGAGTGGTCCAAAAATAAATTGACTGAATATTTATCTTTAATTATGTAACATTATGCAATTAGCAAAGGTTATGCAATAAAAGATTAAAGAAAATAAAATAAATAAAAAATGATCACATTTTTACCTGCTCGGAAAGAAGATTTATATCATCGGGAATATCAGGAAAATTTAATTTTGTAATTTCAGGAGTTTTTGGTGCTTCTTCTTTATCATCATTTTCTTCTCTTACAATGCTTAAAGGAATATAAAAAATCAAAACGATTATAACGAACTTATCAAAATAATTTTTTTAATTAAAGTATTAATTATTATATTTTAATTCTTTCTTTGTATGTGTTAATGTTATCTATTATAACTAAATGGAAATCTCTAAAAAAATAATTTAATTTTACTATCAATATAAAAATAGAATTTATGTTTACCTTTCTTCTTTCCTCAATTCTTTATCATTTTCAGTAAATAGTTTAGCTTTCTCTGTCAAAAAGAATTTGTTTATATTGACAAAAAATTGACAGGCATTAATTATAAATTATCTTAAAAGAACATAAATACTTAATTACAATAATAAATTTTTTTTCAGTTATGGATAAATTTTATCCATGGAAATATGAATAATAAAGTAATTTTTACTATTTAAATATTTAAAATATCGAATAAAAAAATATAAACTCAAAAATAATTATTTTGAATTTTTAAATGGCAAAATTTTTATTTCACCGAAACTTCATTTGTCAGAAAAACGACGAATTTTCATTTGACCAAAATTGCAATTGGTCGAGCAGATAGAAAAATTTTGGCGGGAATTTTAAAATTAATCAATAATAATTTTCTTTATTTCTGATTGGTTAATTTTAAATAAACAAATAAACTTTCGCTGAAATAAGAATTCTATTTAATAAATTCGACTAACTAGAAATTCCATTTTAAAAAAATTCTGCTAATTAATAATTTGTTTAAATATAAAATCTCTTTTTAAAAAAAATTCGATTAAATAAAAGTTTTGTCAAATAGAAATTATGTTACATGTGAATTTAATTAAGTCAAAATTCTAGTTAAGTTATTTTGCTAAATAAAAATTAGATTAAAAATCAATTATGTAAAATTAAAATTTTGTAAAAATTTTGCAAAAGAAAAATTCTGTTAAATAGAAATTATATTAAATAAAAATTCAGTGACCTAGAGAATATTTCGTATAAAAGTTCGGTTGAATAAAAATTCCTTTAAATATGAATTCAGTGAAATTAAAATTTGTTAAATATGAAAATTCAATTCACTATGAATTTTACTTTATAAAATTCGGTAACAAAAATTCGAAGTCTTACCCAAAAGAATATTTAATTTTTCATCACGAATTTGCAGTGCTCCTTTTAAAAAAGTCATTGACCAATAATTTCTGTCTTTTTTTTCTATTTCTGTGTCACGTATCATTTCTCTTATACTATCCCTAAAAAGCATTAATAATAATTTAATGTAGATTTTTAGAAAAGTGTTTTTTTAAAAAATAAATTGTAAAAAAATTACCATATTTGATGAAGGTCAACATCTGAGATTGTTTCAACGGAAAGTATTTTTCGTATTTTCTTATTTTTTGACGCAAAAAAACATTTAGAAAGTAATGAATCGTTCAAATAGATTTCCATCTAAAATTTTAAAAAGAAAAATATTTATTCAATTCATTAGGTTTTCTTTTCCTTTTTCCTTTTAATAAGATACAGTATTTCACTTTAATTGTTAGTGATAATTCAAAAATTGATTATTATTGAAAGTTTTTTTTTTAAACTCGTTGAATTAAATTAAAATTATTAAAATTGGTTACGACCCTCGTTTTCTTTAAACTTTCTAAAGAAAGGGGTTTCATAAAATTATTTATTAGATAAAAATCATTAATTAGAATTTTCATTTAAAAGAAATTTATTGGAAATAATTTTTTAGACGAATTTTCATTTTTCGAATTAGTATTTGATTAAATTTTCTGTTTATACGAATTTTTACATAACAACATTTTTGCGCTACCGAATTTTTGTTTGGCAGAATTTTTATTTTACAGTTATTTAATTTACATGACTTTTTATTTAATAGAATTTCAATTTAAGCGAATTTTAATTTAATAACAGAATTCCCATTCAATCGAATTTTTAAATAACATAAATTCCAATTCACTGAATTTTCATTTGTCCGAAATTACAAATGTCCGAACAAAAAATTGACAGAAAGATTGCCGCGCAATTTTCAAAAATCGACCAATCACGATTTTCTTGATAATTTCTAATTGGTCAATTTTTGAAAATTTCGCCGAAATCTTTCTGTCGATTGTTTGTTCGGTTATTTGTAATTTCGGACAAATGAAAATTCGGCGTCTTAAAAATTCTATCAATTAAATATTCGTACAAATAAAAATTCGGATAAATTAAAATTTGGTGAATTGAAATTTCTGCCATTTAAAAATTCGAATAATATAAAATTCAATTCAATGAGAATTCTTTTTTATAATAAGTCATGTAAATTAAATGACTGTAAAATAAAAATTTTGCTAAACAAAAATTCGGTAGCTAAAAATTTTGTTAAATTAAAATTTGTATAAAAAGAAATTCTGTCAAATACTAATTCGAAAAATAAAAGTTCGTCTGAAAAATAATTATTTCTAGTAAAAATATTAAAAATGAAAATTCTAATTAATGAAATAATCGTTTTTTCTTTTATTTATTTTTTTTTAAATTATTAGTTGAATGTCAAAGTAAAAGGAAAAAAAACGTCGATTTTGGTATTCATTTTCACCTAAAAATGAGCGTATGAAAATATTTTTGTAAAATTTGAAGCAAATACTGATTATTTTTAACTGTATTTGTTCAAGGAATTAAAACTTGATATTTATACTTAACATTGTAGTAAAATGTGACAAAAATTCCTCTAATTGTCATTAACTACGTAATTTTTGCAAAAAAAAAAAAAAAAAGAAATCTTCTGACTTTAAAGAATTATAATTTCATTAATTTAAATTATTTGATTAGTTTATTTCTTTAATACTAAAACTTTTTGTCGTCAGTGCAATTAAATTATAAAATCTAGCTAAATAAAAATTTGTTCGCAAAAGAAAATGTCAAATATGAAAAAACTGATAAAAATTATAAATTTGGTTAAAAACGAAAATTAATTTTTTAGGCTTATCTAATTTAAATTAAAACGAACCTTGTAGTTTTCGAATTCCAATTAATGTTAATATAAATAATTTATTAATTTTATACAATCTTCGTTGTTCAGAAATTCACATTGTATGTAGAAATCAATTTTTTGACTTTTTATACTTTTTATACAGATTCTTGAAAAATACGTTATGAGCAGAGAGTTGGGTTGCTTTTGAATTTAGATTTTTTTTCAAACTGCCTGTGCATATACGACCGTGGCCTCAGCTCAGCTAAGTAGGGTCGTCATGGTAACGTATAAGAGTGAGAGAAAAAGAACATTCTTCATTTCTCTCACTCTTATACGTTACCATGACGATCCTACTTTGATAGCTGATCTGGGGCCGTACCGGAAATGGATACGTTCACGTCCACGTTTACGCAGCCAATGGCAAGACTCAACATAACGATTTTATTGTGTATTAGCCCTACTAACCAACCGGTGTCAATAAACATAACCATTTGGAATTTCACTACTTGAATAATGTTTAAGAAGAAAAATAAACTTAAATAATATTATCTATAATTATAAAGAATAGGAACCGATTTCTTGAATTAAAAACACTAATATTTGTCTTTAATCCAATTAAAAATATTAGTGCGGAAAAAGGTATTAATTTTTGTAATATAATTACGCGCGATTAAAAATATAAATAATTGAGCTGCCGGATCAAAGAAGGACACATAACCCATTTGAATTACATTAGTTACAATCAAAGTTATTTAAAATATAATTTAATTGTAGTTTTGGTTCGAAACAAAATATTTATATGATTTTTATATTTCTTTACCACATTAAAAATAAACAAATAAATATATCCATATGGGGCATTCCACGAGAAATTTTCATTCAAAAATTTTTTTTACCGAAATATTTTTTTTCGAAATCTATATGAAAAATAAGAAAATACATTTTTTTTTTTGATAAAAATGAAGGAAGTTATGATTTTTTAAAATTTAACGTCAAAGATTGCAGTGCAAAGGAAAATTTTTAAATCGAAAGTGTCTCATTGAGAAAACTCATTTTTTACATTTAATTTCAACTTTTTTGTTGCCTCCGTTATAGGTACGTTATTTTTGAACACACTTGAAAAATTTGAGAAAATGTGAACAAATTTTCTATACGGAATAATTTTTTTATTCATTAATACAATAGATAAAAAAATGTTTCGAAAATACACTGCCTTTGATGAGGTTAAATTTTAAAAAATCATAACTTCCTTTATTTTTTTATCAAATAAAAAAAAATTAATACGTATTTTTTTATTTTTCATATAGATTTCGAAGAAAAATGTTTTAGGCAAAAAGAATTTTGATAATAATAAACATAATAAACACAAGGTGTTTGCGAAGGAAATTTTTGCGCTGAACGCAAATTCGGTGTCCAAAATAGGGTACATGAATATCCCGTAAAAATCATTACCTAGAATTTTTATTCGTATGAATTTCATTTGACAGAATTTCTTTTCAGACGAATTTTCGAATTAGCATTCGAGTCACTTTCTTTGTAATCGAAAATTTGTTTAACATAATTAGGTACCGAATTTTTAACATCATTTTTACTTTACCAAATTTATGTTTATTTAACTTTAAATTTAAATGAATTATTTAAACCAATTTTAATTTATCAGAATTCTCATTCAACAGAATTTTAGTGCTTCGAATTGTTTAAGGTCAGAATTTTTATTTACACGAATTGTTATTTGATAGAATTCCTAAAACAGCGAATTTGAGAGAAATTACAAATGGCTGAAAACAAACAACCGTCAGAAAGATATCGGCATAATTTTTAAAATAGACCAATCACAATTTTCTTAATAATTTCTGATTGGTCTATTTTAGAAATTCTGCCGATATCTTTCTGACGGTTGTTTGTTTTCAGCCATTTGTAATTTCTGTCAAATTCGCTGTTTTAGGAATTCTATCAAATAACAATTCGTGTAAATAAAAATTCGGACACATGAAGATTCGATAACTTAAAAATTCTGACCTTAAAAAATTCGAAGCACTAAAATTCTGTTAAATGAGAATTCTGATAAATTAAATTTGGTTTAAATTATAATTCTTTAAAATAAAAAATTAGATAACAAAAATTTTTTAAAATAAAAATTATGTTAATTAAAAATTCGGTACCTAAAAATTATGTTAAATAAAATTTCGTTTACAAAGAAAGTAAATCAAATGCTAATTCGTCTAAAAAGAAATTCTGCAAAATGAAATTCATACAAAGGAAAATTCTAGCTAAAATGATTATTTTTCAAAGTGCCAAAAACGCTAATTTTAGGGGTTTCAAACGCATTTTTCTTAAAAACTTGATATGATGAAGCATTTTGGACATAGCAGATTTCTGTTACGCGTAAAAATTGCCTTCGGAAACACCTTGTCGCATTCAATATGCCGAATTGTTCGAGTACAAAAATGTAAAAAAAATATATAACATATTTAAAAATTCTTTTAGGTTTTCATTCGTTATTTTGCATGAACGATCAAATACAAAATGATGACAGAAACTGAATGGCTCGCATTGATAAATGCTGAATCAACGTATGAACACATATGTTTCGATGATGCTATTCCAATTACTCGTCTACAAAAAGCATTACTTTGTGGTTCATTGGGAAAAATTCAACAAATACTCAATGAAGAATACAATCTAAATTTATCATCTCAAAATGATTGGGTTTCAAAGTGCAAAGAAATAATCAATATTTGTATAGATCGTGAAATTGATGTCAATCTTTCCACTAACAAATATTCCACTTTGTTACATTTTGTTGCTGAAAATCTTTACGATGATTTTGAATCCGTTTTATTTAAATGTAAAAATTTCGACATTAATGCACAGAATATTGCGTTTACTGGTCGTCAAATTTCATTGATTCATCTTGTAATAAAAATGGGAAGAAAGGATTTAGTTGAAATTTTAATAAAATTTGGTGTAAATTTAAATGCACGAGATTTACCTTATTATGATACACCGCTAATATATGCCGTTGTCACTGTACAAATAGAAATAGCCGAAATGCTTTTAACAGCGGGAGCTGATGTCAATGCTAAGGATTCGTTATGGATGAAACCAATAAATTTGGCCTTTGGTGAAATAGGGAGAAATAGTCGTTTCAATTATGGTAAAAAATTGCCTAAATGGGAATTAATAAATCTTTTGTGTTTATATGGAGCTACTTTAGATTTTGACAATAGAAGTGGAATAAATTCATTGAATTTCGCTTGTGAAAGTGGCAATTTAGAGGAAGTGGAATTTTTAATGCAATATGGAGCTGATTTGTTTAATAGAAATGATAAGGGTGATACGCCACTTCATTATGCTATTTTGGGAAATAATTACAAACTTATTGACTTTTTATTACGTAATGAAATGCATGTTGACGTCGATAATTATTATGATCAAACTTCTATTCATCAGCTGATAACAGATTGTATTATTAACATTGATAAAATTCATTCTAAATTTGATGAATGGGATATACCAATTTTTATTGAACATCAGTGGGAATTAGAATTTGAAAATAAAGAATTGCAAAAATGTGCTGATATGATAGAATTTTTTGTGGACAATGGTGCAAGTTTAAACACTATTAACAATGAAGGTAATACACCATTGTCGGATAGTATTTCATTTAATTTTCTTGAAATTGTTGAATGCCTTTTGGAATTAAAAGCCGACGTTGACTACCAACATAATTCCACTTATCTTCTTATTTATGTTGACTACATTGATCAAAATGAAGATGTTTATTCAGAAAGAGTTGATACATGTGTATTGGTAACTGCTTTTTTGGCAACGAGAAATGTTGATATTACTGAATATTTTCCACCAATGTTGTCCAATGAATTTGAATGGGTCAAGCCATTTTTTGATGAATGCCAAATTGAAGTAAGCCAATTGAAGAAAAAACGTATTTGCGATAATCGAAATATTAGTTTCTTTGATTTTTTATTCAAAGATATAATGAAAGTTATGCTCTTTTGTCGAAATGAAAAAGTAATGTCCACTATTGAATGTGTTAATTATAAAAATGAATTTAGATGTTATAAATATTTCTTTAAAAAACGAATCGAAAGAGTGCAACATTTGAAAAAATGTATGAATGCTTTAACGCGATTTTTAAAAGAGTTCTTTAAAAGAAGTTTACCTTGTGTTGTTGTTAATGAATTATTTTGTTATTTAACAGCTGGTGATCTGCGAAATTTTGGTAGGGCTTTGTGTATATCGAAAGATTGTCCTAATGGAAAATATATTATTGGAGAAAGTAATAATTAGTTCTTTGAAAAATTAATAACATTAAATGTTTTATTATTAATTGTAATGTTTACAATATTGTCAAATGTAAAAATATAAAGATACGAATATTGATTTTAGTTCAGTTATTTACCATATAGGATTGCAGGTGAAGCGATCAAGGAAAAAAAATTGAAACTCAAAAATATATTTTATTTTTTCAGAGTGAAAGGTACGATTTGTTTTTTTTTTAATCGAAAGCTGAAGTTTGTTTCTATAAAAATATGTAGTTGAAAAAGTGGAACAAGAATGTTTGAATTATTGATAATTAACATTTTTTTTAACCATTTTTGGCTATTTTTGATTAATTTTTACGATTTTTATTATTCTTCAAACATTGTAGATTAAGTTTCCATACTTGAAAAGTTTCATTATAAATATTTTATTATAGTAACAAAAATGCTAAAAGACAACAGTTTTTCAGAAAAACGAAAAAAATTGTATTTTTTTTTTGAATTTCGTAAATTTTGCAAATGTAACATTAAATTCGTAATCAGCGACCCCGAAAACCCTCGAGTAACAATTTTCAAGCAAATCTGTATGATTTTTAATTTTTTTTGTCGGCCATATTGTATCCGCCATTTTGATTTTTTTCAAATCTGATTTGAAATTCGTATTTAATAGCGACTCTAAAAATCATATTAACAATAGCGTTTATAATGTTTTGTTTATTATCATAATTGCGTGACAATATTAAAATTGAATTAATTAATTTTATTTTCGATAACTGAAAATTTGTTGAGTGCATACACTGAAAAAATTTTGGTGCAGCAGCTGCCCCAAACGGAAAATATCTATATTCAATTAACTTCATACTTAATATTTGCCATGCGTTTTTATATGAGTGAAGTTAACTGAATATAGAAATTTTTCGTTTGGGGCAGCTGCTGATCCAAAAGTTTTCCAGTGTACCAAGAAAATACAAATCAAGTACAAATTGCAAGTTGTTGTAGAAGCACCTTAACATGTCATTGGCATTGTTGTCACTCCCTGCTGCTGACGTCACATATCGAACTCGATTGAATACCGATAAAAATGTCACAAGTAGACAAACCTGTTTATATTGTAACTATGAAGACCGTATTATCTCCAAAATTCCCTAGATTAAAACTAACTAGAAAATAGAAATAAGTTGGAAATTTGGTTGTATGTGTCCGTGTCATGAGTGCGGTTCACTGACACTTGACACACCCTATAAATGTTATTTTTTTTCACAAATCCTAAAAGTTTCACAAAACTCTTGACGGTCACCTAAAATTCCCGGTACTTTCATTTTAATAATACAACAATTTAATTGGAATTTTAATTTTGCTCAAGAATCAGATTTATCATCGATTTACAATGGTGAGTTGTCATTTATTTTTTTCATCGTTTTAACGTCTGTCATTTTTTAGTAAACTTTCAAAATACCTTTCAATTTCAATTAAAATAATTTTTTTTTAAATTTTTCAATCAAATGTAAAATAAAATTTAATTTAAAATTCTATTTTAACATTATCACATTAAATATATAGGACTACAATTGACATAACCTAAAATTTTCTCCAATTTGTTTATATATCTTTTCAAAAAGAAATTCAAATTGTTTTCTATTGAAATTAATAAGAGATAAATAATTTTTTAAAAATTATTATTTTTAAATTACTCTTATCAATGAAATAAATTATCTTCGGAAAAATGAAATGTTTATTTTTTAGTTTTTTTATTTTTTTTTTTGAGGTTAGGTTTCTACTATAATCTAAAACAGACTTTTGTGAAAAAAAATGAAAGAAACAGGTGATTAATGATAAGATAAACTTTTAACAATCACTTTGTTTCAAACAATAGGAATTAAATAAAAAATATGTTAAATTTTTTTCTCAGTGAAAAAAAAAATTGAGGTCATTTGTGGTCATTTGATTCGTTCACTTTTAAAAGAGGTCACTGTTATTGTTTCTAAACTTTCCCAGTTTTGAGCGTTCGAATGATCTTAAAATAGAATTCAAAACTTATCTTTATAACTTGAGATTCAGAAATTTCTATACTTTTCGACAAAAATTGTATTTTTTTTTTGAATTTTTTGTTTAAAAAAAATTGTAATTCTTTCACTTTACTTTAAATTTACTTTTATTTTTGCCATTTGGAAAATATGTTTCTGAAGTTATGAACGTTGAAATAAACAAAAAAGTTTACTACTCTTTTAACTTGAAATTTTATTATAAAATATTTTTTTCCTTATCTGAAAATAAATAATGTAATTGTTTAATATACTTTGCTGTAGTAATTTAAAAAAAATTATTATCCAATTAATAAACTTCAACTTTATAATATATAATAATTTTTTATTATTATTGTTATAAATAAATAATTTACAGACGGAAAAGCAAATGGATTGCGCTTTAGATTTAATGCGGAGGCTGCCACCTCAACATATTGAAAAAAATTTAAGCGATTTAATTGATTTAGTACCTTCGCTTTGTGAGGATTTACTGTCTTCAATAGATCAGCCTTTGAAAATAGCTAAAGACAAGGAATCAGGAAGGGATTATCTTCTCTGTGATTATAACAGAGACGGAGATTCGTACAGGTATTTCAATTCAAATTTTTTAAAATGACAAAACCAGAAATAATACAAATTAATAATCGAATTCAATTGAAATCATAAATACAACAATAATTTGTTTAAACAATTTTTATATTTTCATGAAATCATCGGTAAATAATAAGTATTTCTGTAAAAATTAAAATTTATACGAAAAATAGCGTTAAAATCATTAGAAACTATTTTGAAATTGTACTTTCCTTTTTCTTGCATTTATGATGTTTTTTGTGGTCCTGTAAAAAATATATGATTTTATACAGGGTAATTTTTATGTTCCGGACCATCTGAAATTTTTTTTTTATACACATTTTTTTCGTTTTTTAAACAAAAATATTGGAATTAAAAAAAAATTTTAGGGGGTCCAGAACATAAAAATCACCCTGTATATATTTATGGAACTAAATCTGGCAACGAAAACCTCCCATCACGTCTGGATTTTTATAAAAGTCGGGGTAAAACTTAAAAATCACGTTCTTTGCAGTTTTTGAAAATTTCTACCGGGTATTTATCATAGGAGTCAAATTAAAGCTTGAACTCTGTACTTTACGAAGGTTTAGCGATATTGGCCAGTTTTTTTCGGATAAAATGAAATTTATTTCGGTTTTTATGGTGTAAAAAATAACTGATCGATTTATTTATTCAATTTTTATATGATATAGAAGGACATTACAAAATTAGCTTTGAATAATTTTTAAAAATTTATTTTTGTGTTAGATTTCTGTTTTAAATTTTTATTAGTTAAAATCTTGAAAATTCTTCCAACTTAAAAATTATTTTCATTATTTGACTCAAACAATTTCCCGGGGATTGACCTTAAATATAAGTTTTTATTGAAAATCTGAAAAAAAATTTCTATAAATTGACTTTAAATTAATAAACAAATAAATAAGACCTAAAAATAGTTTAGAAAAAAGAATTTTGAATTTTTTTTTAATAACAGTAAATATTATAAATAACATTTTTTAAAAATATTTTCATGAATTATTCTTAATAAAGAATTCTATTTTATTTATCACAAATACTTGGCTTGTTATTGAGTTTTTATATGAGGCAGTACATAAAAAATTTATTTTTGAATAATTTTTGAAAATATATTTATCTTAAAACTTTTTTAAACTATTTGATTCAATTTATGGAGAATTAACTTTAGATAAATTTTTTAAAAGAGACTTTTTCGTGCCTTAAAGTCGATTCAAAACCTGATTCAATCGAATTTTATCTATTAATTGAAAATTAGTTGAAATAAAAATTTGGCTAAATAAAAGTTCTACTAAATAAGAATTAAGATAAGTGAAAATTCGATTAAATAAAAATTCAGATTTAAGTAAAATTAAATCAATAGAAAAATTCAATTAAATAAAAATGTCATTATTCAGAAATTCTTTGAAATAAATATCTGTGAAAATTCCGTTAAATGTAAATTTTGTTAATCAAAAATTCTGTTAAATAAAAATTCGCTAAATTAGATATATATGAAAAAACAAATAAATAGAAATTTCATTAAATGAAAAATCAATTAAAAAATTCTTCGGTAAGAAAATTCTATTAATTATGAATTTTATTTTATAAAATCTGGTTAAATAGAAATTCGATGTTGTTGATATCGAAACATAGAAAAAAAATCATTATATTTAATTTGAATATCACTTTGCGATTTCATGCAAGAAATTAATTTACAGAATATTTTATTGTTAATTTCATTGAAATATTTGATATTTTTTGGTGAAAGTGGCTAAAATAGTTGAAACCTTTTTTTACATTGAATTGTTATTGCTTCCAAGATCACCATGGAGTAATGCATATGATCCTCCACTCGAGGATGGATCGATGCCTTCCGAAAGGCTAAGAAAACTAGAAGTAGACGCAAATCATGCATTCGATCAATATAGAGAATTATATTTCGAGGGTGGTGTATCATCCGTTTATCTTTGGGATTTGGATCATGGATTCGCTGGTGTGATTCTTATTAAGAAAGCCGGCGATGGATCCAAGAAAATCAAGGGTTGCTGGGACTCAATACACGTTGTCGAAGTACAAGAGAAATCAACGGGAAGAAATGCTCATTATAAACTTACGTCGACGGCAATGCTTTGGCTTCAGACAAATAAACATGGATCGGGAACAATGAATCTTGGAGGCAGTCTCACCAGACAGGTAATAAAATAAAAATAGAATTTTATTTTTTTTTTTTCTATAAAAAAAAGTATGAAATTATTTCTTATATTGAACCTCTTTCTTCATTAATTTCAAATGAAAATAAAAATTTTTTTAAATTATTTTACAGGTGGAACAAGACGCATCAATAACGGAAACGTCGCCGCATATTGTAAATATCGGTCGTTTAGTGGAGGACATGGAAAACAAGATAAGAAATACATTGAATGAAATTTATTTTGGAAAGACAAAGGACATTGTTAATGGTTTGAGATCAGTTCAATCTCTTGCGGATCAAAAACAACAAGCCGCACTTAGACAAGATTTAGCGGCCGCATTACAGAGGCGAAACGCCAATAATTGATCGTCTTTTTCAAAACAAAACAAACAAAAATTGCATTTTTCTCCAAATCACAATCGCGCGACTACTATCCTTCTCGAATGTAAATACCCCTTTAAAAAAAATGAAAAAGAAAAAAAATGTTTTTTGGAAAATTCCACTAAATGTATCGTAGAGAAAATGAGTGTGTATGTATGTGTGTGAGAGAGAAAGAGTTATTAGTAAAAACGACAAAGAAGAAGAAAGAAAAGAAACATCAATGACTGGATTGAGATTTATTGAATTTTGCACACAAGTTCCGTTGAATTTACTTCCTAGTGAACTTGGGTTCCTTGTATTATTGCTAGAAAAGAATCCAGGGGCGTTTGCGTTCGACGATAGTAGAAAAATGAGAAACAGAAAAAGGGAGAGAGAGAGAGAGAGAAAGAGAGAGCCCGCCTTCTTGATTCTTGCGGAAGGAAGTTTAACTTTGTTATCTTTCGCGAGAAAGAGTTGAGCTTTTTTTGATATTGTAAATTTTTGAAATGAAAAAAAAACAACTAAACGTATTTTTGAGATGAGACGTCATTTTTTCCGAAAATCATATCTAAATTTTTTTTAGTTTTTTTTTTTAGGTTTAGTTAGTCACAGGCTTCCAAACCTTCGATATTTATACGTGCGGTAGAGAGATTACAAACAATAACAATAAATAATAGTTATAATAATTAATAATAATAGTAATATTAATAAATAATAATATTATTAATAATAGTAATAATGAAAAAAAGATATTTCTTGAAGAAACGACGTCTCCAAAAGAAAAATACATACGCGATTTTGCTTTATTTGTCTCGGATTTGAGGCCACGGCCTAAAAAAAAAAAAAAATAAAAAACACACGTAAAGCCGTTAAAAGAAAAAAATAACAAACAAATGTGATGAATCCGAGATATGGTCGATGGTATTTTTTTGCAATGAGCGCAGATCTTTGCCAGGCAAGCTCGCTATTAAATTCGAAAGTAGTTAGTCGATGTGTATTCTATAAAAAAAAAATTAATAAAATCATTTTGTTACAAAAAAAAGTGTCTTTTAATTTGATATTTTTTTCAATTATTTGGGTTAAAGTATTATTTTTAATGCCAAACTAGATATTTTTATATTTATATTTGATAAAAAAACACTTGTATGAATGGCTTTTAAATGACACTTCTACCACTTTAAATTTCCTTCCGCCTTGTTTGAGCGTAAAGCATGATTGGTGGATGGTTTTCGGAAGGCAGCCAATAAAAACAATAAGATTTGATTTGATTCCTGTCGTCATGGCAACGTTTGTCAGTTCCACGTTTTTCACTCACGCTGTCATGAGGTAATAATAAAAAAAATTACAAATACAGTCGTATTGTTATAAAAATAAGAATTTGATGTTCTTCAAGTGTCAAGTATGACTTCTGTGATTGGTGCCGGTGACAGTAGTTCAAATACAATTATTTTCGATAGTTCGAAAAATGAAAGGAAACTCAATGAAGAATTCAAGGTTCTACAAAGGAAGCTCAAATCAAAATGGAAATTCTTAGAGTTTGTTTACATTTTATAATTAATTATAATAACCATAGCTCGTAATATTTAATAATATTTCATTAAAAAATCGTGATATTACTTTATTTGACGCTTTTTTATAATAACAATTATTATTTATTTAAGGTGTTAAACCACAGTAAAGACCTTTCAAAAAATCGATTTTTCAATGCTCCAATTTTTATCAAATTTGACAGAATTTTTTTTATACACATTTTTACTTAACCAAATTTTTAGCTACCGAATTTTTGTTTGGCAAAATTTTTATTTTACATAGTCTTTTAATTTACTTGACTTTTTATTTAAAAGAATTTTAATTTAATAACAGAATTCCCATTCAATCGAATTTTTAAATAACATAAATTCCAATTCACTGAATTTTCATTTGTCCGAAATTACAAATGTCCGAACAAAAAATTGACAGAAAGATTTCGGCGCAATTTTCAAAAATTGACCAATCACGATTTTCTTGATAATTTCTAATTGGTCAATTTTTGAAAATTTCGCCGAAATCTTTCTGTCGATTGTTTGTTTGTTTGTAATTTCGGACAAATGAAAATTCGGCGTCTTAAAAATTCTATCAATTAAATATTCGTACAAATAAAAATTCGGATAAATTAAAATTTGGTGAACTGAAATTTCTGCCATTTAAAAATTCGAATAATATAAAATTCAATTGAATGAGAATTCTGTTAAATTAAAAGTTCTCTTTTATAAAAAGTCATAGATAGATTTGTTTGTCATTTGTCCGAAATTACAAATAACCGAACAAATAATCGACAGAAAGATTTTGGCGCAATTTTTAAAAATTGATCAATTAGAAATTATAAAAAAAATCGAGATTGGTAAATTCTTAAAATTGCACCGATTTTTTCTTTTTGTCGATTGTTCGGACAAATGAAAATTCGGATATATTAAAATTCTTTTAAACAAAAAATTATGTAAAAAAATGTCATGTAAAGAAAATGATTGTAAAATAAAAATTCTGCCAAACAAAAATTTGTCAGCTAAAAATTTTGTTATGTAAAAATTCGTTTGAAAAAGAAATTCTGTTAAATATTATTTCGAAAATTGAAAAAATTGGTCTAAGAATTAATTATTTTTAATAAAAATACTTTAAAATAAAAATTTTAATTTTTGTATGTTGCATTTTTTAAACATTTTTATTGACATTTTTTTTCATTTAGAAACAGCGATGTTCTTTCACAAGAATCCTTGATAAATTGCAAAGTCTTGGTTTTGCCGGGACCAAAAAGCAAATTTACGGAATTAGAATTGAATTCCATTAGGAATTATATTAATTCCGGTGGAAATGTACTTGTAATGTTAGGCGAAGGTGGAGAAAATAAATTCAATACAAATATCAATTTTTTGTTAGAGGAATTTGGAATAATGGTTAACAATGGTAAATAAAATTTTAGAAAATTTCATTTTTAAATTTTTTGAATAACTATTTAGTATTATGTATATATTTATATTTTGTTTTTGTTATAATATATTTTAATTGTTTGTTTGTTTGTTTATATTTTAATTTTAGATACTGTTGTGCGGATGAATTACAGTCAGTCGTTACATCCGAAAGAATGTGTCATTTCTCAGGGATTTTCAAACAAATCACTGTTTTTAAAAAACAGAGACGAACAAACGTAAGAATTATTTTTCATTCAATAAATTAAAATAATAATATTTTATTTTATTTATTTATTAACAAAAAAAAAAATGGAAAATTTTCAACAAATACCAAAATAAAATTGAGAAAAAATGAAAGTTTTCGATTTTATTTTTATTTGTCCTTCTCTTGATTAATTTACTCATTTTTTTTTTGACATTTAAATAATTTCTTTTGCAGAGGATTGAAATTCCTTTATCCATATGGGGCAACATTGAATATTGCTTCTCCATCAGGAATTGCACTCTCGAGTGGATCGATTGCAATTCCAACAAATAGACCAGTTTGCGCTTATTATTCCTCGAGAACAAATTCTGGAAAATTGGTGGTCCTCGGTTCATCGAGAATGTTTACTGACGCTTATTTAGAAAAAGAAAAGAATGATTCATTGCGTGAAATGATTTTCGATTTTTTCGACACCGAGGGTGTATCAACGAAAGAAATTCACCACGAGGATGTTGATGTATAATTTCAATTTTTTCAAAATAGCAAACAAATTTTTAATTAATTAATTAATTATTGCATGAAAAATGAACGTTTTTAATTTTCAGTATTGGGAGTACAATTTTGTGCCAGATATTACTCAAAGGGCGGACGATCCAAAAGTATGCACTCAAGATATGGACAATATGGATATGCCACGTGAATATACAAAATTATTTAAAAGAAATTTTTACTCCGTCAATTTAGATATGGTTCCAGCGTGCATAAAAGCATACAAAGTTTTAAATGTGAAACACGAGCCCCTGAGTTTAATTGCTCCAAACTTTGAAACGCCCTTGCCGCCCACACAAGCCTCGGTAAAAGAGAAAATTTTCCATATAATTAAACAAAAATTGTTTAATAATATTATTATTTTAATTCATGAAAAAAAACTAAATTTAAAAAATGCCTTTTTTATCAAAAGGTATTTCCTCCGAGTTTTCAAGAGCTTCCACCTCCGGCTTTGGAGCTATTCGATTTGGACGAAGCTTTTAGCTCGGATTTTTTAAAACTCTCGCAACTCACTAACAAGTATATGGAAACAAAGGATACGTCCAATGAAAAGGAATTGGACTATTACATTCGTGAATTCGGGGGAATTGTTCGAATTAGCAATTCGGAAAAAATGACGTCTAAGGAAATATTAAATCATATTTTCTTAAAAATCAGCAGCTACAGAACGATTCATGATTGAATTTAACGACGTACTTTTTATTATTTGTTTCCTTATAATATTAGAGAATTATAAAATATTTTCCATTTTATATTGACGATAACAAAATTAATTTAATTAATTAAGAAAATAATTCTTAGTTTAAATAAAATATACAGGGCGATTTTTATGTTAAGGACTCCCTGAAAAATTTTTTTTTTCGCCATTGACATGAAAAAGTGTCTTTTTTGTGCCTGTTTTGGGCAGATAAAGTAGCACTTTTTAAGGCAGTTTGGGCCAACTGCCTAAAAAAGACTTTTTTAGGCAGCAAACTGCCGTATAAAGTCTTTTTTAGGCAGTAAACTGCCCTATAAAGTCTTTTTTAGGCAGTTGTTAATTTTTGCATAATTTTTTTTTTTGCTTTTATTTTATTTATCAATTTTTATTATTTTTTTTCTTTAAAATTGTTTCACTTTTTCATAACAATGGCGAAAAAAATAGCGTATGTGGCTCGCACGTAGTAATTTTTAGGTTCGGATGATTTCAATACTCGCTGTCTGTGCGACTTCGGTTCGACTCGGCTCGCTTTCGGCTCGACTCGACTCGCCTTCGGCTCGTCTTCATCTCACCTACAGCTCGCCTTCGTCTCACCTACGTCGCACTAACGACAGCTCGTACTGAAAATTACATCCTCACCTAAAAAGTACTACTTTACGTGCTTGCCACATAATATACTATTAATTCCACTTTATTTTTTTTTTAAACGAAAAAAATTAGATTAAAATAAAATTTCTAGGGGGTCCGGAACATAAAAATCACCTTGTATAATAATTTTGATTAGAGTAAAAAAAAATAATTTATGTACAGTAGTTTTCTATGACATCAACGGAGTAAATTTTATTAAACTAATTCTGTCAGAGTCTTTTAACTGTTTGTCAAAATACATAATTTAAAAAATTATAAATTGTATATTCTTTCATCAAGTTTACGAGATATAAATTTTTCAAAATTGGAGAATTTTAATGATTTTTTATTTTTGAATCCTCATAAGTTTCTTAAAAATACAAAAAATATAGTAAATTTTAATTTTCTAATTTGGAAAAAGTTAAAAATTAAATTTAATTATTGAAAGGTTCAGTTGAAAACACGCACATTTTAAAAAAAATGCATTTTTAAGGAAGTTATGAGAAATAAAAAATAAAAAATCATTAAAATTCTCCAATTTTGAAAAATTTACATCTCGTAAACGCCTTGATTGAAAATAATCCACACCCATTTCCCTTTGTTTAATGGATTTTTAATAAAATTGTAATATTGATTTATTTAATTTATTGGATTGTCCGCTTTACGTAGAATGTCCCATTTATATATATATATATATATACTTATTGGTATTTTTGAATTTCGCGCTTTTTTCCCCTACTGTGAGATGAGAGGCGCCGTCTGAGAAGGCGCCCACAAACTAATTGGTCACTTGACAAAGTTGTGTGATTGGTGGTGAAACTAACGACCATCGTCTCAACGAATTGCAATTTTTCGAACGAAATTTGTATTTCCCGTGCAAGCAAGATCAAAATGATAGACTAATTATCAATTATTCATTTGGCATTTTATTTATACGTATAAAAAATATTTGAAAAATGTCGGTTTTCTTTGTTAATGCGTAAGTAAATATTGATTCTTTTTTAAGGTTATGTTGTCACTTGTTTTTTTGATAAATATATATTTTTCACTTTATGTATCATATTTTTTTCTCCTTTAATTATATACATTTAACGTTTCAAAATAATATTGTTTCACAAAAAATGCACTCTTAAGTTTTATGTTTTAAAAATTATTTTTGAAATAATTTACAATTCGTGTACTGTTTATTATTTTTACTTGACGGAAATATATTGACAAATATCAAATTGAAAGTAGTCTATGGATAATAAATGACGAGCAGTTGAGCAAATACTGATAATTTCACTGTTTTTTTTTTTATTTTTATATTTTATTGTCGATAAAAATGAGATATTTTCAATTATTTATATGGCAATTTTCTTATGGAAAAAATAATGCCTGACATTTTAATATAGAAACTTCTCCAAGGTACTTGAAGTCAATTTTTTACAGTTTGTACCGATTTTTACACAAAAAAAGAGAATTAAAATAGATATAAATTCTTCTTTTTTGCAAATATATTTTCTACAATTTTGCAAAAAAAAGAAGGAAATATTTTAATATTAATGGAACTGTGAAATTTACAGAAACCAGGATAGCGAAGTGGAAGGCGATTCAAATGGTGATTTACAAATTGCTTCGCCCGGGAGTTCGGAAGCCCAACAAAATTTAACACAATTCTGGCCAAAAGTTACAGAGGAAATTAAAAAAATTACCACAGTAAGAGAATTTATTTATTTAAATCAGATTTATTTTTTCAGTTGAATGATAATTAAAAATAATAATTAAAAAGTTTTTAATTGAAAAAAAGGGGAAAGAAAAAAAATGAAGAAATGTATTTGTAAAGAAACTAATTTCGAATTTTTCAGGTGATATTTTCTTTTACGAAATCTCGTTTCATTGTTAATTTTTATTTTGTAAAATAATTTCTTTATAAACTAAATGAATACAATTTTAATTGAAAGCAAGAGAGAAAATATTCATTTAAATGACGGAGTTTTATTGAGAGAAAACTCTTCGGGAGTTGAATCCAAATTTTTCACTTCCTTTTGCAATTCTTTGACAATAGTTGCCAATGCCTGAGGATTAACTCCATTTTCGCATAATCTCACGCAAATACTCAGCGTCGCCGGATCCAAATTTGTATTGAGTAATTTTGCAATTTGATGTAAAGTTTGGAATGTTTTCCGCGCTGCATTCACTTGATGATGCACTGGCTCTGGCATATTTCCCGCAAGACGTTCACCGCTGAAAAAGAAAACATGATTCTTTTAATAACAAAACCATTTATATTTAATGTTTGTCCCAATTTTTAATTGATAGAATTTTTATTTATCCGAACTTACAATCGACAGAAAGATTTCGGCGCAATTCTCAAAAATTGACCAATTAGAAATTATCAAGAACATCGCCGAAATCTTTCTGTCGATTGTACGTTCGGATAAATAAAAATTCGTCATAATGGCAGTAAAATAGAAAAAAGAAATTTTTTCAATGAAAATGGTAATTAGTTTTTAGGAACGATATTAATTTATGTGATGAATGTTGACAGATGGACCTTAAGACACAGTCATTGCCATTGGCGAGGATAAAGAAAATAATGAAGTTAGACGGCGATGTGAAAATGATAAGCGCCGAGGCGCCAATGTTATTTTCAAAAGCGGCGGAAATTTTTATTCACGAGCTGACACTGCGCGCTTGGGTCCACACGGAGGACAACAAGAGGCGAACCCTCCAAAGAAACGACATCGCAATGGCAATCACGAAATACGATCAATTCGATTTCCTCATTGACATTGTGCCACGTGACGAACTCAAGCAGAGCAAGGCGCAAAATGAAAATACAGTTCGTACTTCTATGAATTCCGATCAGGTTCATTATTACTTTCAACTTGCCCAACAGCAAGCCTCGGCTAACCAGAATGTACAAAATAACGGAACAAATCAACCTATTCAAATTGTTCAGCCTTCCTCTGGACACATTCAGACGATTAACATTGGGAGCTCGGAGGTAAAGTACTTCCCCTGGAGCAAGGATGGAAATTCTCCTCTCAACCTTTTTTATATTTTGCAGATAAAAAAAATCCTCACTAAATTCGTTTTTTCCCTTTCTTTTTGTCTTTTTCTAATGAATATTAATACTTTTTTATTTTGCATTTAAAGGATTTTTTTTATTAATGAGAGGGATCAGTGAAATTTCAGTCTATCGAAATTAATGTTGTTAAGGAGTATAATTCTTTTTTCTGCTATTATTTAGGATTTAAAATTATTAAAAATAGTATTCAAAATTTAAAAAAAAAATTATTTTTCTCCATTTTAGAAATTTTATTTTTTGCAAAAATTAAAATTTTTTTTAAATCCATACGATTGATTGTTCAAAATCTTGAAAAAAGCGTATAAAAAATATAATTGTAATTAAATTATAATCATAATTTAATTATATTATTCTAATTAAAATACAATTTTTTTTATATTTATTTTGTTTTTTTAATTAATTTACAAACACAGAAATACGTAAGCGATTCCGATTTTCATCCCTGCTCCAGACTTTCTGTTAATTAGGCAAATTGAAATATAAATTTCAATTTCAGTGATTTGTTGTTAACGAACAATTATTTGAAATCACGATTAAAACCATTTTTTTGTCCATTCATGAAAAGCCTTTTCTGTTGTCAAATTATTATTTTTAATAATAAAATTAATTTTTTATTTTTTTTATTATTATCTCGAGGCGCTTAATTATTTTGCATTAACATTTCCAAACATTCAGATTATTTGAATTCGAGTCAACAAAAATCACTTTTTACTTTATTTTTTCTTCTCCTATTTTCTTTATAAGATAAAAACGGAAAAATATGAATTTTTAATTAGCCATAGAAATAAAATTAAAACCATTAAAAATAAAAATATTTTTTTTTCAAAGAATGAGTTGTTTTAAAAAACCTCGAATTTGAATGCAAGTGAAATTGGAAATTATACATGAAAAGAACCCCGCACAAAATGTACAGAAAATGGATCCCTGTCGATTTTGATTAAACTTTGGGAAATTGTTGCTTTTGTAGTACCAAAGAAAAAAGTCTTATGATAAAATCCAAAAAAATGGACAGATTTTTTGTTAATTAATGTTTAAGTTGACAATTCACAGTGTAAAAGTCGGTGATGCTTACAAGTGAACAAAACGAAAATAATTAAATTAAAATGCTTGATACTTGTTGCACGGGAGTTTTCGGAGTCGCTGATAACAAATGTACAGTCAGATTTCAAAAATTCAAAATGGCAGTATCAAGCATTTTAATTTAATTATTTTCGTTTTGTTTACTTGTAAGCATCACCGACTTTTACACTGTGAATTGTCAACTTAAACATTAATTAACAAAAAATCTGTCAATTTTTTTGGATTTTATCATAAGACTTTTTTCTTTGGTACTACAAAAGCAACAATTTCCCAAAGTTTAATCAAAATCGACAGGGATCCATTTTCTGTACATTTTGTGCGGGGTTCTTTGCAAAATAATTTAAGGGCCATTATAGTTTTCTTGTGAAAAAAATAATTTTGCAAAAAAAAAATGTTTAAAAACAATTTTTTGCACCTCTATTACTTTAAGAATAAAAAATGAACCATGAAAATAATGAACCAAAAATTTTTTTTATTTAAAAAATAGTAAAGAAACGTTAAAAACTTTTGCAGGAGACGAATACGCAATCGGTAAATGTACAAAGTCCGCAGCAAACGTCAAATCAGACGGTGATTCAACTGCAACAACCTCAACAAAATCCTTCTACCCAAGCTGGTGGCATTCAAATCGTTCAACAAATTGTCACGCCTAATGGAGAAATTCAACAAATTCCAGTAAGATTTCCTTTTTTTCGATAATTTTTCAAACTATAATAACAATAATAATTTTTGGACAAATTTTATTTAAAATATTTATTTTTAAAACGATTTTTCAATTTTCGAATTAAAATTTGACAAATTTTCTATTTGTACGTATTTTTAATAAACAAAATTTTTAGCTGCCGAATTTTTGTTTGGCAGAATTTTTATTTTATAGGCATTTAATTTACATGATTATTTAAAAAAAATTTAATTTAATCGAATTTTTAAATAGCAGAAATTTCAATTCACCGAATTTTAATTTGTCCGAATTTTTAATTAATAAAATTTTTAAGTCGCCGAATTTTCATTTGTCCGAACTTACAATCGACACAAAGATTTCAGTGCAATTTTAAAAATTGACCAATCATGATTTCCTTGATAATTTCTGATTGGTCAATTTTTAAAATTGCGCCAAAATCTTTCTGTCCATTGTAAGTTCGGCCATTTGTAATTTCGGACAAATAAAAATTCGCCGGTCTTATAAATTCTGTCCATTAAAAATTCTGAAAAATTAAAAATTCGGTGAATTGGAATTTTTGTCATTTAAAAATTCGAATCACATAAAATTCAATTGAATGGGAATTCTGTAAAATTAAAATAATTATTTCTAATAATGCTTTGAAATTAAAATTCTAATTAATGATTTTTATGTAATAATCATGCGCCCCTTGTTTCAAAAATGCATTTTACCAATCGAAAATGTGACAAAAAAAGCTATTGAAAGTATGTTTTTGAAAAATGAAGCAAAAAATGGAAAATTAATTTTTGTTTTCGTAATTTTTAGATTCAATTGACGCCACAACAATTGCAGATGATACGAATGCAAGTGCAGGGCGGCAGTAATCAACCAATAATTATTCAAGCGGCTCCAATTCAAGCTCAGCCCCAATTAATTCAAGTAGCGCAAGGTGGACAGGCGCCTGTTTTCCTTCAAGCTAGCAACGCCGACAACGAGTAACGAGTTTTCCTTTATTTTTCAATGAAAAAACGTATTCTCTCTCCCCCCCCTCCTCTTTTCTACACGAGAATTTTAATTTACTTTCGATTTCAGAACTATACCTCTATTCCCTTTCAAATTAAACAAAACAAAAAAAAAAAAATTTAGGGTAATTCAAAAAATTGTAGTGTTCAACAATTTGAGAGTGGAATAGATATAAATATATAAATATGTTTAATCAGTTTTGTAAGGCATTGATTTCTCATTGATGTTTCTGTGAAACGAAATTCTTGATCTTTTGAATGTTAAGATGTATTCTAAAATAAACACATTTTCTTAAAAAACAATATTTTTTTTTTATTAGGTACAGGCAAAAATTTTTCAAAAATTACTGAAACCTAGTGTTTCACTTAATTGGTATAAAAATAAAAGCCTTTTATGTGAAATAGTGTAAACGATAAAAGGAGAAACAATTTTCTAAAAATTTCACTTAATAAATTGTTCCTGCTCTATTTCTCCAAAAAAAATAGAGCAGAAATTGAAATGGCGACAAATAACAAAGGTACTATTTTAATTTCTGCTCGTTTTTTGTAGAAATAGAGCACAAACGGCGCCATTTTAATTTATACTCCAGTTTTTCATTAAAATAAGACAGAAATTAAAATGTAGCCGTTTTTGCTCTATTCTTTTAGTAAAACTTAGGCAGAAATTAAAATGGCACCTTTGTTATTTGTCGCCATTTTAATTTATGCTCTATTTTTACGAAAAAAAATATATAGCGAAAATGGCGCTAAATTACAATGGTGCCATTTTAATTTCTGCTCTAGTTTTTCGTAAAAATAGAATAGTAATTAAAATGGCTCCGTTTTTTCTCTATTTTTCAGTACAACTGTGGCAGAAATTAAAATGGGCGCCGTCTTTGCTCTATTTTTCACTGAAAATACAGCAAAAGCAGCAGCATTTTAATTTCTGCTCTAATTTTTCGTACAAGTATGTCAGAAATTAAAATGGCACCTTTTTTGCTTTATTTTTACGAAAAAATAAAGCAATAACGGTGCCATTTTAACTTCTGCCTTACTTGTACGAAAAAATAGAGCAGAAATTTAAATGGCGCTAAATTACAATCGTACCATTTTAATTTCTACTCTAGTTTTGAAACAGAAAAATTTGAAGTTGAAGAATCGAACCCTGCTTCTTGCGTCTGAATGTCGGGGAGGGAAGCCTTTCATTTTTTAGTTAATATACAAAAAGCAAATAATATATTTTATTTATTCGAAACATAAAAATTCCGTTAAAGTAAAGTTCTACGCCATTTCTCAATAAAAAAAAAGTTTAAATTTCAATGAAGTGGAATTAAAGTCGCGGAGTGGACGAGATTAGTGAATTGCAGTGAAATTTAAAAAGGGAATTTTGAGCTATGGACCGTTGGAGATGATTCGATGAGAGTAGGGAAGAAGAAAAGATAAGCGACCAAACGCGAGATGTAATCTGATTCATATAACGTCGCGCGTTCTTTAGTTGCTGCGGCTGCCTCGCTTCGCTGAGCTCAAAAACCTGGCTGGTGCAACTTGGATTATGTTTCACTTCTTTGCGGTTCTTGTCTCGATATTCTAAGCAGCAGAGTGCGTGTGTTCTCTCTGACAGTCTTGAAAATCCTTTCTAAATCAGAGGCTTTCTTGAGAAAAATGGTTTAACACTAAAACTTTTAAAATTGCAGATGAGAGATCTCATATATATTAAAACCCGATAACGCGATTTCTATCACTGACTCGTTTCACTGATCTTCAGCTTTCAATATATAAACTCTTAAGTGTCTAGTCGAAAAAAATGCACTTCAAAAAAGTATTACTTGAATTAAATAGAAATTATACTTGATCCAAGTAAATATCCATCACGTCAGGATTTTTTTCTAACCTCAAAAATTATGTCTAATCAAACGAGTAACTCAAAATTCTTCTGGGCTTGGGTTTTTGGGGTCGCTAATTACGAATATGGTCTCAGATTTTCAAAATTCAAAATGGCGGACAAGGTTTTAAAAAAATTATTAGATTTTCATGCAAATCAGTATCTAGGGGTTTTTGGGGTTGCTGATGACGAATCCGATGTCAGATTTCAAAAATTCAAAATATCGAATGCAATATGGATCTGACATCGGATTCGTCATCAGCGACCCCAGAAACCCCTAGATACTGATTTGCATGAAAATCTAATAATTTTTTTAAAACCTTGCCCGCCATTTTGAATTTTGAAAAACTGAGATCCTAAAAACCCCTAGAATCCAAGCCAACAAGAATTTTGAGTTACTTATTGTTTGATTAGACATGTTTTTTGAGAGTAGAAAAAAATCCTGACGGCGCATCAAAATACGTGAAAAAATCATATTCCCGCTTTGGAAAAAGTTGGATTTTTTTGTTTGTGGTCCTGTGTAAATTTCAATATCACCATAAGCTTTGCGGGGTTTAGGGGAAAATTCCAAAGTGGTCCGACATCAGAGGGCCCATTTTGATGTCTCCTCTCTCATTTCTACCATAAAAGATGTTAATTTTTGATAAATTTAAAGAAAAAAAAATTGTTTGAATTCCAATTTTGAGTGTATCTCGGTGGAAAAACCGGCCCTGCAAGACTTGTTGTTTCATCAGAATAGTCGATGGTGGTCGGTTGCACACGTAGTTTTGTGCCACACAGGCTCGCAACGCAACGCAGGCGCAGGCAGCTGTCACCTTACACCCATGAAGGAGACATGGGGGCACGGGGGGTTGGGAGGGGAAGGAAAAGAAGGGCGACCATTCTCAACTTATCTCTAGGATCTTTGTAAACATGTCGTGAAATTCGAGTATCCCCTCAGTGGCGTAGCAGCGACGCTCTTTGCATTCGAGACAATTTACCTGCGTATGAGAGATGCATCTTCATACACATATTCACCCCAATTTTAGAACAATAACATTTGCAATCTTTTAACTAATACCCAATTAACCTGTCGCAATCCATGCAGAAATTTTGTCAGGTTTTCTAGTCGCCCTGATCAGGTGAGGCGTTTGATTCCCTACTAGGGCCCTAGTAGGGCAATTTCTACACGGGAAGCTTGCTGAAAATTTAGGCTATGACTTTTCAATATATCATTATGACATACAGTGGAACCTCGATTATCCGAACCCCTTTTTTCCCAATCCTCTGTTATCCGAAGAGTAAAACATTTTATTCAAACTTTTTTTGCCTTCCCGAATCTTAAAAATTATTTTCTATATTTTTTTTCATTTTGAAAAGTTTATTGTTCACATTTCGCTAAAAAACGAATAGATTCAATTTTCCAAAGCAATCTAACCAAATTTATTCCACAGAAATATTTAAAAATTTCTATTTTTATTTTATTAATGTATATTTATATTTGAATTTTTATTTAATATATCTATTTAACCCTCGGAGCATACACCTCTTTTTTCGAACACGAAGCACACTCAGGGTCTCTGTGACCCTATTCATATTTTTCAAAATTCTACACGGAAAAAAATAGTTCGTGAAACTTTTGTAAACTAGTAGTTCACTTTTGGACGGGCCCAAAGTTTGGAAATCTTTCATTAACTTTTTTTCAAGATTCCACAAAACTTTTTTTTGTGCGCGTGCGCAGACATAGATCATCATGAAGAGAGTGATGAACGTTCGTGAAATCTTGGAAAAAATTAATAAAAAATTTCCAAACTTTGGGACCGTCCAAAAGTGAAAAACTAGTTTACGAAAGTTTCGCGAACTATTTTTTTCCGTGTATCATTTAAAAACTTCTCATTAGATCGACATAAAAAACATTTTTTAATATTCTTTAAACGTTGTATAGAATAAGTCACGCCTGTTCACGGCGTTAAAATAGACATTTGACTAAAGTCACGTCATTTCTCGGTGGAAAATAGACAATTTGACTAAAGTCACGTCATTTTACAACGTGAAAATAGACAATCGGCTAAAGTCATGTCTTTTCACGACATGAAAAGAAAGAGCCTCGGCAAGCCCCATGCAAAAAATGCCCCTTTTTCGTACCTCGAATTTTGAAACTTTTTTTATGCCAAATGGTTACATATGATGACCCAATAATCCCTGCAAAATTTCAAGATGAGCATGTGCCCCCTTTCCGAAATACAAGGGGTCAAAGGGGGCCATGTCCAAAATTAGAATCTATATTAATAAAATCAGACTTTTGTCTGTACATTGCTCCAAATTAATTTTTTCTTGCATAGTTTATCATTTTAAGTAGTAAAGATAACAAATATGCCATAAATAAAAATTCTGTCTGTCTGTCTGTCTATCTGTCTGTCTGTCTGTCTGTCTGTCTGTCTGTCGTCAATATTTTGTACCGGCACAACTTTAAAACGGCTCAACCGATTGAGGTGAAACTTGGCAGTGTATTCAGTCTTAACGTAACTTAAAATCTTAGCCATATTTGATTAAAAAATATTAACATGAACGAAAGTTATGACATTTTTTCAAAAAATTTTAAAAAATCAAAAAAATGCAAATTTTTTATTTTTTGTCAGATTGATTTGAAACTATTTGTACCTAATTTTTTCACATAAATACAATCAATTTTTTTATTAAATTAAGTAAATAGTCTGAATTTAAAAGTCTAAATCAAATTTTTGAATTTCCAATTTTTTTAATAACATTGTAATATAAGAATTCGTTATGTTCAACTTTTTATAAGTAAAACAATAATGTTTTTAGTCTGTTGGGTATTAAACGCAATCTTAGCTGCACACCAATGAAAAATATTAATTTAAACAAAAATATGACACTTTCAAAAAATTTAAAAAATTTAACATTTTTTATTTTTTGATAATTCTTTACTAAACGTTCTTTATTTAAAATTTTGTGACCAATTAAGTATGCTTTTAACAAGAAATTTTAAGAATTTTAATTTAAGAATTTTATCAGAATTTTAAAATTAATAATTGCAAATCTGAATATGAAATCAGATATTGTAAAAATAAAAAATCGAAAATTAATTTTTTACTTTTTGAAATTAACAATTATTATATTTAAATTATTATTATTATTATTGAATATTATTATTATTATTATTATTATTATTATAGATACAAATTATTTTTAAATATAATAAAACTAAATAAACTAAATAAACTTAAATATAATATAATAAATATAATAAAATAAAATTATTTTCATAATTACATCCAACTATACGTGTTCTCCTGTATTAAAATATCTTTTTATAAATTTTTAATTATTATTTATTCAATTCAATTTAATTTTTTCACTGCTTTTAATAAAATTAAAATAATTTAAAATTGTATTTAATTTTATAGTATTGAAAATAAAAATTATTTTAATCAATACAATT